ACATCTAGTTTCAACAACATAAACTCAAAGCTCTAAATTGTTCAAACCACTTCCGTTGTGACTAAAATTTTTCAGTCATGTGCGCCTAGTTAAACACAACAATCTCCTAAAATCTCAGCTTCAATTGACATTTTAGCACTAAGTTATGGCTACCGCAACATTTAGCCTCCATAGCCAAAACTCAAATTTCTTAATTTGACAATTTCTTTGAACCGTCTCCATTTTGGCTTAAACTTTGCACGCATGTACTTTTGGCCAAATTCAACAAGTGCGTAAAATTTCAACTCCATTTGAAACTTCGTCACGAAGTTATGGCTATCATAACATCTTGACTCCACATCTAAAAATCAAAGCTTCAAATTTGACAATTTCTTCAAACCTCCTCTGTTGTTGGTGTAACTTCGCACGCACATGTAATCAATTGACTTTTCCAAGTTCACGAAATTTCAGCTCTAAATGACACTTTGGCGCGACATTATGGCTTCCGCTATATCCAAGCTCCGAAATTTATAGAACATTTTTGACATCATTTACATGAGTTGATAGATTGGTTGACTTTGATTGCAAATGAGTGTGTAGTAAGTATATCAGCATGTATAATGATGCAAATAAAAAATTGGCAAATAACTATAAGATACTTGGACTAATCCAAGAAGAAATCAATTATATTGAACTCTAATATCTTGAACTTCTAGATATACAAGATTTAAAAATTGAAATCTTATGAAATTAACGATATCATCATGACCTCTTTCTTCCATCTCTTCTATGGTTCCAAGTGAATAACATCAAAGTAAATTCTTGTACCTCTTCATTAATATTGCTCCATGTTGTTGATGATGTTCTTCAATTTCTAAATCAGATGAACTAGATTGATAAATGTTTTTTTAGCAACAATTTCTTGATCATCATAGAGATAAGCAAAAGAAAGGAACTCCAACTTAAAGATACAACCTTCACAAGATTCAAATATCCACTACCTAAAACTTGAAACTAAAAAATCACTCAATTCTGTCTCTGTGACTCTGTTGAGCTTGAAATTTTTTTAAGTAGTGTGCCATGTCTAAGTCCACGCTCGTATAAAATTTCAAGGTCAGTTGACTCTTGAGCTCAAAGATATGGATTCCACAATATTCAATTCTTGACTTTGTAAAACTCAAAAATCATCCAACCTGGTCCGAGCAACTCCGTTGAGCTTAAATTTTGCAGGCTAGTGCATATTAGTATCTGGAACTCCGTTGAGCCTAAAATATTGCAACCTAGTGAATCATGCCCAACTCAATGAATGTTTAATTGAGAAACTCCATGAATGTTTAACTGAGAAGCACCAACTCATAGCTCTTTATTCATGTGAATCCGTAACCCTGCTTATAAACATGCAGTCTCCACTTAATTGGTGACTTAAGAAAGTGACATGCGCAAGTCCTTCAACACCTTTCTCATCTTTCGCCCCTAAATATTTGCTGCCAAACAGGAGGCACTTCAACGACAGAAACAGCGTACACAATTTACAACTTGTTAACTGTTTACAGGGAAAGCCATGGAATCCGTATTGTACTCTCCGTGTCTAAGAGTACGAACATCTCGCGGTATGAGGCTGGTCGAAGCATTATCTGATGAAGCTGGTAAAGTTCAAAGTTCAAAATTTAATCTGCAAGTATTGCACTCAACCTGATCCACTCAGCTCAGCTGGCATTCTTTAAGATGCAGTATTCTGAACGTATTCATCAGCTTGCTCTCAGACTATGAGCTCGACTTTGACTGATATGTCAATGAAAGGCGGATATCCAATGTACACTAAACCTTTGTCCACAATTAGGGCACAATCACTTCCCTGTATGCTATTGATCTGATTCAGTTTAAATAACTCAATGTTTCGAAGCTGACATATCCTCTGAAACAAAGAAAGATAAATCATGACATCTGCTGCGCAGAATCACCGCGCCTTGACGTCGAATTGCAGAAAGAAACAATGAATCTCTTGGTTCATTTCGTGAGGGATATGAACCGCAAAAGCATGAATCCAGGAAAAGGTTGGAATAAGCGAACATGCAGAAACAGGCACATGATGGGGACACTTTCAGAGAATCAGCATGTATTTATGAGATGAGTTGCCTGTGTGAACTACAGTGTATGACGGATGAAATCACTGGTCGACCTCCTCCAGACCTACAGGTGGGGATCAATGTGGCACGTCTTTCTCGCACAGTGTGTTCTCACAAATATAGAAGTAATCAAGACAGGGACCTGTGGCTAGATCTGCAAAACCTCACCTTGGAACACGCTTTTAATTTGCGTACAGCTCGAATCATCTTGACAGAACAGGCCTAAATACATCAGCCCACGACAAGGAGTGGGGAGAAGCAGGGTGTCACTTGGTATCTAGCATAAGGCTGAGAATGTACAGCGTACAAATTCCGATCGCAAATGCTGATGCTTAATACACTCGCAGTTGCAAAACTCATGGTAGCCCAGGTAAAGTAAACAGAAAATAAATGGAACGGACTAACAGTCAGTCATTCGACAGATGGCTATAACAAGTCCATCCATAAGCTTGACCTTCTTCTTGAAGTTGTTCATTCATCAAGCTTGGCCTACTGTGGCCAAGCGTTGCAGACTAACTAAGATGAATCAGAAAGCTTTAAGCTTTTTGAAATCTAGAAACATCTTTTGGGTTACTTCACTAACGCCGTTTGTTCAAAGAACTTAAGGTAATTCTTGTCGGGCTGGATCTGCTTTATTGGTATGACTGGTTGGCATTGTTGATATGTAAGCTACAGAGTGAATCAGTAAACTGTTGGCTTTGTCGATTGAAAATATTTAGCTTGGCTTGCATACATATGATTGCAGTTAGCTTTGTCTGGGGCGACGAAACCAAACCTTGAGATTGACAATGATCGTTCATTTGACTCGAAGATATTCTATCATGATCGAGAAGCGTCTTCCTGAAAAGTAGCACGACTTTACATACGCTCGCAGAGTTTGCAATCACATGGTTCAACTTTAGACACTGTTGATTTTTCTTCAATATCTAATCCTCGGTGCGAGTGTATCATCCTGAATATACTCCACTATACAAGACATCCATCTTTGCAACTCGCTCTCTGATCCAGCAGATGTACCTAGAGATCACGTTGTAAATCCGAAGTTGTCACAGTTTCAATTCCAACAAAAGTTTCCACAAGATATTCGCATATGAACTTCAAAAATCATATCTTGTCCATCAGTCTGGGGAATAAAGAGATCGTTCAACAGAGCCACAAACTAGGCATGTAATGTGACTAGAAATGACATTTGATATTAGGCTGAGCACAAGAGATTGAAATACTAAGTAAAGTGATAGATCTTTTTCTAGCTTATTCTATATTAGTTCCATTGTTGTTATAATAACATTAATTAGTATTATTCATTTGAAAAAATCATGAAAATTGAAGAAAAATAAGGAGTTGAGAACTTTTAGTAATTATTTGTATTAAGATTTTATCGTAACGTCACAAAGGTGAAGTATTCGGTTTCATGCATGTGGGGCTTGATGGGTGAACTCCCTCATTTGATGGTAAAATTTCATACTGTGTTGCTAGCCACTTGGATGGATCACAAGATGCTTATGCCTGTCTACTAGTCATCTCTAGATCTGACTTTTTAAAATATTATTTTCAAACCTTTCTTACTTCCTATTACTACTTGCAACATTCCTTGCGGAGCCGTAATTAACCTTAAAGGCATGCCTTACTAGAGCAGTAATCAAACGTAAAAAAAAAGGCCTCCCAACAAAGCATCGGACCCGAAACATCTGGAGAATGGTGGGGAAGAATGTTAATGGAGCAGGAAAAGGAATTTGCACAAGGGCACTCTGTTCATCAGCTCCGGGATGTCGACATTCTCATCAACAGGAGACCTCAAATTCGGCTGTCATCTTCCGTTGCTTCCATACATCAATCACAAAGCTTTTGCTAGTATGATAATACAATAGATCCGATTCTTGAGGACGATCGACAGATGTAGTCTTGCCCCATCAATTGAGGACAAATGGTATCGCAGCTATACTATAGCGTGAAGAAAAAGAGCACGAGTTGAATACATTTCTTCGAAGGTGCAGAAGCATAATGCATGACAGTGCAAGTGTACAGATGCCACTAAAGGCAAAGGGGCACGAGACACATATAAACAGTTTTGCGGCAGGTCTCCACAGCAGGCGCCTCAAATAGAAGACTGGCATCATTGCAACTAAACGTACTATTTTAAGATCCGGAAGGCCTCTTTACCTCGTCCGAAAGACGAGGTAAAGAGGCCAGCATTTTGGTCCGAAAAACCAAAGTGCCATTGTTATTGATTCACAACCCTGCACAAGCCTGACTAAACCTCGTTCGACGATTGTTTCTCGCACTGCTCTTGCTATGCATCTGCATATGCATTCCGCTCTCGAATGCAAGACCCAAAGAGTGGAAAAGTCACGAGTTCTTTTCCCTTGTGTCGATCACACAAGTTCTTGGAACTTCAATTCGGTATATTATTATAGGATCTGTGTATTAGTACTGCACCAAAGTATATGACTACAACCGTTGTATGTACGAATATCCTTGGTGGCCACACTTAATTACCAGACTAATGTTAGGCACAAACTTATGTCTAGAATATGATTTGTTATACAGTTTTTTACATGCTCATACAAATGTTTATATATCGAAAGACAGAAGAGAACGTGAAAGCCACCCATTGCATAAAAGCCACGCATCACATGATCACATGCTCTTGATTTGCAGCGTACGCGTCCTTAGTGTGGTGTGAAGTCTTTTGCCATTCTGATATAGATCATCGTCCTGAACTATGAAACCGAGCAGGAGCCTTGTCAAATGTGCATGTTATTTTGCATCATATACCCGCAGATGCATAACCATAGTAAGCCCCAAAAAAACATTTTAGTACCTACGACAGGGAAAACGTTGCACTCAACTGATCTGTAAAAATGAGAATAGTCAGCCCAGAAGGCTGACTATTATATTGATCAAAAAGATTTTATATAAGTATGCTGGTCTCTCCGGCGGGCATCCCAGCTACAATACATGATTTAGATCTTACTATGCCTGAAGCTTGTACATGCTGATGTGCTTTATCATTGTCAGTAGCAAACAATGGCAGTTCTGTCTAACCATGAAGTTATGCATCGAACCAAGGCGAGATAATGTCCTCAGCCAGAATTCTTAATTGCGGCCTGGATTCAAAGCGGATACAGTTTTGCACATGAATATCACAGCTTCGATCCAAATTAAATTAAATTGAACAAATATGACACACAATTTTCTAGACTAGAGATGATCCAAACTAATTATTGGTATCAGCCAATCAGATCATCGATGAATGAATGAATGATATTCAACTAGACTTGGGATTGACTCCAGAGCACTGTTCAAGAGCAAAGGTACTTGATTCTGAAGTCTACCAATGGCATACGCTTGCTGGTCGTTGTTAAGCAGGCGAGCGCAAGCATTGTCGGCGAGGTTCCTGCCCGCAACGCTTCTTCCTGCTTTGAATCTACCTACTTCTTGTGATTAAATGCTGGGACGAGCATCCCTGTGATAGCATCCGACCTCCTTGACGCAAGCAGCTGCAGCACAGACCAATTTTTGAACCATTGGTGCCTCTAATTTCGAGGCCCAACTTTGGATCCGGATTTGCTGCCTGTCCATTCTGTGGTTCAGGCCCTGGATCGATCCCGTGTTCGTGCTCGCAGAAAATGCCCAGAGGGTGGATGCAGTCAGCCAGCCCTGTCTCACTACTTACTAGCTACTTACTTCTTACGATCCTCCTCTCCTTGATCTTCATCGTCCGCATAACCACACATACCGAAGGTGCATTTGTACTTCTTGGGACACACATTTCCGCACCTTCCACAATTCTTGTTGTCATCCCCATTGATGTTAACGCACTTACCACTGCAACAAGAGAGTCCGTAAGCGCAGTACCTGTTACAGAGCCCGCAGTTCATTTCATCGTACTGAAGATCCCTGCAGATCCTCTTGCCGCAGCAAGTCTCACCTCCGTAGGGGTTCTTCGTCTTATCTTTGCATATGGTGGCATTCGTCTGACACGAAAGCCACGGAGACCGACCAGCGCCCGCAAGCTGAGCTCTCAGAAACGTAGTTGGGGTATAATCATGGGCATCGCTTACCTGTGCGAAGCAGAAGGCCAGTGCTACCAGACTCAGTAGCACCTGCACCACCTGCTTCCGGCTCCCGGTGCCCACCCTTCCTATGGATCCTGATCCCATAAGTGCTGCTGCTCCTGCTGCTGCTCTCGACGAGGACCACACGTACACCATCGTACGCGTACTAGTGCTCCTGACCTTCTGCTTCGGATGGGAAGCAGAAATGCTGATTGCACCAGCAAGCAGCAGCAAGCTCAAAGCCTCGGACAATGTACCTCTAATTCATCACGCAATGGGACATTGCCTGTGCAGGTTCTCAGATGTTTCTGGACATCTCAGGTGTGGGGGAGGCCTTTAAATTTTTCCTTACTGACTGACGACTGACTTACAAGACACCTTGTCTTGATTTAGATCCTGAGAAGCTCGCCTTCCCCATATATACTACATTCACTCTCGGTGTGCTCCCTGCTTGTTGTAGGTGGGTTTCGGCTGTCGTGGGGTCAGGCACCACAAACTCCTCCTGTACCAGCGCAAGCGCTCTCGTGCACGGCCCCCTTCACCTCGGCTGAGGTCGCCTCTGGTCGCCTTCTTCGCCATCCCGAGTGGCATGAGAGCAGCAGAGTACGTGATGAAAGCAAATCAAGCCTTCCCATGCAACAGTTCAACGTGCCCATGGAAGTATTACTGTCCGGGGCGTGGTACGATGCACTACGTTTGCTGACAAGGTTTTCTGTCCTTAACTGTCTGCCATGGTGGAGAGAACTGACCGCTTTCGTCACCCGCAAAACCGTGGTTCGACTGTACTCTGCATGCTCTTCCTGGGGTTCAACCTCCACATCCGGCAATTTGAAAGTGTGTTAGGACGACGTCACTTATCTAATCTCTTGGTAGTCTGGACTTCTTGAAGCTATTTTCTTCGTAAGCTCACACATGCGACTGATTATATCACTGCTGCTTAAGATCTGCTTGAGAGTATCGTCTCGTAGCTTAAAGTGGCAAACGGACTTCGTGAAATATTGTTGGTGTGATTATAATTACGGTGTGTGTCGTACCTCGTCACCGAGGCGTTTCTATTCAGACTCTATATTAAGTGTAATTAATTCTGAACTTCCCCTCTTGGGACTTGCTTCTGAGCTTCTCGAGTCAATCTTCACGGCACTTGAGTTGTTTGGAATTCCTCCGAGTCACACGTTTCTTTTACATCTACTCGTCTCTTTCTAGACGATTCAAGATGGTCTTGAAATAATTGGTCAACCTTCACAGGTAGTATTCATTAACCTTCATGCGCTTGCTCAATCATTCTTGAGAGTAGTATTACGTCGGTCGACCTCCCAATGCGATTGAAGTCTTGAAGATCGAGTCTCAAAGGCAGTTCTCCCCGTGGGGATCTACCCGCACACGAGGTAATCACAAAGGTTGAGTTTACTCCCCATGATTACATTCGACGTATATTCGGGAAGCCAAAGTTAATTGCCGATTAGTTTACTGGCCTAGTATCCCAGGAAGAAAAAAAAACTTAGCTGTGTGTGAGGTGAGATGCTTCACACTTGGTTGACCAAGGCTGCTTTAGTCCCCAGCAATCTGCCGGGTTGACCGTGGGGTGTACTTTGTCAGACAGATGTTTCTCCCACTTGGAAGTTGCAACAGACTTCTGTACTAGCTTGACGTGCCCAGGAATGTCCTTGCAGTGGTAGAGAATAACCTCTTACGGTACAGTGCACCACAAGTTGAGTAATATATCGTCAGAAAGAGCTGACTAATTTTAAATAATCAATTATATCAACAGGTGATGACAAGAGGATTTTTGACGAGCAAATTAAGGAACCTTGTCGTTTAAGAGCAAGTTGACGTAGAGTTGCATATGCAATGCGAGTGGCATCTCATGTCACACTTGAGGTAGTGAGGTGCTGTAAGTTGGACTGGGTATTAACCAACAACCAAGAGGTCACAGAGAGAGAAAGAAGGTGAGTGTGTGTGTTCATCTGGGTCTGGATCCATGTGCCACCCTGGATCCAGAAGGAGTTTATAAAGTCACCATCGGTTCGATTACGCACAGACAGAGTCCACTGGAAGAGACCTAAAACTACAAGTACACATCTCAACGGACGTCTGTACTCTGCCTCGAATTGTCGGAAGGATTCTTCTGGAATATTGTTGCAAAATTACATTGGTTGACATATATGCATGCATGCAATTCAGATCAGTCCAGTTCAACCACGACCAGGTCGAACACGTTTTGTATTATCAGAAATTGTGGCCGGTTGACCTCCAGAGAAGATACCGATAATTCCTCGATATTCCTCGCAGTTGATGTCAGTGCTCGTTGAGGTAGTACCCTGTAGTTGCTCACCGATCTTATCTATTTTAATCAAACGATGTAACAAGCCAGCGATTTGTTCTTCGTCGGACGTGACTTTAACCTTGTGTACGTCACAGGTAGAACCTTCAGCCTATTCGGTAGTACTTGATCTCCCCAGTTTATCTTGTAATCAAATGTTCCGAAAGAGCGGATCAAAGGGAAGCTGTACAACAACTGTCCTAGACCTCCTCTTCAAATCCATTCTTTCGGACCTTGAAATGTGGACCTTCATGAGGTATCAAATCATGTTGAAAACTGCGAAATGTACTCCTGCATGTTAATGCAAGAACAAGTATCCATACGCGAACGTATAAGTCTCTCCTATCAATCCTCAGAGTGGAATATATTTTACTCCTCGAAGAATCTTCTCCAGGGACTGTTGATAATTAGGCCTGGTCCTGTCCTCCGAGTATGGTCGGCATAACTTATGTACCAGAGATTCCGATTTTCATCGGCATCTCCATTTTAATTTATTCATACCGTCCTCAATTCAATGACATCAGGCTACGAGAAACCCTTCAGTACGCTAAAATAATGTTCAATATGAACCAACTGCAGACTCTTGTCAGTCATGTCCGAAGGCTGTTGCGCATAATGTTCCTCACTAAGTCCGTCACTACATCTGAGCGAGCGCAATAGTCTGCTCCTCATTTGCTGTCGTCAAGTTGCATTGTGACATTGTCCTGAATATCATATAGGTCAGACAAAAGCGCTCATCCAATCTGGGAAGTTCGTTTCTAATGTCTTCAGGGTAAGTAATAAAGTTGATACAGAGGAGTTTCAATCAGTCATGTCCTGAGATAGATCCGGAAAGCAATGTGCGTTATTACTGTGATAGAATCTCAGCCACAACCGCTTAATTTTCATATATGCACTATGCACAGACATGTTGCTGCCTGCGAATTTAATAGTGAGAACAGAGTATTTCAGAATAAGAGATAAGAAAACTCACAAGAAGCTCGATAAGACTTGCTCTCTAAACTATGAGTGGTTTTCTGGCCAACCGGCTACAGTTTCTGTAAAAGTTTTCCTGTCTGTGATATGCATTACTTTCGAAAGTGTCCAAGATACAATTTTCCATCTCAGAACCATAATTAGTATTTCCACAAATGACTCTGATGTCAGACTGTGAGCCACTTGAAGTTGTGCATCGAGACCTTGTGGTCCCCAAATGCTAATTTTTCTGTCATGTTTGAGGAGCACTCACGAAATTCATACCAAGCAAGACAATCTTCAGCTATAGGAACCTGAACACACATCTCTGCAGTTCCGATTGCCTTCATGTTCCTTTTCAATCTTCGTCGTGGGCAGACTTCCACGTCGTGCAGTAGACAGCGCTATCTCACAGTAATCTGTACAAAAAGGGAAGACTTGGACGATCCGGATAATACCATAATCATGATAAGAAGAATAACCATGAACTTTATTGTAATCATGAGGTGAGTGACTTAGCGCAGACCGATGTTACGTAGCACCGGTCTCAACCGGCAGAAATTTCTTACCCTTCCTTGTATCCCAGATTTGGTATAAAGTATAGATTTGATCTTCTCACGTGATCGATTGCAACATATTGTTCTGTCACATTTCTAATATAATGAGCAGAAGCTCATAATGGTGGATATTATTTTTTCCCTACTTTAAATTATTTGCATGGAACAGGCAAGAAAATCCTTCTTTTTGCCACTCTTTAGCTGTACGTTACTCTGCCTCGATGCTCCAACATTCCAATGGTAACACAAACCTATTACCAGCACTGAATCATGCTCCATGTTTACAGAGAGAAGACAATATCTAGACTAAAACCTCACACATGACGACATCAGGAGAAAAGCTGAGTCAACTAATGGTAACTATTGACGTAAAGTGCACAAAGCACAAAGTCTCCTCCACTAACTGGCCACGAAGATGAAGAAATGCGCACGCTGTGAGATGCCTAGGCACGAGCATTCCGAATTCTGGCCCAGAAAACTATGAAAGATCCGACTCATATGGATGAAAACTCAGAAAATAATATCCAGCTGAAATGTCAGATCTTGCCATGCAGTGAGGCACAACTGCATTGACCAGCAGCAAGATCTCCGACCTATAGCACCTTGTGCGTAACGGACGATATAAGCCACCCTTGGCTGCAATTCAATAACATTCTTCTCCTTGTGTGTATGGAGTCAGGCATCCAATCCCGACAGAATCACCATGACACAAACCACTTTAGCGTCAAGACTGACGACAGAACAACTTCGATTGGCCATGATCTTCGTTTGAGGTTTCTCCTAAAACCTCAAACGCACCAGCGTGGGAGCCACAATCTGAGTGAGAGAATCCACGTGAGCATGAAAATTTTCTTGCAAGTGCACACGGTATCACATTGTGATTAGTTCTCACATATTTATATGTAGAGTAGCATTTCTTCTTGATTTCAAAATATCCTCAATTTAAACTCATTTAAAACCATACTGTTTAAAGGATGTTTAGAAAAGAAAATTCTTATATTCTTTTTCTTTTCAAATACTACATGTTCCAGCATGATGGAACATGTAGTGATGTGAAAAACTAATGTGAAAAATATAATATTTCATGCTAGAAAAAAAAATCCAACGAAAACTTTTTTTCTCTCTTTCGCAGATTATGCTGCAGTGTCTCATAGTGAACAACTTTATTTCATTTTTTAAAAATATCAATATAATTTTTATTTTCTATTTTGCCTTCATCATCTTGGTATCCAAAACTTTCGTTAAGAGTCAAGATTTCGCACATAATTATCATCTCACCTAATCAAATTCACAATCTGTGATAAACAGTTCATCTATAAAGCTTGATTTAACATAAGATTGTGTAATGACTCCCATAATCAACTATTCTAGAATCGATTGAAATTGATTTAGGTCATCCGCTTCCTCCCACTTTAGCGTCAAGTATCTGCCACTAGTATCTCATACAAGTCCAATAACTCTTTTTATTTAGTCATGAGATGTTCTATAACTCAGAAATGTGGATATTGCAGCTTTTAGTTGAAAATTGTAATCATGTGTATTGTGAATATGCTTGATGTATCATACGTTGGAAGAAGTCTGTGCAACTCAAATTAATGGAATTGCATTTTCATCTTTTGGTGTAGAAGTTAAATGGTGTATGCTTTTGCACAGCTATCGTCTCCAGAGGTTCCTTGGTTCCAATATCAATGAAAACTTCTTATCAATGTATATATGCACATGTGTTTTAACTTAAAATATATATGTATATATATATATATATATATACACATACATACACAAAAATATTCCTTTGATATATGATATTTACGTACATTACCTTCATACATGACCTGTCCCTTGAAAGCTTCTTCAATAATCTTTGTTCTCTACATGAAAAGATGTGAACTAACCTCAATAGACTTGCGCACTTAAAATATCCACGAATTTCATTAATGAATATCATTAAGATTTAGTCTCATTCTCACATGTTCATTTGGTGTGATTATGCGCAAGAGCAACCATACGAAATGTCAGCATAGCATCTGACGAAATCATCAGAATAGGATCATGTTAAACACATAAACCTAAAATTCGGGTGCCATATCAGAAAATCAATTACTGTTTGCTGTGATATTTCTCGAGCGACTAAAATATATCCCCTCGATAAGATATAATATTCTGCTGTGGACAAGGGAGGTAAAACTTCTGCTATATGATACCTCTTTCTCACATTTTCACCACGATGTTTATTCGTGCACAGGACCCACTCACGAATGGCATGAGACTCGAAAGTCAGCAGATCTGCATCAGCGAGAACGAGAATGAGGTTTGATTCCTCTCCGCCTCATGCAACACATGTTATATCTGTGACCCAAGCTCGGTTCCCGTACTCCGAGTGCATGCGATCTGCGGATCTCTGTTCTGTCCAAGTTACGCTAGACAAAGCCGATGTATTCTCGACCAGTGATCTGGGTCCCGGATTTGAGTCTTCTTTGATAAGCCTCGACCGTATGGAAGGATTGTTTCTGCTGACCGACATGAATTGCTTAGAGAAGTTCATAGTTCTCCGATACTAAACTTTGAAATTCTTCAAGTGAGTGCTTTTGCAGAATTGATGCTGACTCCCCTGCATTTGACCTTTCTCGTGTTCCGATTTAGCGACGAGTGGTGTTTCAGTGGATCATATTACACGCAATCTAACGGAAGAGGTTCCGCTTGTGGAGATTCTTTTGAAATTCCCAATCTCCAGTCTCCCAGGGGAGTTCGGTCGACTGCGACATTAGTCGGAATCTCGACGTGCTGGCATGATGAGCGTGAAAAGACCAATTGGTGCTGTAGCGGTGAATGTGATCTTCAGGTTCCGGATCCACGTCGAGATTCACCGCTACAGCACCAATCGGACTGTTCTACGCTCATCATGGTCAGTTCTCATCTGTTTGACTAAGGTTGGATTGATTTCATCTGGTTGCTCGCAGTCACAGCCTATCCCAATTTTATTCACATTTTGTGAACAAAATGTCAATGCATTGACTGGGGTGTGAATTCCATACTGCAGATTTCAGAGAGGCCTGGTCCTATCATGCGACTTACACCTCAGCGCGATTGTGCTTCCCACGTTTTTCTGCTGGTTTGCAGGTCAAGAGACTTTGAGTGTGCAGGATCGATCTCGTTTTTGCACAAGGCTTTTTTGACATGTTGATTTGGCATTGTCTTGATTGTTCCTGTAACTAACTAAAGGCGGGTGTGGAGATATGTCTATTCTTCTACGTCCTTGTAGACACAGTTTCTGAAATAGCGAGTGATTAGATACTCAGGCAACTTGTACAACCGGACGCAGCGAGGTTGTGGAAGAACGCGAACTCTGTTACCATTGGACCTGGCAGCAACCAATTTTTTCACGGCGTTTTGAATTGAATACCTCTTTCGGTATACAGTAGAAACCTTCCTTGCTTGAATCATGACAGGGAAAATTGCTCAATTTGGTCAAACTTTGAGGTTTGCTGAGCCTGTAAGCCTTTCTGTGCGTAACCTGGTCTTCTATATGTATACGATGTAACGACGAAGGACAATATGGCGTCAAGAAGATTGGCCTTCGAAACTTGGACGATATACCCGGCGATGAACATCACGTTCCTTCTCGCAAAAGGTAAAGCACTGCAAACTCTTGCATAGGATTGTCAATCTTGTAAACAAACATGTAGAAGTATGGAGTGAAATTTCGACGGGGATGTTTGATCACAAGATTGTCGCCGTGTAACAATGTAAACTAGACACAGTATAGAATTTCAAATCATAGAAGGTTGTAAAATCTATTTTCAGTTCTGAGATTATCTGTCTATGATATCCTGGTATTGGAATCAAGGTTTAGCAGCCTTCTTAACCTTTGTTAGTAATTTGGCATTGCAAAGATTGTATTTTACTTCGTATCCAGTGCGGCTAAACTCCCTTAACTTCTGAAAATTCTCTGATTTTGCAAAAGTTTTACTCGCTCTTTTTTTCACCACGGTCACATCATGGTTGATTTTACTGGAATATTTGTTGATATAAAATATGAGGTCTAGGGTGTCAAAATTGTTATGTAAGATTGTGAGATTGAGTTTCAAGGGATGTATTTCAATTTTCAGTACCCTTAATTATGTTCAATATTAAGTTTCAAAATGTATTGTGCTATATATCTGAGAATACCAGTCAGTAATCTTATATGCGCTTTACATTCTATAAATATATGTTTTTACTATTGTTTCATTTTATTGTTTATGCAATAACAAGTTAAAAGTATATTTATCACTTCATTTATTTAGTGAGGCTAGACGTTCTGAAATTGAAATTCCTGAGGCTTGACTATGTCTCATTCCAAGAGTTTTGACCATAATTTTTTGTGGAATGTATAACCATACCATCACTTCCATATAAACCTGTCACATCGTTTCGAAATTGAGCTACAAAAGGATATCTACAAAAGGATATTCATACTCGCCTCCAGTATGTCACAAGAAGGATAAAGAAAATATCAACATGTTATAGTTCCCTTTTGCATAGTTAAAGAGAGATGAGAAACGACCATGATGGTATATCAGTATACCAGTGCTGCACTCCTGCTGTAGGTATGATCCCCAGGTTTGAGATCTGCGGTACTGACATGTGACCTGAAACATCCAAAAGACCCTAGTATGGGAGCTGGGGCAGAATCTGCACAAGCAGAACCTCGTCCTCGAGATTTGTGTGTGCACTTTTTTGTGTAGGTAAATGATATAAGCGTGACGAAGATTACAGAAGCTAGTTCTGTGATCCGCAGGTTCCAAATCCACCTCGGAAATTGCACGAGGAACATGCAAACGGATAGCTCCTTGAAACGGTCGAATATGAAGTCTGCAAAAAGACTTCCTCTGCCGGCAAGTGCGTTTATATATGTCAAAGTAAAGGAAAAGGATATGCGCCAGAAAGGCGACAAAGCGCAAGAACCTGAACACATGAAAAGAGCGAAATCAGTTTTTCGTAAACCAGCAAGTGTCAGAGTATACGAGAAACAATATAGATAAATTCATATAACACGGACCTAATTCCGACTAACTCGACTTAGTAATTTCTAGCACTAAGAGCGTGAACGGAGCTACACGGAATCCACCTTGTCAAAGAAATCTAAATTTCAGCAATGAAATCCCTAAACAAGCATAGAAAGCACAGGTCGAGGGATCCACCTTTGTGGACTAGATTCTCAACGGAACAGAATATAGCAGATCGCGTTTGCTTTGGAAGGATGCCAGCTCCTGGAATTCAAGGTTTTGGATGGGTCTATGGTTTAATTAGATATTTGGAAGTCGAAGTAATTATCTCGAAAGCGTAGGTTAATCACATCATGTGATTTCATCTCGCTACAAATCAAGGAAATCGACTTGAACTTGAGGATTCCCAGCATATCCTAATGGCAACGTCGATTACTGCGATTATCTTTATGGCAACGTCGGAGAAGGTTTATGATTCTTGTGATTGATTACAAACCAAGCACAAATCAATCTAGCAATAAAGATAATAAGATATGTATTGAAATCGTTATGCGCAATAGAGAGGAGTCTCCGATGATAACTGCACACACCTCACGTAGAAAAAGCATGAAAACATGACAAACGTATTATCTGTGTCAATGTATTATATCCCACCTATAGCACTCTGCCTTGAACGTTTCATTGCAATTGACAACAGATATTTAAAATTTCAAATCAAGGTAAAATATTTACAAGGTAATTATGGGTCATACATTGAGTTGCAATATATACTATTTCGTTAATCTTCCTGGCATACGACTCATACAAGACTTCTACAATTATCTATACGAGCCAAATATTTCGCCTCTTCATACATTCAGACAATGCCTAGTACTACCAAGTATACCTTCTTGCTTCAGCATGGTTATGGTGAGAACTTGCATCATGGTTATAATTCTCAATTATTACTTTATTTTTAGATGATGTTTTATCTTGTTATGATATAACTCATTCTTGTTTAATGAGCGAGTGTGACATTATTATTGTTATTTATTTAATAATAACATATTTTAGTCATCTCTATCACTTTCAAAGCTATGATATTTGTGATGGCTTTTGATGATAAAAATATCACATGCATGAATTACGAGAATAAATTATTTGTTAGAGTTTATCTAAACTTGGTTTAACATTACAAGATGACTTTAATAAACAAGATTAAGTACTCTAAAATTATTATCTGAATATCAATATAGTGATGTTAAAGTATATTATATCAAAAAATGTTGAAAATAGAGTAACAATTTGAGATTGTTGAATGAAAATTTTGATGTTAAATATGCAAGCAACAAATACTACAAAGTTTGAACATAGAAATAACATCAGTTTGTCAACATTCAAGTAAAGTATGACTTCTTCATAAGTAAATGAAATATCAAGAGGTATCAAAGAAGAAATATAAGTTGACTGCGTATCAATAAAACTTACGATAATCATTTGCAAAGTAATTTTTAATGATGATTATAAATAAACCTTAAAAAAACCAAGAAGCAAAACATGGTGAAAAAAGTGAAGTAAACTATGATAATAGAGGCCATTTTTTTATAAATAATATATACATACTTATTTTATCAATTCTTCATTTTGTTCAATTTATGTTAACAAACACAATTACATAAAAATTTGGTAGGGTCTGACTAGGGCCACACCCGTTTTTGCTACGGCCACACCCGCCCGCTAATTACTATGCCCATGCCCGCTTTTGCTACTACCCAAGCGCACTTCTGCAGGCATGGCAGTCAAAATAGATCAATAGAACGGCAGCACCGGCGGCAGCGGTACAAGCGGTAGCAACGCGAGAGACAGCGACGGCCGCAGCGGCCCCGCGCCCCTCGAAGCCTCTCGACTACGCTCTTCTCTGCCTCGCGGACGAGCTCGGCTTAGCAGCTGGGTTTGAGGGGAGGCATGCTTTGACGAAATCTTAAGTATCTTACTTCCTATTCATCTTATGCAATGTGCTAGATGCTTATCAAATGAATAAGTTATGAAAACGTTTTGAACATTACAAGGAGTCAATTGACTGGGGATCTAAGAAGTCAGTATACGTGTATTCACAGAAAATTGTGAATAATATTCAAATGAATAAGTGAAATATCTTTTTGACGTAGATTCGTTTTTTAAATTATAATGTAAATATTTTCGTTACACAAATATACATCTTATTTCTTGATTTTGTGTCAATATCCGTGAAGTGAACCATAAATTTTATAAAAGCGATTTATGTATCTACTCAAAGAATTTGAAAATTTCTGATAATGTATCAATATTTATGAATAAATTAATGTATATTATTTAAATCAATGTAAACAGAAAAAATTATATTTTATATGAATATATGAATATATGTGTAAAATTTTCTGCTCCTTTAAAGCATATCCTATTAATATTTGCACTATGAAATCTAGAATATAAACTGAAAATGAAGTTGAAGACCTAACTTACTATCTCATTATTTTGGCAAATCCAGTCGGTCTAAATATTTCTTGAAAAAGTGTGGAAGAAAAGAAAAAAAACCAGTGAGTATTAATGTCAACACATACATATTAATGCTTTTATAGTATTCTTGGTATATATTTTACATCTACAACAGATCTATCAAAATTCTTTCAAAAATAAAAAAAATGTTATATTGTATATACTTCATCAGAAAATTATTATTTTTACGAAATAATGAATTCAAATTCAGAATTCAAATTCATTTTTAAAAGATTATTTTTTTGGAATTATCAATTTAAAGATTTTTTTCATGGTTTTTATGAATTTTTCTTATAATTTTTTTACTATAATCTGTTGGAAAATTTAGGCAAAATATAAACAAAAATTAATATGTGTATCTTCATCTATGTATCTCCATTTTTGGATCTGCAGTGGTTTCAAGACAAAAATTGATTTTAGGTTTTGGAAATAAAAAATTTGATAAATCATAAAATCACACATGCAATATAATAATGTTATTATGTCGTATGTAATACCAAATGAGAAAAAAAAATTAGTGTTTTTAGATTAAATCTAAATTCAAAAATAAGCATATGAATCTCAAAATTTCAAATTGAATAACAGACTTGATACATAAGAGAAATGAAGGTTAATTTATTTTTATGATTCAATATTTTGAATAAGTCATATATGTAACATTTTAAATCTTCTTCTAAATCTCTAAAATGACAAATTTTATTTCCTTCTTGAAAACAATATTTCATCATCTCTGCAAATCTGCAAACAACTTATGGGAGAAAGTATCAACACACATAGGTTGTAGGACTATAACATCTTGAGCTTTACATTAAAAATGTCAATTAATAAAAACATACTAAAATAAATAAGCTAGCACTGAAGTGCCTTTCATTCTTTCAATTTGATTTCTAAATGAAGATGTTTTTTGACATGATTTTAAAAACTAATTTGGCATCTATTTTTTTCATGTCATGAAATGTTATAATGACTTGAATGTAAAGGCAAAATCAATTTACATACTGAGATGAAAAATAAAGCGTTCACTTCACATTTCAACATAATTGTTATTTTTTAGCCTTCTTTTTTTACCTTTTATTTTTTTTGATTATTTTTTTGGAAAAAATTATTCAAGCCATTTCTTAAATTTTGCATCAAGAACTTTTTGATCTTTCACATGGTAGACTTAACTACAACAACAATTGGTCAATGTCTTGAAACTTTGAAAGTAAACCAAACGATTCAATAAGTTTAGTGTCAAACATAAGAACACTAGGATAATGAAAGAAAGGAATTCAATTTTTTAACTTTATATCACAAAGATGATCTCTAGCTAAATCTAATTTTTCATATAAGATATACTGCCACTTGTGCTTACTAAACGTATTCTTTGGGTTCATATGTACTTTCAATAAATTATATTCACAAGCAAATTGTTTGAAAAAAACTTTTTCAACCGTTTTTCTATCGCATCTACGCGACAAGTTCAAATGATAAAAGCAAGATTGGGATAAGACTTAAGTAAGAGAAATCCAAGTATGATGAACAAATATTGTAAACAATCATAGTTCTTGCTGATGATGTTATGATTCGTATCATAATTAGTAGTGACTAGGCTTTTGAATAAGAAACAGGTCAGAAGAACGAATTTAAAACAATTAGTTAGCACCTGAGATATTGCGTGTACAGCTGGGATAACATAGTGAACTACCTTTTCTACATCCTAACGTTATTCAAACTCATCTCCCCCGACTTTTGATCAGCGTTTGTAATGCTAGGCTTTATATTTCTTGCAATAGATGTATTGGTGCATATTAATGGTTGCCTGATCAGATGGGACATTTTAGTTCTTGAATATGCTATGCATATACGTAATGCTTTAATTTCCACCGTTGAGACAAAGATAGTTTGGATTGATGACTCCTCTTCTAGACCTCCCCTTATCACAATGATAACTTCATACAGGACAAATTACAGTGGCTTTTGGAGATAAAGTGATTTATCACAAGAGATTAGCTCTCTCCTTTTGTTTGACTTTTGATTTCTTATCTGCCGTCGATTTTTGACTACTGTGGACTTTGCTTTGTACCTAAAATAGATGTGGTTGCATCTCGACTGTCATTCCATGCGCCTCCCTTTTCGACCTTTAGCAACAGATATTTGCTCTTTCAATTTTTATCCACCCCTTTAAAATTAAAATTTTAAAATAATTCACCCGTTTCTCGTTTTATCGCATCTACACGACAAGTCCAAATGATGAAAGCAAGATTGAGATAAGACTTAGGTAAGAGAAATCCAATTATGATGAACAAAAATTGTTAACAATCATACCAGTCGTTGATGGTGTTATGATGCAAATCATAATTGGTAGTGACTAGGCTTTGTGAAAAAGAAACAAGTCAGAAGAACGAATATAAAACAAACATTTAGCACCTCTAATACTGAGATTACAGTTGAGATAACATAGTGAACTACTTTTTCTTCATTCTAACGTTTTTCAAACTCATTTCCCGTGACTTTTCTAATACTAGGCTTCATATCTCTTGCAATAGATGTATTTGTGCATAATAATGGTTGCCTTATCAGATTCGACATTTTAGTTCTTGAATATGCTATGCATACACATAATGCTTTTACTTCCACCTTTGAGAGAAAGATAGTTTGGATGGATTACTCCTATTGTAGACCTCCCCTTATCACAATGATAACTTCATACAGGACACATTACAGTGGCTTTTGGAGACATAGTGATTTATCACAAGAGATTGGCTCTCTCCTTTGGTTTGACTTTTGATTTCTTGTCTGCTGTCACTTTTTGACTACTGTGGACTTTGCTTTGTACCTAAATAGACTTGGTTGCATCTGGATTGTCATTTCACGCGTCTCCCTTTCCCACCTTTAGCAACAGATATTTTCTCTTTCATTCTTAATCCACCCCTGATTACGGATGATGGAGCCCTATCCATTCCACAAGCAAGACTTGTAGCTTTCCATGCAGTATGTTTGGTGAGTATCAACACGCCCTTTTAATGAATAAATAATAGTGCAGAAAGAAGTTTGAGATTTGAAAACTACTGATACTCTTGGCTGATTGTCGTGAACTTCCGACAAGGTATATCCCTTCTTGGTGTAATGCTCGATCCTTCAAACGATGAATCTGGATCTGAGCCCACGTGAACCATCGGTCGTGCTGAGTAGAATGATTTCTATAGCATTATCAGAGGGAAAGAAGATGTTTCTCTCATTATAGTAGGAACAGGATGGTGTGAAAGAAGAATTCTCGAAATATACATGACAGTGGAGTTCTGAGGCATCTAAATCGGTAGGAAGGCATCATTTTTTCCTATCCATTTCTTCCTCTAAGTGTTTTGCGGCCGCTCACATGTGTTTTGCAGGGAGGCGTGCAGAGGAGATGGGGGAAAGGATATGTGTGAGTTAGTGCACTGCACTTTCTGAATGGATACATGCTTGATCTAGTATCCGTAGGGGGAGGTCCTCTACCAGGCCTGCGTGAAAATACTTTGCAGTCCTTAGCGACTTCTTGTAGACAGAGATGGGTGACATTGTACACTGAATGATAGAACTTGGGTAATGATTCCATGGACGTATCACAACAGATTTGACCAATAAGGAAAGAACCATGTTTCACTCATAATCTGCAATTGAATTTTGAGTATTCACTGTTTTAGCTTTCATCTTGATTGTCAACAAAAATAACAAAGAATACTTCCCGAACTTCAAGTAAAGTCAAGCTTGGACTTCCTGGGAACCGCGTCTAATATCTTTGCATGTCCTTAACTAAAAAGATTATGTTTATTGTCATGTTAGAGATTCTCATGCTTCTTTATCCACATTTTAAGAATGACGAGAAGAGACACTAATGTAACTTGATTGATCATTTTTAATCTTATTGAGATGGGGCGAGACATTGGTGAAGTGACAAGATGTGAGTACAAAGAAATTTACAATCAGATGTCGAAGAAAATTTTGTTAGAGGACTCTTCCTATAACAGAATTTCGTTACGGTGTTTACTTAAAGTAGTATGTTTGGAATGTGCAAAGTCAAACTGTCAGAACCTTACAAACTCTGTCTGCACAAGGCCTCCTTTTATATAGTCAGTGAAATGCATGTTGTCACTTTCTCAGCATTCTCTAATGACCTCAACTCTTCAGTTCCCATTTCTCCCTCTTGCACAAAATGCAAAGTTTTAGAAGAGATTGTTCTAGGAATTTCTTCTGGCTTGAGACTTTCTTCCTTTTTCGAGTGACAGTACTGTACTAGAAGTCATCAAGTGATTCCGAAGTGAGTGCGCTGAATGTGATTCCTTTGATCCAACAAATCATTGTCCTGAACCCATGTATCTCTAGCGTAGAGAACTTATCTTCTTGGCTTCGAATCCTGCGGGCATGGCAGTTCCAAAAGTGGAAGAAGTCGAGGAGAATATGCTCGAGGGAATTGGGGTCAGATCAGGAAAGACCAACTGCAGTCCTCCTTAACTTCCGTCCATAGATTCTTCCCTTCGTACCTTCTCGCTGCCGGTCTGCCAGCCTGCTCTCACGGACCTCTTTCCCTCCGTTGCTGGATTCCAAATGCACAGTGAGGTGACACTGCCAGGGCCAAAAGTCAGAGAAGCCTTTCAGTGTAAGTTAAGTAATCCTGTGTCGAAGTGGACTCGGTGGAGTGCCCATGAAGGAGAGGGAGAGCTTTAGAAGGTTCGCAGGAAGAGCGGAAGCTCATACTGCTCGTCATTATGGCCCGATTCCAATTGTCTGCCCTGAATCTCGCCACCTTGCGTCATCCGCCCGTAAGTAGTCCGAGGTCAACTCCTGCTCTTTAATGATGTGCCTACGACGTGTTACCGTTCCTCCACTGTGTAGTAGGAGTGTCAGTGCGACCGAGTACCCTTTCGCTTTCCCATCAACCGCAGTGAGACCCCATTGCTCTCGTAGACCAGTTCCTCCACCATCTCAGACAAAATTCCCCCCCTCGCGCATGATGTTGCGAACGAGGCCATTCGGTGATGATCGGGTGATATCAACAATATACTATTAAGTTTCTCGAGACCTCAACTTCCAGCCTTTCAAAAGACTTATATGCAGGATTATAACACCAGCTTGACCAGCTAATCCCCACGACCCCCATCCATCAGCTGCTCGAGGCCTCAACTTCCAGCCTTTCAGAAGACCAAAATGCAGGTTTAATACATCAGCTTGACCATCTGATCCCCACGACCCCCACCCAAAGAAAAGAATACGCGATCATAAATTAATTACTCACTTCGGGATCGCACTAGAAAGAACGTGCGGACAGTCTTCAGAGGGGATGAGAACCATGTCCAGGTGGTGGAAGACTATTCGAGCCTCGGTGAGTGTGGAGATCGAATCGTGAACAGAGCCGTACGCTTCGGTGGTGAGGAGGCGAGTTGACCAGGAGAGTCTGGTCTCTCCCTATTCTCCAACTTCCATCCGGCGGGACTGAATGCGAACGCGGTTATGCAATCGAGGACCATGAGCTGAACCAAACTTGCTTGCAGTGCGGTGAAGTCCGATGCGGATGTGGCCGGTCCGGGGATTCTAAAAATGGCGATGGCGAGACGGAGATGCTCAGAGCGGGCTTGTGCCGGCTCAGACGGAGGGGCGAATGGCCGGCCTCGCGGGCCTGTGCCCATGTTCGGGGCTAATGATGGGAAAGCGGAAATTGAGAAGTTTGATCTGTTGTTGGCGAGTAAGAAGTGAATCTCCTGATGAGGATTGCGAGGTGGAGGTGGAGAATCGTGGGAGTGGTTGTCGTGATCTCATGGAAACTGGGAAAACGGTCGTCGCTAGCGTACAACGGCGGAGACAATTTCGTCGCGGATTTCATGAACCTGTTCACGGGGGAAGAGGAGGGGAGGGGTGAGAGATCTTTGTGCAACGGGATGCATGGGTGCGCTTTTGTACCGATCGATAAGGACACTGCTGGCTGGCTGGGCCTTGTCTGTCGCGGATTTCTGAGAGAGTAAGCCCCTGCATTCCGTGCCGTCCTTCGGTTTTGTCAGAGTCCGGTAGCTTCGCATTCCCGGTTCATGAGGCGCTGGACATTGTTGCTAGTACATTCCGTTGCCGCTACCGCGTCAATGGCCTTGCTGCGCTAATTTTGGATGGTAAATCACGAGCTCCACATGATCCGAGAAAGGGGAAAAATCTGTGACTTGGCCCTACCTGCATTCGTGTCCTGCGCCATGGATTAGTGAGAACTTTTCATCTCGTGGTCTGGAAGGAAAGGCTTTGTCGACTGTGCATGTGGCATTTACAGTCATTTCCCTCCAGCGAGTCACCATCTTCATGGCCCGGCGAGCACAATGTGCCTTGTGTTCCTGAGCTGTTGACTTGAGAGACATGGTGCACAATGTTGGGACCCAGGTGCCCGGTCGAGATCGACTGAATTGTAGTGCAGATCAGAGAAATTGAAGCTTGGATTTCCGGATGTTAGTATCAGTCAGGATGCAGCTGTGAATCTCTTGGACTTTCAATTTTGTTTCTTTCCTCTTCCCAACTACCAGACTCCTCTGCTACAATCTCTTCTCTTTGGAGGTTTCGTCGGTTTAGTTTGACCCAAAAAAGATTGGTATGTAAGAATGCAGTACGGTTGAGCTTCCCTGAGAGCACTGCCATTCGTTGTATAGTGATAACATCTGTGTGAGAAACAGAATAGTGGAAAAATTTTGAAATTTTGGTAAAATAGTGTCGGCATTGAGTACTAAGCTCTGGGAATTTCGAGATTCTTCACGAAGTCAGCTGAAGCGCGGATGTGCTGAGGAGTTGGGTGGAAGTAGGCTGCAGATTTAGCATCACGAAAGAATTCTGATCGAGCCGTCAGTTGCCATTTCTGACCTTGGCTTTGGTTAGCTGTTAAGTCAGGACGCGCTTTGACATGATCAAAGGACGTGGTCGGAGGAAGAACATTTCCGTAAAATATAGCTTCATGAATTGAATCGATCAACTGAAACTCATCACGGATACATATAGGACGACAGGGACGAGAAGTTCACTGAATGTGGAAGGACTGTAGGTTTTGGCTGCTGAGGTGAGGCAGTGACAGGATTTGCCCTGTCGTTGGTATTCCTATTCAAGAGCACTGGTCGACCAACAGCTCGGCTGGTCGAAGAAACTTGGACAGTACAACGATTTTGTGGGCTAGCAATAGAGCAGTCTGAGCGCATCGGCGGGAGCAATCAGCGGTAGAGGAATGCATTCATCCCAAATTTCAGAATCCAGCTTCTTCTCTCCAGAGCTCTGGATCTTTTTGTAGTTAAACCTCTGGACAGCAGGGATGGTCAAAAGGTTTTCTGGAATGGCCCCACTCGTTGGGCTTCGGCTCGTATTTATAGGACTAGTTTTGATCTCAGGGACAAGCATCTCAGTGGTGACGGCCCAGCTCACTCCTCCGTCTCCACTGACTTCCGCACTTCCTCCCAGATTACAAGATGCCCTGGAATCGGCGCCGCCATCAGTTTCCCGTGCCAATATTCGGGATTTAATTCCAAAGGATATGCTCGACAATTTTACTCTTTCGGTCGACCAGATTACAGCTCAGGTCGCAAACAATTACAGTTTCTGCATTCAAGACATGTAAGTCGGAAATTCAATCCAGTTGGAGCTCAGAATCTTCATCTGAGAATTCTGAATATGCACTTTTATATGATGAGAGCGAAAGTGGTTTGAGATCGATCAGTGACTTCATTTTGGAACTGGCTGAATTTACCACCCATTCCAGTTCATACTAGACCATCTGCCATGCTCCGTTGATGGGTTCAGTAGACAATTGTTTCTGGAGGACTTTCTTCGTGTTAAAACTTTTTTTATCGATTTTTCCATGTAACGATTCCCCCTGCTGAATTCCGACTCTTAGTGATTTACCCGCGATTTGAATTGCAGTGAGGCAGACAAGCGAAGTACATTCGAAGTCAACCAAAATTCGACATTTCTACGAGAATGCCGGGCTTTCTTAGGTGAGCTTTGATTCACCATCGATTGGCTGCGAGTTCGTTTCCGGATACACTGTCATTAGAACGAACAAAGTGGTTCGGAAGCTGGACCAGTAATGTGAGCAAGCCCAGATGCTCTTAAAAGTCTGCTCGGATGCCCTTTGAATGCCTATTGCGATTACGTATCTACGGATTTGAGCGGAACTAAATTGTACAAAACCATCTGCCAAAGAAGAATGCCTTTCTGGGGTGGTGATATAAATGTGACACAAGCGGGGAGAATCTGTAACTTTTAGCAGTGTATCATAGTTCATGATTCAGAACTTTGAAGCACAGCCTTGATGCATCAAAAAAATGTGATTTCTTCATGCAATAGAAGTCAAAGAATCAATTTCCTGACATCTAGATAGTCATGAAACGTATCAGTTTGGCTGGTATTGGCTCGTGGGGTTGCTGATTGCGAATTTGTGTCGATGATGTCCTTGTGCGTGCAGGCGATACCTTCGTCGATCGGGTTTGCCAACAAAGCGAGATAGAGTTCTATTTTAAAAACATAGCGTGGATGAAAAATCCTCCCCCGACCCCGAACTGTAATCCCTTTTCCTGGCCAATAGCTTGTGAGCCAGGATGGGGTGGATTAGAAGGCGTAAATAGCTCTGCATTTGTGGATTCTGTCTATTCACAGGGGATAGACGGCATCCCCTTACGGACTGTAGATCCCCAACCTTGCTGTGCAGGATTCTTTTGTCCCCGAGGCCTCACCTGTATGATGCGTAAGTTCACACTGCGACAATCTTCCTGGTGATAAAGATTTTATGCTTCTGCCTCTGTGTTGAGAAGGTTCGTTTTGTTTTTAATGTCAATTGCAGGAGTTAGTAGTGTAATTTGAGAGAGTCTACTTTATATGCTGGATGGAGCCACATTTCAACTCCTGAGAAGTTTTGATGTGGAATCTTACCAACAAATCGTTGCTCTGTTTTGAATGTGAGAAGCTTGTCCGCTTGGAGCTTATTGTCCCCTAGCCCGTTACGAAGAATCCAGTGGAACCTGCCAACCGTGAGTACTCTACTGCCTTCATCCATGCGCTTGTGTTTTCTGCCAAACTTCTAGTCTTATCGAAATTCTAGTGGACCCGAGTAATTCGCCTTACTCTATGATGTCTCTGACTAGATGCCGACCGGCCGGGCATATTATTGCATCCTCTGTATCAACGATCACATATTTCATGAAAATCTTATGTTTCTCAAGATGGGGAACCCTTCCGCAACTTGAACAACGTGTGGAAAGGAGTATGAACTTCCCGATAATGCAGGAATTTATTCTATATTTCATAGAATGCAGCTCTAGTTTTAATAGAGAGCGAAAGTGTGTCGTAACAACGCCCTGCTGATGGGGTTCAATCTGTTTACGGAACTCACCAGCTTTGAGCCGAAGCCCAAAGCGGCCTCACTTTGAAGTTTTCAGGCAGACACATACTAATGATTACAGTTTATTTATATATCGATAAACGTAGACGTAAGATACATCTGCGCAGGCACTCGTGAACCACTTCGGTTGTTCTACACAGACCCCTAGCATGTTTTATCCAGTTCGTTGCTTTAGATCAAGTAGTTGATGCATTTGATTTTTCTCCCTGCAGGTATGGGTATCAAATGAGACCTGAAAGCAATTTAGCGTGTGGTGGTGCCGATCTTTGGTTGACTTTCCAAGACTCCCGTGGAATATTTTGTGAGGCGGGTTCTCATTGCCCAACTACTACGGAGAAGGAACTTTGTGAGCCTGGGTACTCTTCGATTTGCTACCTGCTTTCTTTGAAGTATGGAGTCTTTCAGATCAGATTACTCAGGGGATTGGACAAGTTAAATGATACAAGTCTTTGACTGATTCGTGGTTTATGGTCTCTGTTGTCTGCAGAAATTATTGCAGAGCAGGCTCCACCGATGAGAACAGTGAGTTACTTATGTCAAGTCCTTTTATAAAAGTTTGTGCTCTGCTTCATAAGGCTGCTCTCTGTCATGTGATCGTCTCTTCTTCTGCATGAACTGGTAGTTTCTGGCTTGAATCGATAGATGAAGATTGATTTCGCCTCTAAATAGCTCAGACCCTGAATCTATCAGATTCCTCATCTGGTTCGAGCAAAGAGGATAGGATTTTGACTGATCCATCTTTGTTGCAGAGTGTTCTTTTCTTTCTCAGTGCCAAGGCGAAGGGAGGAAATCTCAGAACTTGAAGGGCTCCGGGATCCTCCTCCTTGTAAGTTGGCAATGAATTCTTTTGTTCTTTTGGGCCTTCTAATTTTTTCTTCTTGCTCGCTTCCTTTCTACAGACGCGTTTCTTATAGAAGACGGAACGATCCCCCATCGATATGTCAAATCCTTCTTACATAAATTGTTTTGGCCTCTAGACATCAATCATAGTAATGTACGACGCATCATCACACTGAGGAGGAAATATGTCAGCTCAATTTCAACCCAGCTATAATCCTAGTTTTTCCTCCATCAACGATCTATAAAATTGAATTGTGGTCAAAGATCGGTTCATAAGATCTAAGCTCGGGACGACTGTTCCAAAATTGACGCATCTGATGATCTGCAGGTGGTGCTATTCATTCTCTTGCTACTCATCTACAATTGTTCCGAGCATTTGCTGCATATTCGCCAAAGAAGGAAGTCCAAGGCTCGGGAGGTCGCTGCTCGAGAGGCGCGAGAGCATTTGACAGCAGTAGAGAGATGGAAAAGAGCGAAAGATGCAGCCACGAAGGCAAGGAAGCATGCAATAAAATTTTCGGGCGAGCTCACCCGCCAGCTCAGTAGGAAGAAGTCCAAGGCCGTGTCCGATGACCCTCGTCCGCATGGAGCCTCGGGCGGCCATCGATCAGGACCTCTCCCTGGACCTCACCTAACCCCCGCTTACAAGCCCAGAGCCGGAGCCCACTCGGGCCCATTGCCACTCGGAGTGTCTGCACCAATTCAAGAGGAGAAGGAGATGATCGAGCAGGAGTCTCACTTGCTTGCCTTTCCCAACCATAACCAGGCCCAGCATGTCACTTGGTCTAACGATCTCATCACATCCGATTCTCCTGTCAGTCTTGACCTCTATGATCCCGTGCACGTCAATGGCGCAGACGAGGAAATTGCATCTGTGGTGAGAGAGTTTGAGCTTCGAGTGGATTCTGGTCCTTCCAGCTTGCCCCACACCAGGAGTCAAATTTACAAGTATGCTTACGGGCAGATCGAGAAGGAAAAGCAAACCCAGCAGATGAGAGGCATGGGTTTGAAGGAGGTCATCTCCTCAGATGGCTTCCGTGACATGATGGAAGGAGCTGGCAGGTTCCGCATTGAACTGAGCTTCGTCGACCTTTCTCTCATCCTCAAGGGCAGTGGAAGGAGAATTCTGAGCCATGTCACCGGTAAATTCAGCCCATGCCGAGTTTCTGCAGTCATGGGTCCGTCAGGTGCAGGGAAGACGACATTCTTGAACGCCTTGGCTGGTAAAGAGACGGGTAGCAGGATCACCGGCCAGGTCTTCATCAATGGACAACCAGGATCGATACAATCGTACAAGCGGATCATTGGATTCGTCCCGCAGGACGACATTGTCCATGGAACTTTGACAGTGGAAGAAAACCTCTGGTTCAGCGCGAAATACAGGTCCTATTGTCTGCCACCACTGTCTCCATGTTTTCCTCGACATTATTGTTCTTCACGACTCCAATGATTCACTTTTTCTCACGCGCTGCATGATGGACTTCGAGTGTGACTGAATCGGAAGATAGCCGTGAACATGAACCTGCAGATTGCGGATGCTGAGTGCTGCTCTGAAATTTACACTCTTTGTCGGCATTGTGTTCCAGGCTTCCTGTCGGGATGCCCAAACGGGAGAGAGTGCTCGTCGTCGAGCGCATTATCAACACATTGGGCTTACACTCCATTCGAGATTCACTTGTGGGTACCGTAGAGAGGAGGGGTATATCAGGCGGACAACGGAAGCGAGTCAATGTAGCGATGGAACTGGTGATTGAACCATCTCTTCTGATCTTGGACGAGCCAACATCAGGATTAGATAGTACTTCATCACGTCTCGTCCTCCAGGCGCTGAGACGAGAGGCCCTGCTGGGCGTGAATGTGTGTGTAGTTCTCCATCAACCCAGGTGCGCACGAAGCCCTTCGAGCTACCTCCTCAACCTCTTGCATTCAAATTGTTCCTGATTTGTTCTTATTTTTAATTACGTCGAGGGCCGGGCATTGTAGAGATTGCTGAGTCTGAAGGATCATGTTAAAGTTGATCAGTAATGTTCAGTGCATCGTATCTGGGAGTTGGATCCCTGGAATATTGTGTTGCAAAGAAGGGCTTTGTTTAAAGGAAAGAAGAGATCGGGAAATCCAAACTGCTGATTGCTGATGAGAATGTCTGTTGACTGCTGATTGTTGTTTCAGCTATGGACTCTTTCGGATGTTCGATGACGTTATGCTCTTAGCAAAAGGTGGATTTACGGTCTATCTAGGACCAGTGGATGAGATTGAAGAGTACTTTCAGTCACTGAATTTTGAGGTACCAGATCGTATCAATCCTCCAGACTACTTCATGGACGTCCTCGAGGGCGCAGCTGTACCGGAGAGGGACCCAACTTTCGATGTGACGACTTTACCCGTGCTCTGGATGTGCCACAAGGGCTACAGAATTCCCCCTGATCTACAAGACGGTGACACGCTAAACGGCAAGAAACGGAGGAAGCAGGACGACTCCTCGAGGTTAATAAAGAAGTCATTTACTCAAGACGCTTGGGATGATCTCAGAGTGTATGTGGTGGTAACGTGGGATGCTATTGAGGGAGTTTTCTCACGCGTAAAGGATCTGTCTGGTCGACGAACCCCGGGGTTCCTGAGTCAGTATCGTCTTGTCCTCGGAAGGTGAGATATTGGCAATCATTCTTTGAGAAAAGTTTCTAGGAGTGTGCCATGACGAGTGAATCCTGCGCTCACTATATGTAAGGGTTTATGTTTTCTGTAATGATATTGAACTGCTCGTCTGGCACATGGAGCAGGGTGGCGAAACAAAGGTTTCGAGAGGCCAGATTATTTGCTCAGGACTACATTATACTGCTCCTTGCCGGTATATGCATGGGAGTAATGGCAGACTGGACGGATTCTAATCTGGGAGCCAAGGGCTACACCTACACTATCATTGCCGTCTGTAAGTTTCTGTCCTTGCTTTCGATTCTCACTTCGTTTTCGCCATAAGTTCTGATGTGCCTTACCTTTCTCACTCATTTATTCCTGCTATGTGGGGCTGATTCTCTTCGATATAAGCTGGAGTTGCTATGATTTTGATTCAAAGACGCTTCGTAATTGCAGCTTTACTGGTCATGATTGCGTCCTTGAGAACGTTTAGCACCGACAAGTTGAACTTCTGGAGGGAGAGTGCTTCTGGAATAAACAGACTTTCCTTCTTCTTGGCGAAGGATACCGTGGACCACTTCAACACCGTCATTAAGCCTGTAGTTTACCTTTCCATGTTCTACTTCTTCAACGATCCGCGATCCACTTTCGCTTCCAACTATATCATCACCCTGGCCCTCGTTTATTGCGTCACAGGGATCGCTTACGTTCTGGCCATTGTCATGAACCCAGCACCAGCTCAGTTGGTAAGTGGCCCCCTTTGCATGACATTCCTATTCGAATCGAGTTTCCATGTATCGTATATTCGTGCTAGTCCCTTCATTGAACAAGCTTCTCTGAATTTCCTTCGCCAAATGGTTCGTGCCCTGCGTTTTGACATTCGTTGAAACTTGGTACTTTCGAGGCTGACTTGCATTGGATTGAATACAATGGCAGTTCTCTGTTTTTATACCCGTCGTGGCCACTCTGATCGTCACCGGATCGAGAACCGGAACAATGTCGTACATTGCCGATATAAGCTTTGCTGAATGGGCATTGGAGGCGTACGTGATAGCGAACGCTGAAAGGTTTGACTCAACTCTCCTTCCTTCCCTACCTCTTCCTTTCCCTCTCCAGGGCACCACTGTGTCATTCCAACTTGCCTGCCACTAGTTATGGCTGGAGCTTCAGATTCTTGTCTTAGTCTTCGCTCCATATTTTATGTCAGTGGACACCTTCATTGTCTTGATTGAAGATGATGCTGAGGTTTGGGTTTATCAAAAGCGAGTCGTTGAGGCTATTGTAGTAGGCCATGTTGCTGAGAGTGAGCTTTATGCCCATGCAGGTATACAGGGGTGTGGCTGATCACCCGATGTGGAGTTATGCGGGACAAAGGCTATGACATCAGCAACAAATATCTGTGCATCGGAGTACTGATAGCGTACGGGATGGCAGCGAGGATAATTGCGCTGCTGTGTCTTCTTATGTGCAATAGGAAACGACAAAAGTAGGACGTCCTAGATCAGCTGTGCATAATTTTTGCAGTTTCAATTGTTTTTCCCTTTAGATCGCGGAAGTATCCCCTGTAACAATCAGCAAAATGTACATGAGAGGGGGGTATCGATTGTAATTTAGACGTTGAGTGCGCATCTTAAGTTGTTTACCTTTTCTTGGAACGAAGATGTTATCAATCCCATTGGATTGGAAGTTTTTTCATCAATCATTAAATTCCGAGCAAGACGAGAAATCGATCATTTATATCTTATATATTTGTTTGTTTTCTGTAAGTTCTGCACCTTTCCGTTCAAGCACTCGATGCGTTTACTTTCACTGCCTTTTAATCTGTTGCTCTGATCTGACTTCCGTCTGCATGCATAAAAAAATGTCTCCGAGGTTGTTTCTGACTGTAGAATGCGGACTTGAACAATGGCAAGGACCGTAAGCACAATATGAGACCCAGCAGCTTTACCGTAATGGTACATGAGTACTCTTCCATCGCAACTACAACGTTGGTGGTATTGATCGGCCGTGCCTAAAATAATGGACACTTTTAGAACCACAATGGACTTATATTTATCAGTAACCTGCTCGTAGAGACAAACAAATCGTCAAGGATGCCGTACCTCTGACCAGAATCATAGAACCGTGGCGTCAAATTGTCCAGTGTAAAACTAGATTAATTAGTTGACCAATATAAGGCGTGTTGGTTACTACTTTTAGATCGAGTACTGGATATGACTCGTGTTTCGTCGTTCGGTTTAATCACCCGACCGTACAACACCCACGACGACGACACAGTAGCATAACAGAAAGTATGCCAGGACTCGTAAACTGGGACAAGGAAGAATCCAAATGGGAACAGGGTCTAGGTCCGAATAGCATTGAAATGTCATACTGCACCTAATCCACCCTAAAACTTTTCAAAATTGGACAGAATCCAAGATGGAAAGGAACTTACGAAGAAAGCCATTGAATTTAGTTGGTAAACGATAAACCGGAGAAGGGCGGAGTTCTGACTACAGAGAGTCTAGCTTAGAGAATTAGTCCCTCTGAGCACAACGATGCGTGAAGCACAATCAAGTCCCTTGATTCAATTAAACAGCTAGTGGCCGTACTGTCTGAAAACTAAATCGGCACGCTTTTCTCGTGATGATACCCTCTGTACTCTTCTTCCATAACTCACACCATAAGTCTGCATTGCATGATCTCTCATATACTCTGCTTTCTCTTCCACGCTTTCGCTCTTTACTCTCCCTTCCACGCTTGTTCGTCCCCTCGTTCTCTGGCGTTGCCACCAGAAAGCTGTTTGTTCTCCTCGATGATGAGGGTCGGTAGCCGAGGAAGCCCAGCTGAGCATGCGACCTCTGTGATACTGCGAAATTGGCATCCGAAACATGCTCGTGTCCTGACCTATAATGTGCACTAGATGAAAAGCTGAGCCAGGTTGCAATCGAATTTTGACATTCATTGGTCGAGAAAGCCAAGGAAAAGAAGCCCGAAGATACGGAGGTGCAGATCGGAAACGTTCCGGGAAGATAAATCTCCGTCAATGATTACCGGATCATTTGGAAAGATTGGATTGGGATATAACACCTATCCGGTACGGGGTGTCGGTGCTTTTGTTAAAAGGTGTCGATTCCGTGCATCATGCACAGGAGAAGCTGCACAGTCGATTCTCGTGTATAAACATGTACCGAATAATGGGAATGGTAAAATTTAATTTCGTTAGAGGGAAAAGATTTCTGAATGCAACTTCAAAGCACGTCGAGACTGCGGGAGGGAGCTGCTCGAGAATCGTGGCTCATGTGGATGATCGTCCATCCGACCGGCAAGACCACCAATGCCAACCGCCGTAGCCCATGCACCAGCACATTTGCAAAATCTCTAGCGGAAATTGCTGATTCTTAAAGTCAGGAGTGGCGGTTGAGGTCCGGTGCCTTTATGTCCAGGTTCTATGGAAATCAGATCGACGCAGTTACCTCGAGCATCTCATTTCCCCGAAGCGGACGATAACCCACCGTGATTTGAGAACAGGAAAAGAAAAAATCGCTGCGTACGAGACAGCATGAGCTTGCTTTATCCACATGCCTCGAATGAAATGCAACGGCAGTTCTAATCTGCGATTAAGCATGAAAGGAAAGGAAACCCATTGTACAAAGTTTTGCACCTTGTGACTTCATGATACTAAAGCTCCAATGGCTTTCCTACAATACCGTACAGTATGTTGTTTACAGAGCTCATCAGTGATGCTATCTGGTCATCTGTAAAGTGCATGCACTGCACTGCACCTCAGTGATCATTGGAACACTGCTTGCAGTAGGTCTGAGTTTGGGGGATCATGTGCGAAGTGGTGGATAATATCACGTACTTGGTTGTGGTGGAGAATACCACAGTTCCTGTTCCTGGGCCCGATTCCTGAGCAAGGTCCTTTTGTGGTGATGATCCCAGAGAATGTTGCAGCTCTTATTCAAGTATCGGGTCTCCCTCAGGGAAAGCCAAGCGGATTCGTTTCGTCATTTGCAAAGTGTTGTATCCGTGGGCGACACACGGATCCAACATTTGCAATTACTTTCTTGACGTGTCAGATTCTTCTTTATTTGTTTCGAAGTCAGAATGTGCCACTCCTATGGACCCGCGCTGAATTTACAGGTGGGATAACAAAGGTGAGTTGATGTTGAGCTACAGCTGTTCTCTGCTACGTTTGTTCAACGAGCCACATGTTGTTCCTACAACTGCATTGTATGAATTGAAAGGACAAGTGGATATCAGATATGGTAGAAATGTGATATTTCTCAAGTTTCAATACTTTCTTGTAGACTATTCCATATGTAAAATACTGAGTAAAAGTATAAAAAAATTTTAATGAGATTAATTAGACGGTTTGAATAAATTTATTCAAAGTCCTTGGTATTCTTACTTAAGAATATTAGATATTTATTAGTCCATAGAATATATCAAAAAACTATTTGAAACCTTTGTTACTTGTGACTGCGTTATTTTTGAGAGTGTTTATTCTACTTCGAGTTAGTCATAGAAAGTCTTGATTACACCTCGTATTTGGTTATGTAACATTGTTAAGTTTCTTATGATAACCCACTTTGGAGTTATCTGTAGGGAATCATGAGTTTGGATCATTGGGCATTAGTGCACTATTGAAAGTTATTTCAGATTGTATAGTCTTCCATACACATGAAGAGAAATTTTTTTATGTTTCATTGAAATTCATATATTATGTGCTTGTAAAGACTAATGTACCTTTATCGAATCCTACTGAGCTCATACTAGATTCCGAGTGATCACATTCTTTTACTTCTATTATCATGACGATTTCCATTAACGAATTAATTTCGATCCACAATCCATCATACTAACTCGACAAAATGATCTTTGGAATGAAATTAATTCGCATGGTTGACTATAATGGTTCAAGGTTAACTTTTATCTTCATATTGCATACAAATCTTTTATCATGTCAATTTCAAAATGTAATATTAGAAGTCAAGACATGAAATCTTTTGCAAATTAATCATTTTATCTATAATGAAATGCATGACCTTCTTTTCCTTATGTTCTTTTAGTTTTTTTGCTTTCAACCGCACCTGACATTTGATATGATTTTCTCTAGTTATGCTAATTGGTTTCACAATTTTTTTATGCTCATATTTTTCATTATCTAGATTCATATCGATTTCCACACCTTTACTGCTCATTAAATTCATCTAGCAAAGTTTCATTCACAACGGAATGGAAATACCATGAAAGAAACTTATCTAGTACATTAATAATTCAAACCTCTAAGATGAGATTCTATCATCAAAATAAAAAAAATACGTCTCATTGTACCTGAAATGTCTAAAATTTTCTAAATATCCATGCAATCCTTAAGCACTAATAATTTTCAAAAAATTTAGAAAACATTATATTTGAAATTTTTGTAGAAAACTGCATCATTGTCTCAGATATTTTATTCTTTTGAACTAAAAATGAAGATAAACTATATCAAAATGAACAAACCTTCGGTGTTGTAACTACTTTACCTCAGCTTTACAAAGGTTTTAATTGAACACTCCTAAGCATATAATTGAAAAGGTTAATTTAGGTTAAAGAGTAATATCAGATTCTAGCTATTTATAGTTAGGTTTGTCGAGTATATATACGGTTCTGTGTATTACCAGAGAGAACATTTAGTACAATATCACGATTCATTTCCTGTAGACATAACCTTTTGTGGTGAGCCTTTGTTTACTGTCACTCAGTTTTGCATTAACAGATTGTGCTTCTATTCAGCCACCACTTTTATTCAGATTGCTTCAATAAAGAAATCTTATGACTTTGTCTGCGATCATAGCTTCTGGCACTGGAACGCACAAAGTTTGGTATTGAAGTATTTTTTTGCCTTTAGCATCTCAAGGAAAATATGAAACAAAGAAGAAGAAACATACTTAGCACTGGGAATTATTGAGAGAGTTTCCTCTGTCACAAGTTGGAAACCCAGGCAGAATCTGTATACCTACCTCTACAATACCCGCTTCATCCCACCGGACCCGACTTCTTTTCTATACACCACTTCTCATACTCCACACTCCTCGATTCAATGAACTTGAGCTCATCAAAGTTTAGAAGACTTTCTCTTATACTCCCCGTTCACGCATTCTTGCTGAATATCAAACCCCACCTGCCATGTCAATGTTGTTCTCTGCGACCATCCATTCGCATCTACTTCGGTATAAGGCGACTTGCACAACCCTCGCGGGCACACTTGATGCTCTTCTTGTCACACATGCCGAAAGCTATTCACATATGTTGCCATATGGGGCTAAAGTTATAACAAGAATGTTGAGTTTGGTCCACATGGTGATAAAGTGACTTTTTAACCCTTTTTTGCCAAATTTTCTCATCAAACTAACGCCGAATGGAAAGATCCCTCATTTCCAGTTTGTAATTGTGTTGATTTCAAACCTGAGATCAGATTTCCTCATCACTTTCCGTGCCTACTCACCTCGGAACCCAAGTTTGCTAGGTTACTAATCATTAAAATATTGACATCTTATCATGTTTTAATGCTTTTCTAACAAAGAATACGTGAAGATGACTTTTTCAATTGTCTTCTTATAATTAACATGTCAACAATACTATAACCTAGATTCATGACTTTTGAAGCTTTTAAAGATGAGGAGTAGGAACGAAATAATACCATGCATGACACTTTTTAGATTCTCAAAAACACATGATAAATTATGGTAGGCAAAAGTTTTTTTAAAGTGGCAAAAGTCTGCAATTTGTCGTATATACAATTAGGCAATATTTAATCCAATGTATTTAAAAACCTAAAATTGTTCTAATGTTTCACAATGCCAACCTATTACTTTTGGTGCAGCGTATCCAAATAATGTTGACATTATCGATACGTGGTATAATTCTCACGTGAAGAGAGAAAAATAATAAAATTCAATATCCCAGAGATGTTCACATTTATTATCCATGGGTATAACTGCTAACTCATAGCTAACTGACAAAGATTTCTCAGAAAACTTTCTGTTTTTCTGACTCATGCCTTTTCATAAAGTAAATACTATAATTACCACTGTAACAAAAGGATGAGAATATTTCGAACATTTGGTAAAGATACGAATGCATACACCTATCAATAAATGTCAATTTTCTTGTATTTTCTTTCAAGGGTTTACGGCATTTTGGCGCTCGACAAGGTACTGGAGTGCCCAACACTCCAGTGTACGCCACTGGATAGCCACCCTAATTTGAAACTGGAGTGCATAGTGTAGCGTGAGGAACATTCAGTCGTACAGTGAGGAGCGCAATGCCGTACACGGAGACGAGCGTGTGAGAATCGATCCGATCTACTGCCCTCGAGCCATTAAAGGCGGCTAGAACGTCGTTAAAATGCCAATCAAGCCATCAACAATAAGATATGATAATTCCAAACATTGACCTCCTGACAGAAGGATGATGGACTATGAGGTCAGATGGACTCATGAGGTCAGTATTGATCGATCGACCAGAGAAGGAAGGGAACAAAACAAGTGACATTCACACTCTACCCTCTAGCGCACGAGCACATCATACCACATCACTCACTGGCGAGGGGTGGCGCATTCTGACGATCCATTGGCATGGAACTAACAGTCAAAGGCGCCAATGCAGCCCCACGTGCAGTACGGGAAAGGTCATCGCTGGGCCTCGTTCATGTCCAGATAAGGATGAATGCCTCCTCATAGCGATTCGCCCTTAGCGGGTCGAAGAATTTGGGCCCGGTCAAACGAATTACAGTGCCACTGTGATTAGAGAGAGTGAGCACGGACGCCGTCTACGACGGATGAGCAACGAGAGGTGCGAAGAATCTCGTTGCCCATGAAATGAGATGCTTTGAAACAGCTCAGCTCGGGCCGTCACATGTTTAGGCACAGGGACAGGCGGATCTGAGCGAACCAACCAAAGCGCTGTCAAATCGATGAGGACTCGAAAACGAGTCGAGGGTGCACAGTGAGTGGTGAGAGGGAACTCTCGAGAGAGCAAAACGAGGGAAGGGTGGCTGCGTGGCCTCGGCCTCCTAGCCTCCTGGCCCACTGGCTTTATGGCGGGTCCGGCTTCCTATCATTGCGCTGCGAGCCAACGGAACACATTGCTGACACCATCCACTACGACAAGGTTCACCGACACAAGTGGAAGATGCTGGCTGCTTCTCCTGTGGAAAGATCCCCCTGGTGCAGGATGGTGAACAGACATCAGCGGGATCAAGACCCAGTGTGTAGTCGTTAGTTGTGAGGGGCTAACTCACAGGGACTTTCACAAACACATCCAACAAAATGGGGTCAAGCGATAATGGCTGAGCCCTCTGTCCCATAACTTCCAAATGTTTGGTAGAGCAAATTCGAACTGTTTGAAAGATGCGCGAGTACGACTTCGTTCAACCATAGCACTCACTCACTCGCCCACAAACAAGCATCATGTGGAAGCCAACGACAGACAAAAGATCAAAAATCGAGTCGAGATCCTCCTCGATCTTTTTCTTTGAAATGCTGGTTCCGTGCTGTGCAACAGGAGGATTTGTGAATCCAACCTCGAGATTTTGTGAGCACAAGCAAATTCTCTCTCTATAGTGTGATCCACTGCTTCTTTCGAAGTGGACCGATGAGGCAAATCAAATCTAAAGCAAAACAAAATCAGATCAGCCGAGAGGAGGAGAGGTAGACTAGATGGACGAATATATCTACGCGTTCTACGTTTCCTGTTGCTGCTGCTGCTGCTGCTGCGCTCCTCCTCTATAACTTGTGCTGGCGTCGTCTTCCTCTAAGTCCATGGGTATGGGAACCACGTAGGGGTTGAACACAAATTCCACGCAGAAGTCGGTGGGCATTTTCCTGCGAATCCAATTCTTCACAACAGGGTCCGTCGTCTCCTCCTCTATGCTGCCGAACCTTTGGCCGAAGCACGAGAAATTCCTCGTGTAGCTAGTTTCCACTACGAGTTTCTTTGGTAGCCCGCTCAGAACAGCGAGAAGTATACAAAGGCACTGTTCTTCGCAATCGGGAGCCAGTCTAAGGTCGTTCAAGCATGTGACGGTGATGATCCTCGTTCTTACGTCATACTCCCAGTAGCTGTACTCCTCCCTCGCCATCGCCAGAATCAATATTTCCTGTATATCCGTGGACGCCCCGCGGTAGAAATCCAGGACGTCCATGTCATCGGGCATCTATCTCCCCTCGGCCTTCACCCGCGCTCTTCCTAATCTAACACTCTGCTAAACTGACCGAGGAAGAACAATCTGTTGAACGAGTTCTGACGAGACCTGGGACCGATGTCTTTGCTTCGGCGGCGGCATGCTCGATCCGGCAGGCAGGCCCGACCCGCTACTGTACTTTAATCCTCGAGGTCCCTCCCACCGACGTCACTCCCCGACCAACTCAATTCTCGACGGCCAGAGTCTAATCGCCTACGTGCGACTGGATGATGGCGGGCGTCGACCTTCAGATAACCCTCAGCGCTGCTCCACGGCCTCAGAGTACGAGGTCAATGATATTGACCCCGAGAGCGAGACGCGAATTTATCCGTGAGCCGATAGCTGGAGAAAAAAATTCGAACCCAAAAACGGAAGGTCTTGAGCGGTGGGACTTGCGGTACAAGATCGCAGGTGAGGGAGGAAAATCTTATTTTGGGATAGCAATGCGGTGCCTCTGGAAACCCGAATTGATCGGAGGAAAGGGGCAGGTTCGGAGCGGTGCATGCGACCGAAAACTTTTTTCTGTTCGAGAATAAGAAAATCGAAGAAAAAATGCCGCCACTCGTGCAGAAAGTTCTGCACGGGTGTCGTTCATAGAGCTTGGGCTCGCCGACGAGAATAATTCCGCGGTCGCCTACCACCGAAAACCGATGTGCATCCCTGTGCCAGCTCGAATTTTTTCACTGGCACGACGGCACCGATCGTTTTGACTCGTGTATAATCGTCTTCCCCCAATCCGGCGCTGAATTGCTCGCTCGCTCCCCCGCTCGGAATAAACACTCAAATATTTACGCCCAGTCTCAGTTTTGAAGCTATAGAGGCCCCGGTTTCGTCGTCTAGTTGAAGAAACGAGAAGTAGGCTAGAAGAGACGGGCGAGATCTCGAAGGAGAAGGTGGAACTGACTTCGCTGGGCCTGCGTGACATGAAATAGAAATTCAAGACATGGCCACACTCGGTCTTGCATCTTGAGCAGACGATATCTCAGTTACCGGACTTGCTCACAAAGTTGCCAACCATGCCATGCTTCAGTAGTCAGGAACAATGGGTCGGTCCAGACAAGGGAAGTCCTGCCGACTGCTCCTGTGAGCGATACAGATTTCACACGCATGATACAAGTACAAAATCTCCGGTAGCTTGCAGCTGGGAGTAGGAGAGGACGTCAAAACAGGCATGAAAAACTCGACGTTTTACGAGGTCTACACGTTCACAACAGAGCGTATCGACATACGCAGAACACGAAGCCAAATGTATGTATGGAAGTGAAAGGAGGAGGAGTGAAATTGAGAAATGGATGCTCGGTGCACAGAAATGAACATATTTAAATTCAATAGAACAGAACCGATCTTACATTGAGTAAGCACAAGGTCCGCGCAGACGGGGCCGAGTGAGTCTACTCTCTCATCAACCTCGCAAGGTAATCTCCCCTCCCCTTCTATTTCTCTGACCTCCCTCTTCACATCCTCAGACTCACCTGTACATAAAATTGAATTGCTCAGTTTGATATCTTCATATACGTCGCCTCTCGCTCACGCTCAGCCGCTCTCGCTAGCTTGCTTACTGTGTGGAAGGGCTCGTCAGATGTATACACAAAGTTTCTACATTTTTAGGAGTTCCCCCGACAGGACGGATGCCATCGGACCTGGCCTTCCTATTCCACAAGCACGTAGATGGCATAGATCATTCCGGGGAGATAACCGCAAATGGTCAGGAGGAGACAGATCCAGAACTCCACCTGCAGCAGAAGACGAGAGCAAACAACAAGACTGGGAATTATGATCACATCCTAAGAGCTCGACCAGCGACGACGACGACGACCAAGCAGACGGGCATGTGAGACATGCGTATGTCTGTCTGACAGTGGACATCTATCTCGCTCGCGCTCGCACTGTTGGCGAGACGCATCGCGCAGGTTCTTTTACGCTGCCGACACCGGACGAGCTGGAGGGACAAAGCTGGCTGGTGACAATTTACCCTCACATTCCACAGGAGCTTGACCAGCTGCAGCAGGTGGCAATCAGGGAGGAAGACCCATGCCGGGAAGGTTCGCACGCGCACTGGATCACAAGGTCCAGCAGCCGCTCATCAACTGCCTTCCATAAATTCTGCTCATGGAACTATGCTGCGCAGACTATGCGAGAGCCCAGCTAGGGAATCCTGAACAATGCCCGGTCGAAAGCACTCTTCTTGCAGGTAGGCTCTCTGTCGAAGGCGGTGGTGGTCATGGTGCGCAGAGCACGGGATCGCGCAACGAAATTGGCAGGAGGGGGATTCAGGTCCGGGGGCAAATCGCAAGTGGCACTCTCGTAACTCTACCCCTCATCCTTCCTTCCAAAGGTCAACCACCGAAAACGAGGAAAACTCCGACACACCGAACGAACGCCAACCAATTCAGCGGCCCCGGCAAGCGAAATATCTTCATGCGCCAAGGGAAGGGACGGGGATCGAAGGGCAGGGCACAGAGGGAAAGAGGGCGAGGGGCGAGGGGACGAACCTGACATCCGAACTTGAGAAAGACTCCAAGAGGGGGCAGGATGAGAGCTAGAAGGACATCAATAAAAGTCGAGGTATTTCCCATGCTTGTTGCTGATTTACACCTTACCACCACCCTCTGGTGACACCTGGTGGTGCGGGGAGGAGTACTAGCAGTGCTAGCGCTGCTGCTGCGGCTGGCACACCACTTTTGATTCAGCTCACAACTTCCCTGAGGGCGACTCCGCCTCAATTCGCTCGCTCTGGCATGCTCGGGCTCGCCCTGCCCCCTCCCCTCCCCTCGCCTCAGATCTCTCCTCCTCCTCGTTCCTTGCTTTCGCTCTCCCCACTCCCTCGCCTCCTCGAACCTTAGCACTTTTGAATTACTGCTGCTAACCCAACCCAACCCAACCAGCTCTGCCCTGCTCTGCCCTACCCTGACCTCCTCTGCCGCGGGATTCTCCCGCATGTGCCCACGACGCCCGCCTTCCTTTCCGTCCGCCGGTCCAGTCCTCATCCCAGGCCAGACAGACATAGAGACAGTCGGTCAGTCGGTCGGTCATCGAGCCAGCGAGCCTCCGGCGTGCAGGCTGCAGGCAATGGCTGATGGTGATTTCTCGGCACCGAGCGCGAAGAAACCGGTAGGCGTTGTAATGTAGCCGGCTAATTTTCGGCTAGCCGATACAAAGTGCTAGCCGGCTAGGGACTCAAATTTTGCCGGCTAGCCGTGGGCTAATCGACTATCGGCGCATACCGGTTGAAATATGCGGCCGAAATAAGGGTGAAGGGTGTTAATTTCGGATGAATTGGCCGAAATAATCGGCTGAAAACGCAGACTCGATCCGAGTTTTCGGATCGTTTTCGGCCTTAGATAGCGTTCCGGTGACCCGGTAAGTCGACGGCTATATAACCGGCTAGCCGGCTAACAATAAATATTTGCCGGCTAGCCGTTAGCCGAGCTGTGAGCATCCCTAAAACCGGGCTCGGGCTCTTGACGGGAAGTGCCATCCATGCCCTGGAAGTGCCAGTTGCCGCGGTAGCCCCGATCACACTTCCCACACGACCATCAATTCTCGGAGAGAAGCTCACAAAAGGCCGCACACGTCCGAGACCCGATGCCGGTCGCCCTCGGTGTCCCGCCGTAGGCCAGTATCTAGGCTCCGCTTGGCTTGGCTTGGCCTGGCCTGGTATGGCCTGGATGGGCTCGCAGCCTTGGTCGGGGCCTGGTTTGGCTGCCGGCCTGCCCGGGCCTGCCATCGCTTCTCCCGCAAAGTCGGGGGCCCCGGGTTGCATCCCAGCCTGGCATATACCGGACTCGCCTGGATGGTCTCGGACGACCGAAGGCGTACGCCTGCTCGCCTCCGGTCAGCCCAGTGGATCACCCGTGGCAAAGCGCCTTGTCCACGTCAGGCTCGGATTCGGGAGATCCTCCACCCGAGTCTATTTGCTCGTTCATGGAGCCGGTCCCGAGTCCAACTGGACGGCAACGAATTCTTTCGGGTCCGACGGACGGCCAGACCCAGCGGACCGAGAGAGTGTACGCACCCCGGTCTGCCCCAAGTCGTTAGTAGAATTGTTGGCGGTAGAAGACAAAGCACATGGAAGATCCACTCCGACGCCCCAAATCTGCTCGACAGAAGCAGATCTAAGATGAGATGTGCATGTGGGGCCGCCCCTTCCGCTGCTCGCTTCGAAGCAGCGGCCGATGAATCCGATGAAGCCGATCATGCGCGGGCGCCCTGCTGCGACGTCATTCCGGTTCATTCCGTTCGTTTCATCCGCGCCTTTAATGGCCTTCTACATCCAATCGTGCTCTCCCAGTACAGTACAGTACATGTAGTGGAGATCGCGACGAGCCTCTCCCCGCTGTGTACAGTACATTAAAAATACTGTACCGTAATCCATAGAACCTACGATACCTCCGAGCGTAGGACTGAAAAGGACCAAAAAGGACCGAAGGGCAACGAAGGAAGGAAGGAGTGATGAACGAATGGACGGAGGTGGATAGACCTGCGGGCTGCCATGGCTGAGCTGGAGTGGACAGCTGGCGCTCGAGAGCCTACACGACAAGCCCCACTGTGTTGTGAATAGGCATGGGGGCAGATACTGTTCTACCAGTCTACCAGAGAGCGGGGAGGGGGGGCCCTGGCATTCAGCGCCCACAACGGACAGCCCCACCCCCACCTTCACCTGTGCACAAGCATCGATCAGCGCTTTTGCTGCGAGCTGGTCTCATCATCGTGAACGGTCGGATAAGCCTAAGTCGATCCGAGCTCCGAGTTCCTAGTTCTGAGTCGGAGGAGAGGGAGAGGGAGATGGGGAAGGGAAAGAGGGTCGACCAGCAGACAGGGCCAGCGTGCAGCTTCCGAAGAGTGAGTATTTTATGTGGGTCAGCAGATCTTTGGGAATTCGGCCAGCCAGCGCAGCGCAACCCGACTCGTCACAATGAGGGAGGGAGTTGCATGAGTTAGCCCCAACCACACACGGAGAAAATTTCGCTGGGGCAATTTTTTCAGGGTCACCTTTTTGGGCTCTCGCCCTGCTGCTGCTTATCCTCTGATGACACTGCGTTTGTCTTTATAATGATTTTAAGTTCAGGGGCTCAATCGTTGTGTGCAAGCATGCATGTAGATTAGGCTTAGGGATGAGGCTACCGAGTGTTGCAAGGATCATGATGGCCTGAATTTCCGTACAGCTCGATAGCTGGGACAGCAGAGGAGATTGTTTTTTCGGACGCCCGTGACTCCTTCGATTCACGGCGGGGGTCCGGACTCGGGTTCCCAATTCCGGTCCCTCTGTGGCCACCTGCTACACGCAGCAGCAGCATCCCTGCACACCACCTCACTCGACCAAATAGCTTCGTACATCTGTCCACTGGTTGCAACACCTGCTCTTTGTGTGCGGTTTGGCAAATCCTTGCCCCTGGACTACTCAGAGCTCTACCCTCGATCCATCTCATGCAAGCCAGCCTGCGCTGTCGTGATCAAAGTCGGGAAAAGGGCACTCCCTCAGACTGTCGCGGATGTTACTGTAATTCAGTAGTATTTCGAGCTGAAATTCGCATTCAAGGGATCTGACCCGACCCAGCTCACCCTCAGAGTCAAGTCAACCCACGACGCTCTGCAGTCGAAAGGCGCTCGGTTCAAGCCCTAGGTTCAATGCAAAGCGGTCGGCCTCGAAATCAGTAAACAAGAGCGTGAAGTTTGGAAATCACGCATCAGCTGCGGTTTACACAATTACTCCGGGGGGTGAGGGATTATGGCGAGCTCACCATGGCTTGTACGGTATTGTCACAACCTGAGGGAGGGTGGATGTAGCTCGAGGCCGAGTTGACAATTACAGAAAGTCTTGACGGGACCGAAGTTATGAATCATGTGCTGCACTGCACTGCATTGAGAGGACTGGAGGTCCGGAGCGAGCCATGGGCAGTCGTGGACAAGGACCAGGCGCCATTGCGCAGTATGAACTAACGAAAAAAATCAATTCACATTGTCAGACTGCTTTGCACTTTGGAGGAGGAACGAGGTGGTCATCTGCAAGGTCGTTGCTTGCAGGCGAGGAGATAGAAGAGAGGGAGCGAGGGAGCGATGGACAGAAGGAGGGAGAAGAACATAGTACTATACAGCAGTAGAGTACAGAGCTGCAAATTCGTTCGCGCTGTATCTTTTGTGTCAGAACTGGAGGGAGATTCTTCGTCATCCAGGGCCCAGCAAATGAATCTTGTCCAAGTTCTCGCAACCTTCGATGTTGGTGAGGTGATGTAAGTCTGGCGTAAGGTTCTCTGCACTGCTCGTCGCTTCACCCAGCGTATCCATCTGTTTTTGGCTTTGCTGCAGTGAAGATTTTCAGTAATTCCAGACTGGCCCCTGTCCTGCGGCTGGTACTTTGTTTAGCTAGAATCTGAGCTCACTACCATCGCCAAGAGAGACAAGCTGAGCAACGATCAGACCTCTCCTCGCAGTCAGAACTCGGACCAGAGGTCCCGGACGCTTACGTCCTGCGCTGCGCTGCGTGAAGTTGGGTTAAAATGACAATATCGGGTCCCGTGCGTCGAGTAGAGCCACCTACGGTTGTCCGGACTCCTGGGGCCGCACTCGAGTCTCGAGTCGCCATATGCTTCCCATAGGCCTCTGTCACAGTCTGCTCCTTTGGGTCACAACTTGTTCTACATCATCTTTTCCCTCGGCCCGACCCTCAACCGATTCATGTTATCCTCCACTCCTTGCACCATCCCCTGGTCCCTATAGATTGCCCAAGTTTTATCCATTAAATCTTTAAAGGTTTAGTGGATAACGGGGGAAGTATCTACGAGGTTTTCAATTCATATATCATTTGGAAGTAATATAAATATCATTTTCTTACCATTTTTGCCAATACTCAAGGATAAGCTCTGTTCATTCTGTTTTGAAGCCTCTCACAAGAAGAAAATATTATTTTCAATGGAGCTGTGCAATTGAGCAGGGAAACGCTAGGGGACTAGGAGTTACCTCTGTTTGCCATCGTTTAATTTGTGAGTGCATCTTGAAACACTCTTATAAAGCAAAGGCTTGGATCACGGTGAAGATCACAGCTTGGATCACGGTTTTCCTCCCACCACTGGATGCTTGCTCGCTTCCAATTAAGAGCCCCGATCGGCTGTAGATGTAGGGCAGTGACGCTCCATGCGCTATAAGGGGCGTCAGTAGCTTACAGTACGGTCGAACTACAGTCAGCCAGATCGAAAGGTTGGTGTAATTCCACCGACAAAGCAACCCATCGGCCCGTCACTCGATCGTACCATGTCGTATTGCAATTAATGAGCTGAGCCACGTTTCGACATGCTCCTAGTGTCACACCAATGCACAGCGTAGGAAAAGCAATCCGAGGGTGGCCTGGACTGGCGACCTGCCAAAATGCCAATTCGCTCGCGTACTCGTGAGCATCCTTCAGGACATGCTACATTGCTCCACACACCGGGACGCCCGATGTCCGTACCAGGCCTGCATCCTCTGTCATTGTTCGTCCTGGCCAGCGAGAGCGCGGTTCTTACCTTCGTCAGGAATCAGGATCCCTCCAGCTTCGGAGACGATGACTCGCCACTGGAACAAACCGAAACGCAGCGGCATTTCTGAGAGCACGTCGCTGCAAATTGAATATGTTGGCTTACGGTGAGAGGTTGTGCTCTTGACCGTGTCTGCCGGCCAAACTATCCGACACAGCCCTCGACTTGACTTGACTTGACTTGAACTCCTCGTGCATCGAGATCTTTGACGACCACATCGACGTATGCATCTGCTTGACCTCCCCTTTCGAGGAGATTCCTGCCATTCACATGTAGCCTGAGCCAACAGATGTCATCAACGCTTCGAAGGCTTTGTAACATTTTGGTCAGGGCGTGAAGATTGTGACTTGTGGCGAAGAACGATTCCCGATGAAGTTAATGTAATACAAATGGAGACGGACCCTACGTCAATGTAACGAATCGGACGTCGTTTGCCTCAAACAACCATGGAAGGGACTTGAGTACTGTATCTTCTCAAGCTGTCGGACGGCCAGGTCAACTCCTTCGCATCAGCAAACGCTTTTCGATCGAAATGGTACATCCCACGGTCCCCACCGTCAAGCAGGTCCTCGATCAAGATACCAAAACATGATTGAGGTAGAATCATATCATTCATCAAGAAAAGAACGAGAGGTCTAGAAGTGCACGCCGCTTTTCGGAGCTCCAGTGTGAAGTAAACAAAAAGTAGTGACGACTGGTAATAAGCATGATCTACATTGGTTGCGCTTTAGTTGGACCTTTTCTGTTTGACATGTTTCAAGTTCGACATTGTCACCCTACTCGTCTTGCTGCTTTAAGACCTGACTTTGACAAGATTTGAACATCACCTGACCGTGGATTGTGCACCAACACAAAGACTGCTTCGGCGGGAAACAACCAGGTTTGGTGAGATGATATATTCCACAGGAGAAAGCGACACTACAGGGATGTGCCCATGATTTCCAAGTGAAACAGACATCGAAGTGTAATTCACTCAAAATGACTATCAGATTCTATATTCCCTATGTCTTCGTCATGTTGTACAGTATCATAACGTTGAAACCACTTTACTGTAGATCAAAGTTTGTCCAGGTCCAACTTAAACTCCAACAATTACTATTGACTTTTACGATTATCGTTAGAAAAGAAGTCTTTAGAGTAAATCCTTCATATATATTACAAGTTTTGTTCGCGGCTGCAACAGGACGAGTACCTGAACCAGAGACAAGAGATCAAAGGAAAAGAAGATAGGATGAGAAGAAGTAACAAAAGGAAGAGTCACAGCCGGAGCACTGTAATGAACGCTATAACAATAATATAAAAAGGCAGCAGATACAACACTATGAAAAAACTGAGCTGCTCATTCTCAGGTAGGGTCTTGAAGCAGAGGTTGAGATTTTTGCGAGTACAATATCAGTAAACTGTATGTTCACTGAGAATAAAAAGCAAAAAAAAACATACATCTTCACTTGAGAAGAACAAAACCAAAATGTTAAATGAATATCTAACACAACGTTCTAAACATTTTGCCTACAAGTACACATTATATATACAGCCTTTGGATATGTCAACAGAATGAAGGTGTAACATCTCCCGCTACTTGAAGCATGATGTCTCGAGAGGGCTTACATTCCAGGTCCATCATTCACTATGATTTTGTATATTATCAATAGTATTCTAATTGACAAGTTTCATATAGAAGATCATCAATACGAGGAACCTCTGTTTTATAAACATACACTGTCCATATGTACAAGCATTTGAGTAGTGAATCTAGAACTCTACCTAGAATTGTCTACGATGGATGTCCATCGCAAAACAGAAAGTAATCTCTTGGGCCGCAAGACCCTTGAGTCATTTGCTGAGAAAGCAAGCTTGTAATTCTAAACAACCCCTGAGGAGGACACATAAGCTGCTTACCTTAGTTCAAAGGTGGAGCCAGGGTCTGACATGCATGATGTTTAACAACATGGTGCTCATTCATTCTAAGTGCCAAAGCCCGCACTAGTTCGCCAACTCAAACCATTTTCAACACCCTCAAACTTTCTGAGATGTGGGGAAAGCCATGGTAACCCCTTGATCTAAATGCTTCCACGAAGATGTCACAGTTTTGATCTGTGTGTAGAAGTGAGCGCCGGCTTTGCCGTAGAAATTCAGATCTCCAGCAAAAGAACCCTTCCAGCCTGTAAACGAGAAAAATGGCAGAGGAACAGGGATAGGAACATTGATTCCAACTTGTCCAACATCGATCTCATGTTGGAAAAAACGTGCAGCAGCACCTGACTGAGTGAAAATTGCCGTCCCATTGCCATACTTGTTCTCATTCACAATCTTGATTGCTTCATCCAAACTTTCAGCCTTCATGCACACAAGGACTGGTCCAAAAATCTCTTGCTTATAGCACTCCATATCCGGAGTAACATCTGCTATGATTGTTGGGCCAACGAAATTCCCTTCCTCGTACCCAGGAACTTTCACATTCCGCCCATCGAGCACTAGCCGAGCTCCAGCTTGCACCCCAGATTCTATCAGGTTGCAGATTCTTTCCTTGGCTTGTTTGCTGATCACAGGCCCAACATCTGCCCCTGGTTCTGTACCTGCCGTTACTTTAAGGTTCTCAGCTTTCTTCTTGATTGCTTCTTCCCAACGACTTGACTCTCCAACAAACACAGCAGTACTAAGCGCCATGCATCTCTGCCCAGCTGCCCCGAAGGCAGCACCAAGAAGAGCGTTCACCGTCGGCTCAAAAGCTGCATCTGGCAAGACTACTGCATGATTCTTGGCTCCCATATTACACTGCACGCGTTTGCCTGTCAGAGAAGCACGGGAGTAGATGTGCATACCGGCTGCATCGGATCCCACAAAGGAAATTGCCTTGATGTCTGGATGGTCGCAAATGTGATTCACAACGTCATGAGTTCCGTGTACGACGTTCAAAACACCAGCTGGGAGACCGGCCTCTGCTGCCAGCTCGGCCAGCATCATGGCGGCACCAGGGTCTTTCTCGGATGGCTTCAATATGAATGTGTTCCCACAAGTCACAGCCATGGGAAACATCCACAAGGGAATCATGGCAGGGAAATTGAAGGGGCATATACCTGCACACACTCCCAGAGGCTGTCTGATACTGTAGGTATCAATACCTGAAGAAACGTTCTCTACGAATTCTCCCATTTGCATATTCGCCATACCACAGGCTTGCTCCACAACCTCCAGCCCTCGGAACACATCCCCACGAGAATCGGCCAAAGTCTTTCCTTGTTCAGTAGTAATGTTTGCAGCCAGCTTATCCATATCCCTTCGAATGAGCTCCTGAAGCTTCAGCATAATTCGCTGTCTTGTGGTCACAGGGGTGCTCCTCCATTTGGGGTACGCTTCCTTTGCAGCCTTCACTGCTGCCTCAAACTCCTGGCTCGTCGCCAGTGGCAACTTAGACACCACCTCCTGAGTTGCCGGATTGATCACGTCAATCCATTCCGAGGCCTGCGAGTCCAAATACTCACCTCCGACGAACAATTTCACTTTAGGAGGAGCCTGGTCTCGGTCTTCAACAGCCAATCCGCCCACGGATCGGAAGAAGGTGCAGCTCGCACCTCGAGGTTGGACCCTTCCGGCAAGAGAATTTCCTACCGCTGAAGCAGAACGAGTCGCCTGACCTAAAACCCCATTCTCGATCACCTGCGATGCCCTCGAGGAATCATGGAGACCGGCACGAAGGGAATACACGACTGTACTCTTGCTCCTACGAAAAGTTCTAGCTGCTGCTCCTAACATCTTGACACCTCCTTTCCTCTCCTCGAGCCCAAAGATCAGACTCTCTCTTCAAACACAGCAATGCACCATCAGTCAGTCGCGATCGTCCAGGAATCGAACCAGAGTAAAATTGCAACCTTGGACGAGTTTTCGTCTCATCTCCTCCAAGCCATACAACAATTCAATTTATACAATTGAGAGAAATCGATCGGGGCTAGGGTTGGAATGGAACAAACGAAATAGAAATAGAAAAGAAATAGAACGACGAACTGCTCTCCATCTGCAATTCGACCAGCTCGTCGCACAGAGATCGGACGGGCAAAACTCGCTGAAACTCTGGAGCAGGTGGTAGATGAGCTAGCACTGCAAGAAAGTGCCTGCCCCGCAGAGATAAGTGCAAAGCTCATGCAGCTGGCTGATTAAGCAAACGAGCTATTTACCAGGTTGCTGCCTGTTTGGGTCGCTGGGCAGATCGTCCAAAGTTGGCTCCCGCTGCCCTCACTGGCCCCCCAACCCAGTCAACAGAAACCGCCATTGTCCAGATCCCCCGCCTACCGCTATCACTGCCCCGGCCTCCATGTCCACGTGTCCGCCGCTGCCGCCAGCTCCCCGCCTCTCAACGGGCACATGATGGATGAGGTCATCGAGGTGGACCATGACCCCCGCTGATGTGGCGACATCGATGTCACGTGAGGTCAGACCACACGCCGGTATGTCACCCCGCTCACGCTCCCCGTGGACCAGCTGACTGACGGCTCGCAACGGGCTTCGTGAGACCCTACCGTCTCCGCCCACACCGTACGGCATAGAGCTCAACCGAGTCGAACCGAGCCCGTGTCTTGAGTCCCCCGGGCCCCATGCGAGCCGACTGCAGTTGGCGTATTTCATATATCGAGCTGCGTCGATTTATTATCCGAATTTCGACAAGTGTGGTGAAAATGTCGTGGAACCATATCTTCATGTGCCGGTGGTCCAAATGCCGCGCTGGGATGCTCAGCATCTGAATCGGAGTGGGTGACATGTTCCAGTAGAACGAGGCACGGGAGAATAGAGGCTGCAGCAAGCTCGGGTAGAGCTGGAGGAGAGATTGACGGCAGGAATTGGAAGCTGCTGCTATGGCGGCGGTTCTGGCTTCGACGTCATGCTGTTTTCTGGGAGGAGGAGGAGCATGGAAGCCGGAATTGGTGCGCAGGAGGGTGTTGAGTACGGCGAGGTACACGGTGGTTGTAGGGCAGGGCGGGAGTGACGATGTAGGAGAGAAGAGTGGTTCCAGGCTCTCGAGCATTTTGAAAAATAAGCAGCGCATTCTGCAGTCGCAGCTCAGTAGGCTAGAGAATGGTCAATTGGAGTCGCGGTTGTCGTCGTTGGAGCCTTATGAGAGCCCCTACAGGCTTCTGGATACCATTGCTGGACAATTGATGCAGGGGAAGACCACCGTCGTTGCCGAGATTGCGCGGCTCTCTCCTTCAGAATCTCTCGAGAGCTTTTCCAGTCGCTGCTCCAAGTATGTGGAATGGGGTAAGGGTGTCGCCACTGTCGTGAATTGTGGACGAGTCTTTGCACGTTGCTTGTTTTAGTGTTTTGAATCTTCGAAATTGGATTCGAGGCTGTTCAATAACTTCATGAAGAAAGGTGAAGATACTTAGCTACGGTTAGCTATGTTTCTCCAAGACATGTCTAGAGCTTGTGTCTTTGAATCATATCAGCACCTCACCAAATTCTTTAGCTCTGAAATGCAACAACACACGGAGAACAGAATTTACAGCATTATAAGAATATAAAAAATGCAGCTGAATTGAGGATCTCATTCCACACAGTTAAGTTTGGAACTTACTTATAACCTGTTCTACTTCTGAAAAATCCGTGAATGATAACTGGTAATATGCTGAGCTTGTCCATACGTAATTGCAGCAGTTCACCATGTCTCCGTTTTTTTTTAATCGGTATCTGGATGGAAATGAGGATCCTTTCCCCAAATGATCGAATATGATTCGAACTATGCGATTAGCTCCTCGGAGCCAAGCCAGAGAACTGATCCATCCGTAGTGGTCCTGTGAAGTTATTCTTCTTGTAATTGCTCTGGATTCAGGTCAAACTGTGAGCTCTCTATTCCTCAAGCAGAAATTCTGAAATTTAGAATTCTTGCGGGAGTGGAAGGTGGAAATATCCACACCGGCATTTCACGATGACCGGATTTGTTTCATGCGAGGATGAGAAATAAGAGTTTCGGACTAGAGTTTCTGATCTGGCTTGACCAGTTTGACGAGACATCTCTTGGCTGGCTGAGCATGAAAAATTTTTCTACAGGAGTAATTCGTTCTGAGTTTCTCTGAGACAAGACAGACCCTTACTTTCCCTGTTGCCCTCTGCTCCTTGTTTACAACCCTGGTAGTGTGTAGGAATCGCTTGGGTCCAACCTAGCAACTCTCATCAGGACGTAAAGGTTGAGCACTCGCTGGTGTCTGCACTCGCATAGTCCTCACCGTGGAGACGTTTTCCTTGAGCTTCTTCTAATTATGCAGAAATCGAATGTCCATGAAGTAATCTCATCCTTCTGATCCTCGGTGATCCTTGACTGGAAGAAGTATCTGGTGTAAGTGGTTCAATCATTTTGGGACAGGTGGTCGTTATAGTCGAATTATTAGTTGTATTTGGAGGTTCAGCCATTATTGTTGTCGATGGCCTGGTTGTCAAGATGCCAGAGAATCTGACTCTAAGCAAGATCATGATCAAACTTCATGAGCTGAGTAGCATATGACAACTATGTCTAGGTAGTCTCTAAACTGATAAACATCTCACGTTACGAGTTTGTTTGCAGTCTTTCTTACTCCCCTTGTTTGTCCTGGTTTTTCTACTAGGTGCTGATGCCCTTGCCGTCTGTACTGACGAGGAAAAATCTCCTAATGGTGTTGCCGATCTGACTGCCGCATGCCGAGGTTTGTTTCGAACCCATCTCTAGCCTTGTGTTGAATCAGCCTTGTTTGATTTTATGCCTTAGATGGCCTTAGTATTGTGATTGTAAGTACAAGGCGAAACAGAGTTTTTGCCAAGTTGTTGCAAACTAAAAACCTGTTGTGAATCACTACGCAAGTACTGACTTTCTAAGGGTGAATTTTGGTGTGTCGGTTTGTTGTTACCAGCCGTCAATGTGCCGGTACTGCGCAAGGACTGGATAATTCACCCTTTGCAGGTGAGCACATGGAATCTATCACTTCTGTTCATCGCCTCTGTGCTTTTTGAAAGTCTTTCCTAGCATGGTCCTGATCTGAGTTAGCATTCTTATGGATTCCTTTCTGCTTGAAAGGTTGCTGAAACAAGGGAAGCAGGTGCTTCTTCACTTACAGCAGTGTATTCTGTTCTTGGGAAAGGTGACGGCCAAGTCTACCTAATCTACAACATGTTTCCATGCAACGGGCATTATCTGAATTGGTAACGGCCGATGTCTGCTTGAGTGTAAACTGTTCTCTTCTACCGCGCAGCATGCGCCAATCGGACAATTCGCTCTTTCTCATTCTTTTACCCTCTTGGTTGTGTGACTCAGGTTCACCAGCTATTTTGCAATATGCAGTTTCATTGGGACTTGATGCCATTCTTGAGGTATGTGGTTAATGTCTGGAGATTTTTCATGACCTTTTCTCAGCAGTTCATGTTTGAACATATCTATTGTAATGCTGGAAGATGACAGAGTTCTTTCTTACATACAGGTGATCAATCTTCAAGAATTACAAGAAGTCGAACCTCTCGGAGCCCCTCTTTATGGCATTAATCTTTCCGTCGGGATAACCGTAAGGACCTATCCCTTCTTACCTGTTATCAGTCCGTTTTGTGTCTTGGTGAAGTTGGTTCCTGCATGTATTTCTATTTTTCAGACAGAAGACAATTTTGGTTTAGTGTTCTTCAATTCTTTACGGCTCGTTTATCTATCTTGCAGCTATCACTGCCAGGCGTGAGAATGGACATAGCCAAGGCCCTGGTTGGGCAAATACCTTTTGGAGCGTCATCCCTCGTTGTAAGCATACACATCCTCTTACTGTTTGCTGGCTTTAAATTTCAAAAGCCCAGTGTTGGTTATAGCCTTCGCGAAGAGTCCGCTACCAAATTTGAGCTATGCAATGGACGCTGAGCAATCAATATGCTTACTATGCCTGATCAGCATCACTATTGGTAACTCTGGGTCATTCGACGAATCTTCCTCTACCTGCAGGGCGTGTGGTCCATCGAGGAGGCAATACAGCTGAAAGGTGAGGGAGCAGACGCCGTTTATGTGAGGCATGAAGTCTTACAGGGTCGCAGTGCAGTGGAGGCGAAGCAGCTGGTTCCGCGAACGTTTTTGGAGAACCTTAGAGACGCAATGACTGGAGACGATTAGCTCAAATCAAAAACTTCTAACCTGAATCTCTACAACCAACCGTGCAACACATGTCGACCATGTCCATGTAATCTGTACACATAATGAGCCAAGAGTTTGTCGATACTACTCTGTGTACGGTGTTGGTGGCTAGTTCAAGCGTCTGTTATAAAAGATTACAGGCTTCTGGTTAACTCATCTTAACTTTCGGGTATAAGCCACTTGGTATCTTAAACCCCAAAGAATGCATTCTATCTTCATTTACTCTTCTGGCAGTCATTCGATTGTCGACAAGTGAAAGAAGTATGTAATGTCCGACTTGACTTGGATATCAAGGAAGCATGAGCGAACAGTTTTGTTGCAACGTACGAACATTCTGCGTCTGGACTAAACGTGCGCTTCGGTTCAATGATTTGTCATAGCTCAACTCTGATCTCCCGATTCTTAAATGGGAGTTGTATGGCCTGTAGCAACGCAACATCATACTCTGCGCTATCATCTTGATAGCCGGGGTGCAACAGTCCATGAAGTCCAATTATGCGTGTGAAATACCGGTTGGTCTACTGGAAGATTCATCGTGAGTGGTTCACGAAAACATGCATCTTACCGATATTCAAGTGAAGGTAATTACCGATATTTTCTGCTACCAAAAGTTGTACCGAAGTTTCCTGATACAACTACCGATGATGGACGATGGGTGAGTGTATGAATGGATTGTGCTATCTTCGGGCAGCTGACATCCCCTCATACTTCCGAAGACTACGCCGATTGAGGTCAAGGAATAATGTTTGCGATCGAAGATTATCCGTAGGCCTTGGGTCCATCAAAGTACTGAATGAGAAATGAAATCTTGTATCAGTACAAAGCAGTTTCCAAGTTCACCCAGTCTGTTTACGTTGAAGATAGTACGAGAAAAGTGGCACCTCGATCGACTCTACTTCCATAAGCGTGCTAGTCTTCTAAGACTTCCTTGCTTGACTGCTGATTCACCGCCACACGTAACCTTCATTGAGCCATTCTTTGACGAGAGATGTAAGTAATGTATAACAGAGAATTTTACAACTGATCCAACTTCGTACACAGTTTCGTTGGTGACAGGACCCTGACAGCGCAACTCGTGACTCTTCTAAGGAAGCAATTCTCTCAAACTTCTTTTCTTAGTCTGGAAAGGACATGTCAAGAAAGGAGGATATCCACACAAAAAATTGCACTTAAACATATTATTATTCTTCGACCTGTTCATACCAGCTTTAAGATCTCGGGAAGAAGGACCGGGATTTCTGGCGAATAACCCAAATATCTTGAAGCCCCGAATGTTCCGTTGATGTCGGTGGGAGGTAACAATTTGGAATTTGAGTTCCAATGCAGATCAAATTAATACCAGCTTCAAACCCCAGTCATGAAACGCAGTGTGCAGAGTAAAATAAATGACCTGAAACAGGCCCTTTTTCCATATGAAAGATAAAAGTGGGGCCAGTATCGGCGTTAGTCTACTCGTCCTAAAAAAATCATCACATCCAGAAGTAAAAGCTGGTGATAATCATAACCCCGATGTTTATATTACAACCTCTTTCTCTGATTCTATGGTACACACGCCTTTCTTGAACGGAAGGTGTTATGCAAGACTACATAAATGAGTTCTCTAAACGGCATCCTCAGCAGGAGCAGCCATCAGCCGCAACCTCTCATCTGCAACATGACTACCTGTCTTAGCCCTCTCTTCAGACAGAAGAGACTGCAGATCACTACCGTTTGCTAGACTGTTAAATTCCACAGATTTCGACGGAGCAGACGGATATCTCCTTTGACATAGTGTCATCAACCTCTTAATAGACTGTAAGTATTTCCTTGTTGTTTCATCATTCATAATATGTGCCACACTGTTGGTGTAAATCTTCTCCCGAGCAGAACGCTCGTGAATACCAACCATAGTGACTCCAATGGGCCACGGTGCGTTACCAATAGCAAGCTTGATGTACTGATCCATTGCCGTAAGGTAGTCTCTTTTGAGGCAGCAATTGACAACAATCATCAAGGCCTGCCGGATGTCATCTGGAAGCATCTGCTGGATAGAAACAATGGAGTGAACTTAAATTTCAGGCAAGAATACAATTGGCGAGAAAATGCTAGAGAACATATTCTTCCCGCGGCTCACAGAATCGGGCAAAATGCACATGTTACACTGACAGCGTAACATTTTCTGTTGGTGAGTAAGGCGACCTCTTGATTCTTGACTGAGAACTACAAGGGTGTAAGGGTTCACACACATGGTAGACTCTACCGTCCTGGCATTCAGCTGTAAAGGCTAGTTAGCAGCAAATACAAAAAAATACATTCCAAACTCGTCCGCGAGACTGATGTTGGTACATGAATTCAAATCAGATTAAGACTGAAATTTACCCTCTTCCGGCACATTTTAAAGAGCGGCTTCAGGTAACGTGCACACTGCTTGAATGTGGCAACAATTGACTTGCCGCGTCCTGTTCTCTTCTCAGCCTCAGGCCTGTCTTCCAACTCTTGCTCCCATTCCTGCAACAATCGCTTGAAAAACACCAGGATTTTGTCCTCGTCGCTGAGATCATCGAAGTTGCTCTTGAGACGCTTAGAGTCCTTGTCATTCTCAATACCAGATGAACCGCCTTCCCCGTTCATTTCCAGCTCTCCAGCAGCACCTCCATCTTTTCCCTCGTCATCCAATCCATCTCTGTCCCTCTCCTTGTTCTTGTCTTTCTTCGTTTCATAGCGTCCGTGTTTCTCCCTCTTCCTGAGCTCCGTAATATCCCTCAAAAAATCATTTCGTTGTCCTTCCATTAACTCGCTGTCAGTATCAGTCACTCCGGCTTTCAGTAGCGCTTTCAATCTGGCGAATCTTTGATCGTCATCCTCGCCGAACAAAGTAATGGGATGTCTCAAAAGCCGAAGTCGTCGAATTACTTCCGACTTCGGAAGCACCAACTCATCGAGCAACTCCTCCTCCGTAGGATTTTCCTTCGTCTTTTGCGAGCCCTTGGCGGCAACAGGCAGCGAAGATGGCGACTTGTCTGAATTCTGCGACGAAGGATCTTGAGAACCAGACCTAGCTTTCACCTCCTTCGCGAGCTGCTCTACCTTTTCCTCCTCCCTGATTCTCTCCAAGTTCTTCTGTTCAATCTCCGAGCGCTTCACAAACTTCCGCCCCTTGAAGTTCTCATCGAACGCTTTGCGCTTCCGCTCGAGCTCTTTCCTCAACTGATCCATCTTCCCACTCTACTCGCAGCCCTAACTCTGTTAAAAACCCGCGGCTTCTCACACCATTTAATCCAAAAAAATCAGACGAAACGAGAAGCAGCAAAATCGAGGGACTGACTTCACCACCGATGAACCAAACCCTTGTCGATGCACCTTGAAGAAGCCAACGACCCCAAATGATACAATTTCACGACTCGAGCTCGTACCACGACACCAAATTTTCGACAGAGCACTGAACACGAAGAACACGACAACACATTAGCAGAGGCAGGAAGGTCATATTCCGGCAAATTTCCGTAAAATTTGGTCCCTTGCACGTACAATATAAGTTGCGGGTCTCGTCTGCCATGTCAGCATAGAACTGTATCCACGTCGTGGACACATCATTTTCACGTCAACTTCACAGCGGACTGAGCTGGTACAATAAGCCAAGCGAAAGAGTCCTACTCATCTGGCGGTTCACGGCGCGTCGCTTTAGGGTTACCCTCACTGTGAGTCGAGGCTTTGGAAACCGCCTCTTTTCTCGTTCTCCAGGAACTGAGAAACCCGTTCCGAGAAATTGGTTCAGCTTTTGACGAGGCTGGTGTGTGGGTTGCGGTCGCTAGGGTTTTAGGAGGGTTTGGAGTTGGAAATTTGGGGTTGTGAATTTTGCGCCTCTGCGGGGAATTCGATCGCCATGGCCGATTTGGAGGAATCTGATTACTCTGGCAGTGAGTCTGAGGAAGAAGAGGAATCGTCTGATGACGAGCAACATGAGAGGCCCCTCAAGGAAGCTCGGAAGGATGCAACCTACGACACGACTGGAATGCACGAGAAGTTGGAGGAGATTGGATGGCCTGATTCTTTAGACTGGATCCAAACGTGCTCGATTACCGTTCCACTTACCGGGAATACAGTGGACGTGAATGACGATTTGGTTCGTGAAATGGCGTTTTACACGCAGGTAAGCGATATTCTGGTTTTGTGTTAGAATGCGCAGTATCTGAGAAAGACCATGAGGTCGACAATGTGGCACATTTTCTCTCCCAATAGTGATGTTATGTCGTCTTTTTGCAGGCTCTGGAGGGCGCAAAAGAAGCCTATGTTAAGCTTCAGGAGCTTGGCATACCGTTTCTCAGGCCGTCTGACTACTATGCAGAAATGGTGAAGACAGATACTCATATGCTGAAAATCAAAGATAAACTCCTTCAGGATAAATCGAAAATAGAGGAGACAGATGAGCGCAGGAAAGCGCGAGAGGCAAAGAAATACTCGAAGGAGGTGCAGGCGGAAACCTTGAAAGAGAGGGCGAAGAGGAAGAAACAAGACATTGAATCTGTGAAAAAGTGGCGCAAGGTGCGGCAAAAAAGTGGGCATGCGGAAGGAGACGATGGCCCCCCTCCTATCGAGTTCAATGACCGGTCTGGAAATCCAATTGGTGCGCGAGGAGGCCGAGGGGGCAGGGGTGGACGCGGTGGCGGAAGGGATGGACCATCCAAAAGCAGGCAACTTCGAGATGCCAAGTATGGGAGTGGGGGTAGGAAGCGTGGTATGAAGAAGAATGATGCTTACTCTTCTGCCGAGGATGGCAAATTAAGTTCTAGCTTCCAAGGAAAGGGAAGGGGCAGAGGTCGTGGTGGAAGTCGGGGCCGTGGCAGCAGTCGCGGTCGTGGCAGGGGTCGAGGTTAAGTTGTGAGGGGGACTATCTCTAAGTTGTCATTGATTTAAGAAGGTTGGCGTCCAGAGAGTTCTACTTGCGCTGCTTTAGATTGCATCATTATTTTCTGCACAGTCGCCCGGGCGAGTTGCAGCTTATTGACATGTGCCCAATTTTGCTCGCCTATTCTTCCTCGAGACTTTGATGAGTCTCCCCCCGAGGGTTTGCATTTGAAATGCCCAACTCTGTGCCTTCTTTCCACGTCCAATTTACTTGGGCTAGCCAGTAGCAAAGATAGAAATCAGGACTTCGCGATCAGGTTCGAGAGTACTTCTAAGCATTTTACCGGAGACGAACTTCAGCATTTAGTCGTTCTCGCCAGTTGTAATATAAATTGTTGAGTTCAAAATTACATATCTCAGTCCTCAGGTTGAGGTTTTGGCTTCATGGGTTGTAATGGCGTGGTGTGGAACACGCGCAGTAAACGAGGAATGTTAAGAAATTGGGAGTTGGTCCGAATGATCTCGCTCTGGGTGCTTGCCGCCTCCTGCGATCGTTGTGCCGTAATGCATGGCATGCATTTGGATTTTGAATATTCATCCCGAAAGTACTGCTTGTGAATATCTTCCTCTTTTGAATGTGGAAAATTTTATGTGTCATGAATTTCATGTCACTCAAACATGTGACTTAAGGGTTTCTCTTTATGTCCACTTCACAAAGGCATGCGTTTTCATTTTCTTTCACGATACCAATGTAGATATTTGCAGTAGTTCACTCGTCGAATTGAAACGCTTTTTTCGAAAGAAACGTCGAAGGTCTCGAAAGGTAATCAACGTCCTTTCCGTGGCCCAATGACGAGGACTGCGACTTGAAAGAGATTTAGTAAGATAATTGCATCACTAAGCAATAAGCCACTGACTATGCGCTTTTGTCCGAATGTTGCCATTGGACCCCTAAAGGTATGGAGCACGAACATGACCACTGGCCATCTCCACAATTTCTGAAAAAACTAATATCAATTTTTTGGATAATATCTCATACCATATGTGTATCAGTTCCTACAATAGTGAGTTCCGAAAAAACTTGGTGAAGATGACCAGCACACTGAGAGTGCACATCACAGTTAAATGAACGCTTATATGTGAAAGTTCGAAACTAACCAGGTAGAGTAGAACTACAGGTTGGAATTGTACGACGAGGAATTCTACATTTCGCAATAAAACTCGTTGCATCTGAGAACTCTGAGCTCTGCACAGCATTCTGATCTCCAGTTGAGCGAAAGCCACGCGTACTGTAGTACATCTAACTGGAGTCATCTAAGGATTACGGTCTGATACATGGCGTCTTGTTTACTCAGGTGAACGTTTCATACATGGGGCTTGAACACCGATGCCCTCAGCTGTATACTGAGGCACTACGACGCACGACACGAAGCTGCGGGATTGGTGATGAATCGATGAACGATGGCAAGTTTGATGTGCTTTACGAAGTAATGGTGGCCGGCGAAAGAGGATAGGTCAGCGTTGGCAGAAAAAATCAGGTGTGGCCTCATTCATCCTCCCTGTCACCATCTCAAAAGCCTCGACAAACAATATGCAGCCATTCACGGAGAAACTAATCAAACAGGACACTTTCTGGTGAAGTCAAGGTTAGATCTTACCTGTGGCACAGCACGCTCTCTCAGTCACAGCGGCGGCCTTAAGGCGTGGAAAGACCCATCACGTGGAATATTGAAGAAGATCTTGATTCATGGCAACCGAGAGGACATGAACCTCCTTTATGCCGACGAAGAAGGTCATATCGTCGACGAGTGGTGGGCTAAAGATTCCGACCGAGACAAAAGTTATCATCCATAGATCACCACGTGATGTGCATGTGCCTCCCACCAGTGTGAGCAAAAAAGGTAGAAAAGCTACGAGGACTACTTCTCAACTTTGCTCTTATGTTTTACTCCAACGACCACGAGGTCCGATAGATCAGATCGTTTGATTGCTCAAAGCTTGAAAGCACTCGGGAAAGTAGCTGATGCACCGGGAAGTGCATGTGATTGTTGAATGCTGAAGGGAGTTTGAAAGCAGCGGATGAACAACATTGTCCCAGATGCAAGTTGCATCTCAATAGGCCGTCTCCAGAATTCTTACACTCCCACATTCCAGACTCTCATCCTTTTTGCTATAATACTCGGTTGGATATAGGAACTTTCCAGATTCCCACATGGATTCTGGGATCAAGACAACGTGACAAAAGAAGAAAGACAAATATTATGTTATTCTTCTCATATGTATGCACTGTCACACATGTGGCAAAAATATTGACGCGGTACTCCAAACCTCTTGTCAACCGAAGCGAGTATGATCGAGTTTATTCACGGAGAATTGAAACCATCTTCGTCTCAAGACATACACACATATTATATATATATATATATCACACTGGTTAAGAGCTTCAACTTCATATCTGTTCGATAAAGGTTTTGTAAAAGTGTGCCTACAAAAACCTCATAGAAGTCTAGTGGGTTTGTCTGTATCATTTTTCTGTCTCTTTGTCACGTAGAGAAAAGAAACTGCAGAAAAGAGGATTCTCCCCTTCTTTTTGTTCTAGCAAAGGTTAATGCCAAATGCCTTCGAGGTGGAAATAACAGTTATCGGGTTTCATATGCTCCTCCAAACAGACGCCCCTTTTTTAGCTGAAGAACAAAAAGTTGGGTGTGGTCAGTTTATACACCTGAACCAATCTAGTTCATGGATGAGTTGATGGTCATCCTGCGTGCAAGATCCTTGCCTCTATTTCGAGCTTCAGGTGCTAGGACTCCCAAAGGGACCCTTTGTGGTCAAATGTCAGAAGTATGAAAAGGTTAAACTGATTTTTCTTGACGCTGATTATTGTGCAAAATTTAAAGCAGAAGCTCTTTATGGAGGGGTAAAGTTTACTGATGGACACCACGTGTGTTGAACTTCATAAAATGTGTGTGTTGAAATTTAGAAATGCTTCTGGAGATCCCACGAACAAATTACTGATCATCAGTCTGTATCAAGGATATTCGTTGATCGACGAGCGCTATATGAGAACATATGTCCAAGGTCGGTCTACAGATTTCCTGTAGTCAACTTTTCAAGGGTAGACTTTCTGTGGCAGCGACATCTGAAATCAGGACAAGATTCCCCATGGCGAGGTCTCTACGTAGCTACTAAATCGCCCATTCATCTCATTTCTTAACAGTCAAGTGAAGGGAACTAGTGACGCATCACCGAGGGGAATATTACAGCGATACGATCTCGTGGTGTAGGTCTCCATTGGTAAAATTCCAAACTGTCTCGACCAACGAACCGCGAGGATCTCGGTAAAGGATTGCTGTACTTGACGAGTCAAAAAATTGATCATTCAGAGTCATGGACTCAAGTCCAAATTAAATAATCAAGATTAGAACACATGTAAGGAGTGAAAGTCCTTATGGATAAAATTAAAATTCGCTCACATTTGAATATGATTAACTAGTAGGTATATATATATATATATTGAATATGATATATAATTTGTTGATAAAATAATATCTATATATTAAATATACTAGGATCTTTGTAACATATTTCATGAACTTGTCATCATTCGTGTACATAATTAAATATACATTCAAAGTTAGAGTAACAAAGAGTTGACATGTCTGCACACTATCTACATTGCTAATTTCTATTTTTCTTTTTTTGAGACAAATGATGAAACCATTGCAAGAGTAAAAATATATCACCGCCGCAAAACCAGGCAAGGAGTATACTCTGGCGGCGAAACCTATTTTTTGAATTTTCCTACCGAACAATAATACCTACCACAAAACCAATTACACAAACACCCCACATACATACAGGGCGGGTGTAGTTACATCGAACAAAGTTACCATGGAGAGAACAGGTCGTTGGGAGCCCAATAAGTGAAGAAATCAGTTCCGCGTTTTGCCCCGCTTGCTACTTTCCCTTCATTAATCTCCCATGAAAGCGTCAACGTCCCAAGCCCATTCTCGTGACAGGTGTTGAGGATGAACCTCCTGGAGAACTTAGTCTCTACAGGAATCCGCTGTCATAGCATTGTAATCAAAGGGATCCTTCCTGTTCCAAGTAACCTTCGTAATGAAACACGGCTTGTAGGGTGAGGTTGCATGCTAATGATCTCGCTCTCTTTATCTATACCTGCACAAAGCATCAACCCTTCGGAGGGAAATGCCTGCATGTGAACAATATTGGGCAAGAACAAGGTCCCTATATTACTGGAATCAAACCAATGGTTTGATATCATGGTTTGAAACCATGACTTCTCCGGTTGCCGGATTTTATAAAGGCAGGCCACTTAAATTTTGCGGGCCATTTCCTACTTACTCCTCTACATTGCATCAAGCTTTCCAGCGGGAGAAAAGCCATGATCCTTATATGTACCGCTCGGGAAGCTCGCTCCATAAAAACCGGTCTAGCTCGTCCCATGAATTTTCGGCCATCGCAACGCCTCGGATCAACCTGCACTTGCACTTGTCAAGCGGATATATGGCAGCATCGACCTATCAGGTCTGACCTCTCTCCGAGAAAAATTCACGACTATTCAGTAACACAAGACTTAAGTGTTGTCTTTTAAAATATTAGTACTTGGAGTTTAAAAACTCTAATGAGTGTTTGAGCCAATGTCCTTGTACATACTTCTTTCCTTAGCAAGAGCGTAGATAATCCACGCTTGGATCCTAATAAGAGTGAATGTACAATATGTTGAAATTGTCGATACATCAAGTTAACCTCTACTTATATTTATTTATACTTACAAAGATTTATGGGGGAATCACAAATGAAAAAATGATAAAAATTTCAGAAATTGGAACCAAAAATCAATAAATGTTATGGGTGTTACTGTACCCATCATTGATAACTTTTATCCCCAATTGAGATTGACTCACACATGAAGGTCTCTTGTTTGATGACGTCATCCAGGATTTCCATAATCTAGTTATTACTTCTTCCTCCCTTACAAAATACTTATTGCCAAATAATATAATTTGGATAAATATACCAAAGAGCTCGAATGACCAAAAAAATACTGCCTCATGCCTCACTAGTGTAGAAAATGCCAAAATGACGGACATAAAACTGACTTTGGAAGTGTGAATATTTATACATAACAATGATAAGAATATGAAGTTGCAAAGAACTTTTTCGTTCAGCAATCAGTATACGGCTTCCAATAGTTTAGTAGAGCTAACTCTTAGCTTGATAGTTTTTAAAGTTTTAACACACCCAACTATTATCATTAATGCTACCACCTCAAATAACTTCTGGGCTAGAAGATGCTCAGATACTATATTTAGCAAACATTGTAACATAATCCAGGATTATGTTACAGGATTAGGATTATTAATCCTAGGGATTTGTACATAGATGAGGCAACACAATTCTGCCAATACTTAGGGCCAAACCACACGACCTGCAGCGACAATGAATCCTTGACTGTTATTGGCACCCGAGGTCCCCCCTTATCACACGGGGGAGGGAGTGAGCGGGAATTTGATATATACTAGGTGGAAAATAAATCGACTTCTCCAAACTACTAGGCACTTACGCATGGAAATCCGGTTTTTCCGGAATATATCGACTCCACGTATACTTTCGCGCCTTCTTGGGTTACTACTCCAAGGACTTCTTATCGCTGCGTTGCAATTAGTAGAGACATTTTTCACTCTTCTCGGTAATGTGGTAGAGGTTATGGAATCGTCTCCAGTTGGCCAACTGAGCCTACGAAAACCTGGTTTTCTTATAGCCAAGAACTTGGGTGCAGGCTGCCGGTCGTGTGATAAGGCCCTTAGTGGGTGCTTTGGGTGAATTATTTAATAACTCTGAGGGACTTTTTTCCGTCATAGATGGAAAAATGCCTAGAAATAGCAACTTCCTAAAAATAGTCATATATTCCCTATCATGTTCCAATGTACGACATCGTTGTATCCTAGCCGTAAATGGATGATGTGGCCTAACCTGGAAGTGAGCAAATCAATGGTGAAAAAATATGGAGAGTAAATTTACAAAGTTGATGTTCATGACTTCAAACTTTGTAGCGATCAAAACTTATTTGTAAATATGAAAGACGTCGCCTTAATAACATTAACAAGTGAAACCGTAAAAATCATCGTAAGTGTTTGATTTTTTTTTATAATACTAGATGAATAAATAAATAATCACATTTTAGCACTGCTAAAAATCAATACTTATTAAGTGCAATGCAATGCTTAATGCTTTTTTTTTTATCCAAGAATCAGGACTCTATGCTAGTTGTTTAGGTTTTTTTCCCTGGTCAGTGAATGCATGACTTGTAATGTGATTTTCAACTTTTTAACACTTTGGGTCCCACAGGCTTGATCTATATACCATTTGGAACCTATGTGATTTTCAACTTTTTAACACTTTGGGTCCCACAGGCTTGATCTATATACCATTTGGAACCTATGAAGATTCTTTTCGAACGTCGATGCCAAAGAGTGAATATATAATATAAAATCTCATTGATGTGCGAAGCAAATTAAATCTAATTAAAACCATTTTCACGTAACGCTTGGGGGCTGGAGCCGGGGATCCATACTTATAAATGAGTCGTTTGCATAGTATAGTCCCTTGACACCCAACCATCGATGTGATCCTCTGAGACGGTCATTCAATTAGAATGAAGATGTACGGACGAATATGTTTCATTCTATAAAATACTTTTATTGGGGCCTGAAGTCTGTTGGAAATAATTAATTCTGAAGTCAAACCCGTCATTCTATGTCCCGGTTCCCTATAGACTTGGCTCAGCTCTGCACGGGCCCCACATACTCATACGTACTTGAAAGCCCATACTACAATCGCGGGCGAATCCTTGCAGTCCCCACTTGCCTTGGGCTAGCATGTCGCATAGAACAAACTCCCGCAGGTTACCCTCTCGGATATTAATATTAACATTTTGGATAACGGAATGTTTCGAGATCGGTGCTCGAAAGAAAACATGGGTTCTGCTTCGAGGTATCGGAAGACTCAGCAGGTCCATCATTCTCTGCTCCATCCAGATGCACAAGTCTGGTCATCATATCGGGTTACAGACACATGAGGTCACGGACGTACAGTCGAAAAATGAAAGTGAAAACTTGCCTATCTTGGACATCGATTGAGCACATTAGTGCTCTCATCGAGTTGAATCGGGTTCAAGTGTCAATTATTGACTTCAAACGTTGACCTGTGGGAGATTTTTCCCCCAAGGAAAAGATCTTCCATGTCGCTCACTATTGTGGTCACTCACTTTCACGATGCCATGAAATAGAAAAGCCTCAAAGCTGACGATGATTTCTCCAAACGAACTTCTCAACGTCAGATCAGTTTCCGCTGTACGTGACACTCTCATATAAGTTATCTGTTAGAGTATACTGCGAGTGGTGCGTTTGTTTCCTAGCGACATCGACGTGTGAATTATCTGCGGGGGAATCAGATTTACCAGATGTGTTTGGCGTTATTCCTGCAGATAGAACTGGCCTGGTCCTTTGTGTAAAATGCAGTTGAGGGGGCTGCGGTGCCAATCAGAAGACAACAAAAATGAATCCTGCAGAGTTTGGGGAAAGATGATAAATTTGTCAGGATCGTCATTCTCGGATCCCTCGGCAGTTTCAGAAATTTCCGCGCCGAATGACCTCGGTATGTCGTGACTGGGACGAGTACGCACGCGTAAGATTCGGGAATCGCAGCCTATGAGAGCGATTCACGTCCACTGACGACGGCAAACTAAGAGCAAGGCAAAGAGCACGATTTCTCAAGGAGCTCTTACTGTAGCCAGGGATCGAGTGGAAAGCACCTCTAGCTCCGATTCGCTTTACGCCGTCCTCAGGCTTCGTCGCCTGGACCTAGGGGGCGGGCTGATGTTTAAGTTCACCTTCTGAGCTACGTTCAGAACTCAGGTCCATTGATAGTCACCTCGACCTTCGTCTGCTCGTCTGCAACTCGTCTGCGGCTTAAGAAGACATCGAGAGGAATATAGAGAACGTATTGTGTCGAGAGTGCATGCGGCTCCGGGGCGCTGGTTGAGTGCAGTCGAGCTAGAGCAGCAGACAGCGTTGGTACGAGGTACCAGAGCTGGGACGGTCTGTGAGTATGAAATGCTTCGGTTTGTCCAGCTGCCTCACGGTCACTTGTGCTGCTGCCACCCCGTCTGCTCGCCCTAGAATAAAACTCACGGTGCCTCAGGTGCCTAGATTCAGTACTTCCCGCCGTTTGGTCTTGCTTCCACCTCGGAGGCTGAATGAGAAGTTTGTGTGCAGAGCGATGTCGGTAGATACGGTGATTGACGCAATGCAGCCTCTGTACGCCAAGGCTGTGACTAGTTTGCCAGGTCCTCTCGCGGACCTGGTTCGGAATACTCTCGGAGAGCAGCTTAATGTGTTGGGTGTGCTTCTCGCATTTGTGGTGATTTTCGTCTCGTTCATGCTCTCCGCCAGAGCGTTTGGCGGAGAGAAAAAAAACCTCCCCCCAAGTAAGTAATTCTAGCCTCTGCCACCATTGTCTTTTTCCTGCTGGCTGGTTGCCCGCGAATTTTGAACCCCCAAGAGGCGACCGAAATCTCTCTAATTCGCTGCAGGTCCTTGTCATTTTCAGGCATTCCAGGAGGCCTGCCAATTCTGGGCAATATGTTGCAGATGACTGACAAAAGACCACACAAAACTTTCTTCAAATGGGCTCAGGAGCATGGTCCTATCTTTCACGTGAAAACCGGCAGTATTAACAACGTCGTTATAAATTCCGCAGACCTTGCAAAAGAGGTGAGTACTCGACCTCGATGAAAGCTCACATCTCTGCCAAACTCAAGACTTGAAGATTTATTCGCCATAATGTACCTGATGTGTAGGCTACTGTATATAGAATGAAGTCGAATTAAAGAGATGTGATGTTAGGCCACCGTGTGGTTGAACAAGAAGTTGTGTGCAGGACCTCGTTGGCCTCGTTGAACTTACTTCAAGGTTTCGTTCATGCCCAGGTCATGGTCACCAATTTTGACTCGATCTCAACGAGGAGGATGACCACCGCCATGTGGATTTTGACCGAGAAGAAAATGGTGGCGATGTCCGATTACGGAGATGAGCACCGTATGCTGAAGAAGATGGTTGTAGGAAATTTGCTCGGAATTACCACTCAGGTTGACTCTCGAGCTTTACTTTCTGTCGTTTCATTCGAGACTCGATCGATGAATTTGAACGGTTTGTTTTGATGGTCTCTTGGTCCACTTTTGGACCCCCGTGGGCTTTCGTTTCATTCTCCAATCATTTTGTGATCCCACCAGAGAGCAAATCGTGGAATCCGGGAGGACGCACTCAACACGATGATTGATGACATCTTCAAAGATCTGAAAGGAACAGAAGGCATGGTAGACATCCGAGAGTGCATAAAATATGCACTTTTTCCTTTCTCCATGCGGCAGGTACTTTCTTCTCGATAACGCTACGCACCTCGCCATGATTTCTTCACCACTGAGTATCGGTTGCCTTCAATTCTATATTGCGGTCACGGACTGCGAATTTTGATTTCTAGATCCAGGAATTTGAGATAATCCTCAGCCCGCCCGAGCACGGGAACTTTCAGCAGCCAACAAAAGGGGATTGGTGCGATGGCAGGTGTTCGGGTATGCTCCGGAGAAACTGTTCGTGGAAGGAATTGGGGAGCTCGGCAAGTGGGATATCTTCAATATTCTGGTCATTGACCCCTTGAAGCATGTCATCGAAGTAGACTGGAGGAACTTTTTTCCGGCTCTTTCCTGGGTTCCAAATTCAGCATTAGAGACCCGAGTGAAGAATACTCACGACAGGAAGCTGAAGGTTGTCGGCGCTTTGATCGAAGAACAGCGCAAGCAACTCCAGACTCGGGTGCGTGCCAACTGCTAAAATTCCTATCTCGCTGATAAGCTGATTGTGCGCGTCAATTCGGAGCTGTTGTTGACTTTGCCATGGTGTGAAATCCAGGAACCTACCAAGTGCTATGCCGATATCGTGCTCACGGAGTTTCCGAATTTATCTCCGATTCTCTTGAAGCACAGTATCTGGGAGCCCATCATCGAGAGCGCAGATACGACCCTTGTCACTTCAGAGTGGGCTCTATACGAAATTGCCAAAGATCCGAAGATGCAGGTGATTCTACCGCCCCATTTCCCTCGGATTTCAATTTCATGAATCAATTTCATGCCAGTCAATGGGTTTGTCAGTGTGCCTCACGGTGGACGTCGCCTGATTGCAGGAACGTCTTTATTCCGAGATCATCAGCGTTACGGGGAATAAGCGCATGGTCACGGAGGACGATCTTGCCAATCTCCCCCTCCTCGAGGCTATAGTGAAGGAAACGCTGCGACATTACGCTCCAGTCACATTGCTTCCTCCCCGTTATGTCAGCGCGGACGTCAAAATCGGCGGATATGACATTCCCAAAGATTGGGACGTGAGTACATCCTTCCGCTACCACTGAATCTTCTTCTCATCTGCTGGATTTCTCGACATAAGTAGACTCAAAGGCACTTTCCCGGCTCTCGGGCGTCTCTCTATTTGCTCGCTTTCACCTTACTATCCATCAGTTGCTCTATCTTGTCCGCTGCCCTGCTATGCTACGCAATCATTTCACTTGTGTTTGTTCTGTGGGATCGGCGGGGAAACTCTTCCCTTCTTACAAGCGATTCATTGGTTCAAGTCTCACAGGGTTTAGAGTTTCTTCGTTAGAAAGCGCACGGTCGCAGCCATCGATGCCCATCATCGAATTTCCACCTCTGGAGTTTCAGTGAGGCGGCGCAGATAGAGAGTCATTGCACCTTCACGTATTAGTTGTTGGTTTTGATTGCCACCCTGAGTTCCCACTCTCCGTCTTCCAGGAGCCACAGTTGTGGTTTGTGGGCGATATTGCCGACCTTCTCTTAATTCGCTACGGTCTAGGCTAGCTGACGACCCGATTCCACCATGAGGGAACTCGGAGGCGAATAGAAGGAAGCTGATAGATTTTGATTCTGTGTGGTGTAGACTGTGTGATCCACCGGCAAGATCAAGGCTAGCTGAACGGTTTTCGTCAATGTGTCTGTCTGACTGCAGGTATTGATCAATATCTACGGCATCAACTGGGATCCGAAAGTGTGGAAGAATCCCGAGGTGTGGAATCCTGACAGATGCCTGGGGGATAAATCTCTGGATTTGGGGATTAAGGATTTTCGAATTCTGTCATTCGGAGGCGGTAAGCGCATGTGTGCCGGAATGACCCAAGCCTTTGCGATCATACCCATGAACATCGCCGCCATAGTGCAGCACTTCGAGTTGACCCTGCCTCCGAATGAGAACGTCAATGCTCAGGATACCGTGTATCTCACCTCCCACAAACTGCATCCGCTCCGAGCTTTTGCCAGGCCTCGAGTGAGCCAAAGGCTTCCGAAAGGCCAGACTTCTTCCTCTTTAGACGATTCATCATCACAAAGGTGTCCGGCACATGGCTCCTCATTACAAGATACTCCAGCGAACGGCTGTCCAGCGAAGATTTAAGTGGCCTCCAACTGCGAAGGGCAATGTACATATTACAGCTTCTTCTTAGGTGAGATTTGCAAACAGTCAAACCAAAATAAACTGAGTAGAGCACACAAGTAGCCGGTTTTGACACCAGTGAATCTGCTTACAGCAGATAGTGCTACAGCACGATTGTAAACTGTTTGTACAACATGTAAAAGCCACGAGAAATTTTTTGATCCATGTCTCACCCACAATATTCCTTGTCAGATGATTTCTCGATGGATATATTTTTCTTGCATTCAATTCATTCCGATACCCTATTGAATGTGTAGATATATACACATCGTTATTTTAGTCGCTCTTTCGGTGGTTTGGGAACGAGGTTCTGTCGGAGTCCACTAGCTCGTTCGCCTCACAACTTTCTTCACGGGAGAGTTTGGCTCTCTTGGGCCTTTTTACTGGTGTTCAAGCAGCTGCAAGTCTTTGTTGTCACGAATGAGATGTACGACATTGGTGCTTGCTTCAGAGGAGCTGGGGATATGGCATTTTGCATCTCTGCCGCGCTTCTCTGGCGCGGTACGCACAACAGACGAGCTTGTTCTGAACATACCTCTCTCAGGGAAACGTTGTAATAAAACTGTAATGCTTCAAACAACTGGACACTCTTTTGGCCGTAGGAGCCATTGATTTCCTTTCTCAGCCAGCAGCTAGAAAGGTGTCGAGAACTGGACTGGTACGTCTCGTCAACAGGGTAGGGCTATATTCAGCTCGAGCGTTACTTCAAACTCTCGCATCGAGGAACGCGGCTTCCTTTTCCTGTCTGTGGTATCGTACTTGCACTGCAAGTACGATGAATGAGAGCCCAACATTAGGTACCCAAACCATGCCCAAACCCACCCATGCCCATGGGTTTTGGGTGACAATAATTTTCCATGGATGGGCATGGGAGGCACAAGTAATGTTATGGGCACTGTTTGTCAGATTCAACGAAGAATTGGTGTAACCGGTTAATACACATAACACAATTGGCGTAATTTGAATAGCATGGGTGGGCACATGTAATGCTATGGGTGGGCATAGGTCGCTGCTGATGGTTATGGTCTGGTCTGGGTACAGATTTGAAGTAAAATGTTGGCCTCTGACTTGCGGTGAGCAGGACCACTCTGTCTATTGCCCACTAGGGGTTCTCAATACACCCATAGCCATTTATAGCAGTAATGTAGCAGGGTTGAACGGGTTCCGGTAGACGATTTTATGGGTTACATAGAATTTATTCCATAAATTCTATAAGCAAGAATTTGTTATCCAAGGCTTTGTGTGTTCTGAAGATATTCACTTTTAACTGGCACACGCACAATATTTTGTAGGGACCCACAAACATTATTTGTCGGATTACGAGACCATCATGGTGCAGTTTAGAAACCCTCCTGGAGAATCTGGCAAAAATTTGTTGGAGAGGAGGGCACTTGTCCCTACCGCGTAACAGCGTCTACCACATCACCAGCCCTGGACGTACCCTGTGGGACCTCCATAGAGGGTCAGGCTTTTAGACCAGAGAGCCATGCAGTGCAATTTAATGCTTAGCTACGCAGTTGAAGAAAAACTCATCCTTGACGTCGATAGGGTAGAATACCAAGTTTCAATCCGTCCGTTCGATTTTCAAACTTTAGTCAAGCCTGGTCCTTGTCCTGCGCACTACTTGTTCCAGACGGCCACAAGTGCATACCTTTCCGCTGCAGATTTTGTCGCAAATCAGCGAATCAGAATGCAGTGTAAGAAAAACACCGGTGCTGACTAACATGGGATCAACACACAATAGATTCCATCCATCAAGGCCGGAGCCAGGGTGTTATTCAGCTCTCCTTACTGACTATCGCCGGGAAAAAAGCCATTATTTTCGACACGGCACAAAGGCTGGCAGAAAGCTCGTATCATAGAATATAAAAATGAGGCCAGCACGTGACCTGTCCGTCCACTGGCTCGATGGATATCTCGCTAGTCAAGTGCTACACATGGAATCAGCCTGAAGAACTAACGTGTCGATGCCAAGGAAGGAAGAGCTTCTTGAGAAAAGCTAGCAGCCTGATGCCTTTACAGCTGAACATCCCAGAAGCATATGCCGTGATGGCATACATTCCTAACATCAACGAAAGGAAGAAAAGGTGCACTGGTGATGACCACTCGGAATTCAACAAACCCTTCCCATACCAAGAGCAAAAAACACATCCCAGAAACCGACGCTGTAAAGTACTAGCGGTAATGCTGGAATTTACGAGCCTAATCTGAAGCTTCACCAAGGGCTGTCATAGGATATATTAAATGAGGATCCCAAAGTGTTCATTGCACTTTTGAAACTTTGTCCTCGCATGCTACTTCTAGTTTTGTTCACTGGTTTGCTTCTTCTGAGAGTTATGCCAGCAGGATATGAAATTAAAGCATAACAAACTCTTAGACTTCAGGCCGAAGTTTCTCTTGTCAACACATGCTCATTCATAACGAACCACAGATTGGATGTCAGCGCTGAGAGACACCGAAACTCAACCTCAGAGACTAGATTCCTTCCAACCAAGATGCGTTATCCAGTTGGATTCAAATAAACTTCAAGTCCCTATTGGCGAAGATGCCCTCACGTGCTAAAGCGCTTCACGAAGCTACGAAAACTCCAATCTTTTCACATAAACTCCAAAATACCGCAACCGGCTCATTCTTCATGCACATTCTTTACTAAGATCATCTGGCAGTTGCTCGCACACCAAGCACGACAACAGCGAAACATACCGACCTCCGTGAAACCCTGATTGTCCAGCTACTGCTATATTTTCAAGTCGGTTATTAAAGCCCTTATGTGCGTAAATAATACACGGCAAGCTTAACCGAGAAGCAACTTAATACTCTGCAACAATATTTTACCTCGATGTATTGCATGGGCATTAGCTGCTGCTAATCAAAACTTATGTCATATCGTAATCATGCTAGTGGAAACCGCGTTTTAATTTGTGGATAGCATTACCCAACGGCTACTTCTGAAGTCGTGTGGGCGAGCATGATTAGCGTAAACTGCAAGAATGAGCAAAGCCTAACTGCGGTCAAACTCGATTAGCGCGAGGCTCGGAGACGAACGGCTGAGGGGAGATGGTTAGCGCAAACTGCAATTATGAGCATGCATGCTTAACTGCGGTCGAGCTCGATGAGCGCGAGTCAAAGACGAAGCGCTGAGGGGAGCCATGTTTAGCGTAAACTGCAATAATGAGCATGCTGCACTGCGGTCGAGCTCGATTACCTTGAGGCCGGGGACGAAGGGGTCAGGGGGGCATGATTAGCGTAAGCTGCATTACTGAGCCTGCCTAACTGCGGTCGACCTCCATTAGCGCCAGGGTCGGAGACGAAGGGCTGAGTGGGGCATGTTTAATGTAAACAACATTACTGAGCATGCCTAACTGCGGTCAACCTCGATTAGCGCCAGGGTCGGAGACTAAGGGCTGAGGGGGGCATGTTTAAGGTAAACTGCATTACTGAGCCTGCCTTACTGTGGTCAACCTCGATTAGCGCCCGGGTCGAAGACGAATGGCTGAGGGGTGAATGTTTAACGTAAACTGCATTGCTGAGCCTGCCTAACTACGGTCAACCTCGATTAGCGCCCAGGTCGTAGACGAAGGGCTGAGGGGCCATGTTTAACGTAAACTGCATTGCTGAGCCTGCCTAACTGCGGTCAACGTCGATTACCGCCAGGGTCGGAGACTAAGGGCTGAGGGGGGCATGTTTAAGGTAAACTGCATTGCTGAGCCTGCCTAACTACGGTCAACCTCGATTAGCGCCCGGGTCGGAGACGAAGGGCTGAGGGGCCATGTTTAACGTAAACTGCATTGCTGAGCCTGCCTAACTGCGGTCAATCTCGATTAGCACCAGGGTCGGAAGGGCTGAGGCTCGGAGGCGGGACAGGGGTAGATCGTGCAGGTCGATGTAGATGTCAGGCACGGCAAGTGCCGGAAGGGAGGGAAAGGAAGGAAGAGAGGAAAGGACAGGAAACGAAAGGAATGGAATGGAAAAGAAGGAAGCATGCAGCGACGCCTCTGGAGGGAGACAAGTCCTCGTCAGGGCAGGTCAGGGAAGGGAGAAGTGAAGGCAAGGGAAGGGCAGGGCAGGGCACGAGGCGAAGCTGCTGCGTTGGGCTGCTGCTGGCTGGATGGCCGGCTTCCGAGTGTGCTTGGGTGTGCGTAGGACAGGACAGGGGAGCGTAGGCGCAATTACGCCACCTCGAAAAATGTTGTAAAATATTTGTGGATGTGAGGTTATTGGACGATTGCTCCATTTTGAGCACACGGCCGGCCTGTTGTTGCTGTCTGGACGGATGCGTTGTCTGTTCTTGATTCTGGCTCCGAGTGGTGGATCTTGGATTCACTTCGTTCGCTAGCTCGCCCGCTGGCCTTTCAGGAGCCATATCGGGTTAATGTGTTGCAATTGATGGTGCAATTTGACGACGAATGAGAAGGTTATAGGGCCGAAGGATGGGGCCTGCTGTTCGCGTAAGAAGACGCAGGATGGAGATCTTGCGTTTGAGTTTTCTGGGACGGATCACTCGTGCTTAGGGTTTTCAAAATTTGCTGTTATTTTTGTACGTACACCCGTGGAATTCGAGTGAGTCAAGGTTGCTCAGCAGCTGAGCACCCTCTCTTCGGGCCTACCCCTAGCAGTGAATCTCCGGTGCTCCCGGGCATTCGCTATCACATCGAGCAGAGCGTTGCCGTGTCCGGCACGCTCAGCAGCAGGGGACTTTTCGAAGGATGGTTGTAAATCTGTCGGTGTGAATAGTGTAGATTAAGCATACGATGGAAACGACTTGGGAACTCTGACTACCATGACCTCGTCTGCAGTCGATAACTAGGCACGAGTGTCACGGGCACCTCATTTGAAAGTGTCCTGCAAGGGCCAGATCCAATTAGGATCGGGAGCTGTAGAGTGTTCACTATCACAGGTTTGAAGAATGACGTGAACTCCTTGCAAAAGGAGGTCCGCAGTCTATCGAAATTTGCTCATTAGAGTGAACAGCCTCATTGGTTGTCAGTAGCAGTTCGGAACGGCACAAAAGTGGCTTTCCTCGGGTTTTTAGATAATTTCGACTGATGGCCAGTGGCAAAAGTGGAGGAGCTGTAGGAAAGGCAAAACCAGTACCATCATGGCTGAACAGCCCAGCTTGGTCTAGCACTCCACGTCCCAGGGGTAGGAACTTTCCCGAGTCTGTGGAGAAAGGAAGCAAGGCCAAGGATAATGTGAAGCTACAGAGAACAGGTAGCGATGTGGAAAAACGGGAAGAAGACGGGGAGTCCGACAATGTTGGTAATAATCAGGACAGTCGGAGCTCGAAGACGGGGAATGTAGCTGTGAATTCAAGTGCCCAGTTGTGGTCCAATCCTGAGAATCCCTCTACATTTCAAGGAAGTCTGTCTTCTGCACCGTCGTCAGCCTCTTCTGATTCGGAGCAATCGTTCCGGAGAAGCTCTTCTCTTGATGCGAGGGTTGAGCTTTTCATGCTGGAGGTATTATCGCTTTTAATATCTTTGCATTAATTTTGACCAGTTGGCTTCATCAGTACTGCCGTGCTAAATTGTACCAAGGACCTGGGATAAACTGGAAGTAAAGAATCTAGTCGAGTGAGCTCCAACATGAAGCCTCCGTGATTTTACTTAGCCTTTTGTACCAAAAAATGTGTCAGCATCATTCAGTAATCGCAGATTTGTGCAAACAAGTCGGTGTACAATTGACGTTGAATAGGACCTTGTAGAACAGCAGAAGTTGTATAATCAGCCACACTTCTCAAGTCGAGTCTACCACTCCCTAACCCTAAACAGTTGATGTACCTCTACCAAAATGTAACTCCTTCATCATTATCATGATCATTGTCTGTACTGGCTCGTGGAGGATATCCAGGAGAAACTTTTGGAAGTCTGCCTGAACGGTCATACTTAAGGTCAGGTCACAGTATCCCAAGAGAGGTTTCTTTTAAGTTACTGACTGACACGGTCGATGCTTACCTTTACTCCTTTGCTGGAATGTCTGCTGTGGTTTGTCCACATGGTTCTGGCTTTGGTCGCTTAGAGTAAAGATTGGTATGGGATTCCTTGATGAAACGGATGGTGCAGTGTAGCTCAGGTTCTTATTGAAGAGGCAATTTTTCTCAAACTTCAACCTGCTGAAATAACTGCTTTTGGATATAATGGATGTACTTAAACGCATGGGTATTGTGTGCCATATGTACGTCTAGTACTAGCTTGACGTTACACGGCATAACACATTTCATGCTTCAGTCATATAACTTGTGTGTCTAATAGGCGGATGTCTTTCTTCTCAGTTGTCCAGAAAACGGACACACATTGCAGAGCTTCAGCGCATGTCGGCTCAAGGGATACCTGACGTGGGAAGTATTCGGGCAACAACATGGAAAGTGAGTGTTTACTTTGGATTTGTATAAAATGAAGATAAGTTCATTCTTGTCTGAGTAGTTTAATTGAAGTCACAGTGTCTTGGCTTTTTTTGGTTGATGTGCGTGTAATTTAATTTTTGTCGTCAGAAGGACGGAGCTCGTTTTCAACCTTAAACGAATGGACTGTGAACCTTGAGATGTCTTTTGATGCAGCTTCTTCTTGGTTATTTACCACGAAATCGAGAGGACTGGAGTATTGAGCTAAAGAAAAAACGTGCGGAGTATACTGTTTTCAGAGAGGAGCTGCTAGTCAATCCGGTGGGTGACTGCTTGATTGCCAACGATCTTTCCGAATACAAGGAAATGTGTTCCTAAATGATTTTGCGTGAGAGTAACTGATATAATGTATTTCATTTTAACTAGGTGACTAATTATTCTTCACAGGTTTGACAAGATATAGATGTTTTCTAATCTACCTTTGTTTGATCATCATGTGCATGAAGTTGCTGTTAATAAAGCCTCAGTAATGTGTATGTATATTGCTGGCATGGATTGACAGCGTCTATCATGTAATGAAAAGGCGTTGGGTTTTGCAGTCTGAACTTACACGAAGAAAGGCGGCGTATGAAGAGGCAATGAACGAAAGTGGTGGCAGAGGTTTTCTACCTAGACATGATATCACACACGATGATCATCCTCTCAGTCTGGGGTCTACCAGTGTTTGGCATCAGTTTTTCCAGGTTATCAATCATTGAAAGCTCATGAGTAAAATTTGATTGTCGGAGAATTTCCCGGTAGTTTTGCATATTCTGTAGCTTTATACTTTATATCATCCTCTTAGAACAGGGAGAGTAAAATTGGAGATATATCTTTGATCTCCATTTGTATCAGTTGAATATTAAAGGGTCAAGATGTAGTTATATGTGTCCTCTGTTGAAAGTACAAATGTTCTTGCAAACAATCTGAGTTACCGGATTCCCGTCTCGTTTCCAGGACACTGAACTATCAGAGCAAATCGATCGGGATGTGAAGAGAACACATCCGGACATTCAGTTCTTTTGTGGAGATTCTGAAGAAGCTCATGAAAATCAGGTACTGAGAAGTCTCGGTCAGGGTTCTTTAGTTCAAGTAGAAGCGCATATTTTGTTGTGAATTGGGTCTTAGAAGAGATTTGTGATACAATTCATAGAGTTGACTTAATGCTTTGCCACTTGGTTCCATGTACATTTCCTTTCTAGTTTCCATCCTACTAGCTAGAGTAGTTCTTAGTCCTAATCTCTTTATACGACTAAAATATTGCAGGAAGCATTGAGGCGCGCTTTGTTCATATTTGCAAAGTTGAATCCCGGAATACGATACGTACAAGGCATGAATGAAGTGCTCGCTCCTCTGTACTACGTATTCAAAACAGATCCGGATGAATCTTATGCTGTAAGTATCGCTGTCACATCATCCCAATAGGACATCAAGTAATAAAGTTCATTCAAGCTCTCATTTGACTATATTCAGTCGGCGATAGTCGATTGAATGTACGTAATTTCTTGGTTATTGACAGTTATTTAGTAAAACTTCTTGCTCATTCAAACTTTAAAGTATCAGTTGTTGCTTTGCAACAAATCCACCCTATGCAGTGAAATAACAAATAAGTACATAGTGCCAATATTTGTCTATCACTTTGCTGTGCTGGTTGGTACTAAGTTCTTTCGCCTGCCGGAGTCATCCTCATCAGCCACATTCTTAGCCACCGAGAGCTTGACTGCGAAGAAGACAAGATCGAATTTTGATGCTCATCAAGAAACGATTATACGCTTGTCTTCTGAAAGTCAAATTACTTTGCACTCTTGTTCAGGCTCATGCGGAACCGGATGCCTTTTTCTGTTTTGTGGAGCTTCTGAGCGATTTTCGAGATCATTTTTGCCAGCAATTAGACAACAGTGCCGTTGGAATTCGATCTACAATCAGTCAATTGAATGCATTGTTAAGAAAACATGACGAGGAGTTGTGGCGACACCTGGAAGTGACTTCCAAGGTTCGTTGTTGTTCAAAATCTACTGAGAATGGCTTCACACTTTTTCTTTTCTTCAAGGCAGCCTACCTAGTCGTTGTCAGATTTTCAATTCCAGTTCAGAAGATTGGAGATGTGAGCCCGAACATTTGGTTGGATCTTGTAGGTGCATGGTACCCCATCTATCTTGCATCTTTGTGTACGTATCTACTGATGTTTTATGTGGTCAACCCTTTTTTTGCAGGTGAACCCTCAGTTCTACGCTTTTAGGTGGATTACACTCCTACTGACACAAGAGTTTGACTTTCTTGATTGTCTTCGACTGTGGGATTCTTTGCTAAGCAACCCTGATGGACCACTTGTAAGTAACCTGCCATGATACTGGAATCTTTTTCATCTGAGAAGTAAATCAATCTTCGGCCATCTGATGTTCTTGTGTCCCACAGTTCGTCAGAGGTTGATACTACTTTTAACAAGTGTGAATAAACGGACACATATTGGCTTCACTTCAATTAACTATGACGTTTGTGTGTTTACCCAGGAAATTTTGTTACGGGTTTGCTGTGCCATGCTCCTCTGCGTGAGAAGTAGATTACTGGCTGGCGACTTTACCACCAACTTAAAGCTTTTGCAAAACTACCCTACTGTGGATATCCACCATTTATTGCGTGTTGCTGAAGAACTGAGAGGTTGATGGGAATGGCCGTCCGCTTGTAGGTTTCCTGCTCAGAGCCATAACCATATTTGAAACATTGTGGAGGGTAACCTATTTGGGTTTATAGCATCCGTCATTCTGGTCTCCTAACTTCGAACAGACACAACTTAGTTCAGCATAAATTTAGAAGTAGACCCAATATTCTTCAAAGTAGGCACCACCTTAAAAGTTTAACTTGTATTAGATTGGTGTAAGGGTCTTTGCCGTGTTGTCGTTTCTTGTACATTATTGTATATGTGAGATTGAATACATTTTGGAAATCGATGACATTTTGTGGGGCCACAGCTTTATCTGATGATATTCTCTGCTAGCTGTCACTAGCGAATAACTGACATGCATCGTGGAATGAATTGCGTGTTTTGTGAAATGGTATACTATGACATGATAACAAACAATTATCGTACGGCATTAGTGTAGTTTTTACTGTTGGAGTTTATTTTGTTTATGCTGTGGTGAGGTAATTAGGCTTAACTGTCACCGTACTGGTAGAACGATCTGGTTTATTTAGACCTTCTGACAGTCCAGGCTGCGCGTCTTCGAGATATCAACAAACGTTCATAACGCTCGACAACTTTGATGACCTCAGCCTCTGTTGAATATAATTTTTCTTGAGCTCTCGATGGTGCAAAAGAAAGAAACTGATACCTGAGGCCCACCTGTTGGTGGGCCTCAGGTATCAGTCTTTTACATGCACCAGGAAAACCTCCCTTCGAGTGTGTCCCGTGAGAATGCAGAATACATAAATCGAAATGAAGTAAGGTGCTAGCTGCAAATCATTAGTGTCGAAATTTCATATGCTCACCATGTGAAGCAATGAAAGCCTGAAACATAAATGTCCAAAGATACGGAAGGAAAAGTGAGAGTAGGGAGTGGGGAGATGCAAACCAGTGCGGCAGAGACGAAGAGAAGCAACTTAGCATACAGCTGCTTCAAATGCTTTCTTAGCTTTAGCATTTTAGCCACAGCCAAGTACATAATGTTTGATAAGGGAAAATTATCTTAAGGTGATAGGAACAAGTAATTGCAGCTTCCACGTGTTAGGTGTCACATTCTACCAGTCTAGGCAGTATAGGGAATGATCCTAGCACTAGATGGTGGGAGCAAATTGTATCTCTTTGAATTGAGATCGTTGTGTTGTGTGAAGTGAATTGGTTCTTTTGTTAACTTTTTGGGAACTGATTCAAGACTCTCGTCAGCTTTTGATTCGTCGGTTGGTACATTGGCTCTACACCTGAAGAGACCATTATTTTAACTCATGACAATTTTTACGTGACCTCCGTTCCAAAATTACATCAGGCCAAGAAGATAACGAAAAGGAGGAAAAGCCATACAAGGATCAATTGAGTAGTCAGTGCCTAGGCTCTACACGGATGAAACTGAGTAGGTAGTCCCCATTACAATCACATTATTTAAATATACTAAAATATAATATATAGTTGGGCGATCTACAATTTACAAGAGTATCGGACTCTTCATTAACATTTCTATATATAGAAGAAGTTAGTGATTAGTATGTACATGGTCAAGGAGGTTTTTATAATACTAGAATGGACGTGACAATGACAACAACAAAATAAATAAATAGAGAAATAAAATACACCCAATATTGGAATTACATACGAATGAACTTGGAAGGATTTATCCTTACACGTCCAATCAAATTCTTGACCAAAACTGCGTAAATATCTTTTCTCAAGATCAGAATGTGTTATCTGTATACCGTGAGATAATATGATGCAGATATAATTTCCATTGATTTTGTACAGATTTGAGTCTACAAACAAGTAAGCGAAATATATCATTTGAAGTCATTGAAAAGTTTCTGCAATTTTTATGGGCGTATGACATGATCATCTCCGTAGGAACTGGATTGAAAAAAAGTGTGTCACCTTGCAATAATAAGGGTAGCAAGTATTCCAACAAGAAAGGATGGGAAAATCCCCCATAAAAAGATACAACACTAAAACCAAACGGGTAACATAGTGCTAAGCCCAAATAATCATAGTATGTATTCTTTGCAGATAGATCTGTACAAATGTACTATAGTCTCTGCTTGAAAGATTAATCAATCGCCATGCATTATTTTGTATTCGTGGTTTTAGTGCAAAACACCCACCGCATTTTGCATCCAATCTGCAATACTCCCTTCTCTTGTGGATTTTTTTGACTCTGCAATCGTCTTGATTTAATCTTCGTAATAATATCTTGTAAAACCTTTAGATTCTGATTCTGGCGAATCAGACCCAAAGCTTTACAGTTCGGTAAGGACTCTATTTGATTCAAGACCTGTCATAAGAATGAAAAACATGTCGATGCTTTTCCGATTTAGAACAAACCATGACGGATGACCTGCCTCAAACAAAGGTCCATGTCTGAATCGGAGGGTAGCTCTACAATCCTTCCTCTTCAACATTAACGCATTGCACACTGTCCAGTTTCGACAGTTGGCTCTTTTCAGAACTGTAGCAAGAAACATGAGACACATGACCCTTGACACCATTGCTTCCAATCCCTTTCCTGTTTCCAGTCTCTCTTAGCCATACATCGCTTTCTGCTAGATGTTGACAGGAGAAAGACTGACGCATTTACACCTCTTGATCACCTTACAAGTTGTCACACAGTGATAGCGTTTTGAATCAGACACGCCTTAGTTCTGGTAACCAGTTTTCATGATAAATCAGAATGCGGATACTGCACTGTTTGTGTTAGTCGCGTTAGGTTTTGGATCCAGCGGTCTTCTTTGAAACAGTCAGCGAGTGCTTGAAATACATGGATCGATCGGACATTTGAATTTTGACTTCTCCAGCTGACGCATAAAGCTACAAATTGAAGCACGAAGCTTCTCTAACTCCCTTCTTACACTCTATGTAGTTTCCTGATTTTCTTGTCATCATCTTCTTACTTGCCGAGAGGCATTACAATCTTTTCTTTTCAAAATATTGGTGATTATTATCTCTATGGTGATCATCTTTTGCGTGTAACTTGGAGTGTATCAATAATCAACGAGTGGAATCTCCTGGACGTTTTTTCATTGATCGCATGGTGCTCAAAACTTGTATATCGAGTGACAATCTGGCCTCTAAGTTTTGAAGGTATTGTACCTCGAAGTAGTATGTTATGCTCTCAGTTCACACTTTGAGTCTTTATTCACATAAGAACCAGTTTTTAGTCATTCTTTCGTTTTTCTCTTAACAATAACAAGAGTCGGTTCTCCTTCTTTGCTCACGGAAAAGAATGAGTCTAGCTATAGGATCTACAAAAGAATTCAAAAGCTAAATAAAGTACAACTCCATCGCAAATTATGGTGGATTGAAGAAAAACTACGAAGGCCGAAAAATTCTTTTGCACCTTTTAAAGCTCTAATCATACATGAACTGTAGATTGGATTCACTAAAAGTATATATCTCTTCGATATTTTGATGCGCTTGAGTCCGATCTCTAGCATTTTCTGCAGACTCTACCTTGATGAATTCTATGAATGCAACACTTCTTTCTCAACACCTACATATCCATGAAATTTCCATATTGAACTACCCTTCGAAATTATCTTTTCTGCAAGCAGCTTCTGAGGGTCCCAATTGCTGAGGTAGAAGTCATATGGAAAGGCTCCAACCGGAAACAAGAGATATTCCATCTGTTCATGGTAGAGAAGTGCCAAAGAAACCAGAGTAAATTTAATATATCAAGAGAAAGTGGGTGTGTGAATCTTTAGAAAGTTTCTCTTGCTGTCTCTTGAATCTGACGCAGACTTTTCAGTGAGCTGAATTCTGAATTAAATAAAACTATAGTTTTAACAACATATATATACAGCTGGACATGCTACAGCTTCTCTTGAAATAGAACTGACGGAATCAATAATAAAATTGTTGCTTGTAAAAAATGCATTTTTTTCCTCAATTGTTGATGGATTTCTACATTTTGTAACCATATTCCACTCACATTTTCCCCTTGCGTGTCTCGTTTTGACGATATAATCAGGGAGGCTCAAAATTCGAAATCCCTAGTTATATTTTGCAAACAATCCCAGACAAAAACCTAAGATGTATGGGAAAACACACCATCGAAGCGATAAGGAAATTTTTGCTTAGGTGCAATAATATTGTCTAAAATGACATCATGAGTTTCCCAAATGACTAATTCCAAAGAGATGTACCACAATGGATCATAAAGTAGATAGGCATTGATGATTCTAAATTCGGTCAGTTACATGTACAGCAGTCACGTCAAGCTCACGTCTGGACTTGCGAGTGGTAAGAAAAACGTACACATGTGAATCAAAATCAGTTCGTTGTAATAAACGCTGGCTTGGGCTTAGTCGATGGAAGGAAGTAAGATTTGCACATGCGAAAAAGAGCATACATGTGATTAACAATCAATCGCAGCCGTTTACATGTAAACGAGAGCAATTATGAAGTTGTGAAAGGTAAAAATGACACAAATAACGAGATCTAAATGTGTTTGCCTCAGGTCTCTGATATGCTTTCCTTTAAAACGTTTCCCTGTCTGATATTAGTACATGATCAACGTGAGTTCCTGAGATATCATACCAACATATAAAAATGAAATGGATGCCTATTGGAAAATGGTTGAAGAAGTAATGCATGGTGGACAAGGTTGAAAGTAGGGAATTCTATGCACAGTTAGGATGAGTGGACCCAACTTGAATCACCGATACTGAGATTGCCTAAAAATCAGGAAATCCTCTGAGATTGATTCTTATGTTTTTGTCAGAAGAGCATGAAATGGTCATGTTTCTTAATATACCATGTGCTGAAGAAGTGACTCTGAGCACAGTCAAGACTTCTTGTACGTGTTTGTTTTTAACGGAACCATCCGAAGTTTGTTGAAGTTTAGTTAAAGTATAATCAAGAAAGGTTAACGAAGAAGAATAAAATGACGACGTAGAAGTAAAAGAGGAACACCATGCAAAAGAGAAAGTCCGTTAGCTTCCTTCATGGTTCAATTTTATAAAGCTTGTTATATGACAGCTTGTCCAAACAGTATTCCATAACCGCTATGTATTCAGAATCGTTGGAAGACAATGAATCACGCCTTAAACAATGCTTGATCTCCTTGTTTCCCAAGGAGTTGTTCTGACATTAGTCTGATCGTACGTGACACAGTATGAAACATTCAGGCACCGGCAAAATATCAGTGACCTTGTATGCTCGTGCTTCATGAGTCCTATGACCGTAGAATGCGCTACGGCTGGAAAGATCAGAATCAGAATAAAACGAATGTTCAGAGAAAATCACGCGATGGCAAGATATCAGATCCTCTTTTCAGACCGAAGGAAATCCAAGTATCACAAAAGATGGAGATCCTCACTGAAACATCCAATCTACATGGTTGTCCTGTACGATGGCTAGTATCAGATCAGATAACGCAGTTGACCGATCACGATGTAGATCCTCACAGAAATACCCATTTACATGGTTGTGCATGGACGCTGTTTCCGGATCACGATGGAGAACATTACTGAAGCACGCAGTTTAAGTGGTTGCGCAGTACCATTGCTAATCTCAGATCACGGAACGCAGTACCATTGCCAGGCAGATCACGGTTGGCTCTGAACGGTTCATCTGAACGCGGTACGTGACTGCGAATGAAGTACAGTAATGCACTGCATGCAGTGCGTGTCGTCGAGGATTCCAGAGGAGGATTCACAGACAGCGCCGTGACTGTGGTGATGCTCGACTTGGAGGCCGGCCTCGTGGTTTGCATGCTGCGAAGGCTCGAGGTCTCACGCCTTGCAGACCGTCCCTTGGGACGAAGGCTTTGGGGTATTTAGCATCCAAGTACCGAACAGCTCGCCAACGCGGTTGGTCGTTCCGGTCCACCGCGTTCGAAGGGCAGAACAGACGACCGAACGAACGAACATCGTGATGAGACCAAGTGTGAGGAAGCATCTCCGATGACAGAATGCGTCGAGCCAAGAAAGAGCAGCTCGCCGTTCGAGCTGGCGGACGAGGCCTCGAGCCAGACGACCACGCGAGAGCTGTCGAATATTGTGCAGATATGTCGAAGGCTCGAAGCTCGAAGACCAATTTACGGACTCGGAGCGGACCACGAAGGTCAACCGAGTCAAAGTGCGGGTCGGAATCGAAAGAGCTCCATAGCAGCAACGACGACGACGACAACGTAGCATGGATACCAGGGATGCCATGGACGGAAGGGAGGAAGGAAGGAAGGAGGGGCTGGGGGAATCTGGTGGCAGTACGTACATCCATGTCAGTCCATCTGGTAGGCGGAGAGTCGACGAGAAGATCTGAGCGCTGGCGCAGTAATGCTGCGCGCAACCCCACTGACACCCCGCCACGTCCGCGGATAACAATTAGAGAAGCGAATTTGCGCCCCGTGGAGGCAATTGCGACACCGTTCCTGCGCCGCATCTCTCAGCGACTTTGCCCTCCCCGAAAACGGGAATCCGCGAGCCCGTAACAGATAGCCGGCGCAAAGAACATGGATTTAGCACTTACAGAGCGTTGTCTGCCTTTGTCGCGGTCGCGTAAGTCAAAGCGAGGAAAACTGCTGACGCAGTCCGCCCTCCATACCTCCCCCTCTCCTGAACGATGGAAAGAAACAAACCTGGAAGAGAAGGGAGGAAGGAAGGAAAGAAAGAAAGAAAGAAAGAAAGAAATGGAGGAAGGGAGGGAAGGGAAGGGAGGGCAGGGGAGGGGAGGGCCATGACGGCAACAAGAGGGAGAGGGAGAGGGAGGGGAGGAGGAAGGAGGAGGAGGAGGAGGAATTGATGCATTGTACACGGAGTCTGGGTTCCGGTTTCTTCGCGAAGAAGTCACACGGAGACAGGCTCCGGCATTCCATCTGATCGCGCTGCGGGTCCTGCTGTTTGCTGCGTCTGCTGCTGGTGCTGGTGCTGCTGCCGCTGGTGGTGGCTGCTTGATGGAGAGGGCGCTATGTTTGAGAAGATATGATGTCATGGCTGGCATGCAATAATACTGGACTGCGACTTGAGAGCGAATCTGCGCAGTGCGGTTTTGACGAGTGAGGGGCCGGAGGCGATTTATTGTGGTTGAGTAAGGGAGGGAGGCAGGGAGGGAGGGTGTGAGGGGAAGGGACGGGAACGGCAGGGGCGGGCCCGAGGCGAGGCAGGAACGGGACGATGGATGCGGGGAAATCGTGCGGGACGGGGTAGGACGGATTGCAAGACGAGGAGAAACTGCTGAGAACGTCGCGCGGAGGAGTGAGAGTCGTTGGAATCGGGGGCACAGAGTTTGCTTCGTTTTTCTTGCTGCTGCTGCTGCTGCTGGTCCTCCTCCTGCTGCTCCTGCTGCTGCCGGTGGTGCTGCCGCCACTGCTCCCCAGGATTCTGGTTGATAACGGTAGGAGGCTTGCTCGGCCAATTGCCGATGCCGACGCTTGCCGGACCAGCGGCAGGACGGGATGGCAATTCACTCGGATGCCAAGAGTCCTAGGCTTTGTCGGCTCGAGAGTGCCTCCCGACGGGGCCAGAGGCGGCCCGACTCCGCCGCAGTGTCGCAATTCAGAGCCGAGTGAAGTGGCTGATGTGAAATTTCTGTGATCGATGGGCCGAAGGAATTTTCAGAGTGTATTTCTAATCGGCGATGGATAATTTCTGTTACTGCACCTCCGGACAAAGTCTGTCTACATTCCAAGAGAATTTGCTGGTCCCGTAGATGTCTGTCTGGACCGTCGGGAATTAGAATTTTATAGATATGGACTTCTTCTCAGGAGATCCCTCCAGCAGGAGGAAAGTCGATTTGGGAGGCCGCAGTAACAAGGAGAGGGATCGGGAAAAGCTTCTAGTGGAAGCTCGCCTGGAGCGTGAACAGAGGAAGCTTGTTCGTCTGCACAATCAAAGTGCCGCGCAGATTCAGGTTTCTTTCTTGGCTCATCTCACACTTGATAAGGGTAATTGACCGATGAGTTGCGGCTATCAACTGACGCCCTTATTGTGGACACCCGGCTAGCTGCGAGTATATTGTATATGCCGACTGCGGTCTCTGAGCTTTGGACCTCCTGTATGGACTTTACAATTTCGCAACTGACAATGCCACGGCAGTACTGCAAAGCAGACTCTTCTTTATTTCTTGAAATTATAACTCGCCTCTTCAAACGCATTGCACTATAGCGCCGTAGGTCGAATATCGTGGGCTAGTGTGAACTGCATGGTTGCGGGAATTCGCCCGTGGAACGTGTATTATATACACCATTGGAGCCATTCTTTTATACCGAGCTTTTTACCCAATTACCGAAAGGTTACCTTGTCTCTGTATATCCAAGATGTTGTTGATCATCAAACCTGAACTGTCTTATAGAATTGGACTGTGGAAGGCTAAGAAATTCATTCGCACGCGTTTGTTTGTTGGAGATATGAAGCCCTTGTTACGTGGCTCCGATTTAGTAGGGTAGGTTGTCTCACAATTTTCCTTTTCCGAGCTATAAAAATTCCAGTAGATTTTTTAGCCATAATCTCGATTACCTCTGATTCAATGGACAATCATATAATTCGCAGTTGAGGTTGTGACTGAGAGTCCCAGCACACTTTTAACATTTCAAAACGTTTCCCTCTTGATCTCCCGCTTTTCCAAGATATGAACAAGCCGCTGAATAAGGAAAAGTTGGTCTAAATTGGACTTTTGTTTCAGTTAGGGAGACTAGAATCAATGAACTCATATAAACTTCCGGGACCAATCTTGGTTCTGTTTCGTGCAATCTGACTTTTAGCATTCACCCGTGTTTTGTGTGTTGTCAATACCAATACCAAAATTCAATACCATGTTAGGATTCGAACCTGTTTTTTAGGTGTGCAATGTCGTCCTGAATTGTCGTGTCCGGTGAAAGAATACCCTGTGAATCTCTCTTGACACTATCCGTGCGACGGCCCCAGACTCAGAAGTCAAATCGACTCACAAGGTTTTGCAAATGCACACAGTGTAGAACTGCGATCCCTTGCAACTGGCAGCTGCTTCTTAATTCCTTGATGTCCTGATCATAGGTTTGTGTTCTTGTACATTGTTTGTGTATTTTACCTCGAGGAACAATGTTTTTCATCATTCATTTCCTATTATCGTACTAAGTTTTTCAAGTGTCTATAGAAGACCTTTATTATCCACGTGGTTTGCAAATAACATCTCGACGACGTCGACATCCATTTGCGGTTTGGTGGGAATAACCACATTAAGCTTTTACAATATCTCTTTCATCTCTAACTTTTAAGATTTGTGGGCTTACTCTCATTCGTAACGTGCGTTGGTTATTTTCTGTTTTGCATCATTCCATCATGTCGGTGTTGGCAAACATAGAGCATAGACAGTCGAAATATTAGATCGTACCTCGCATTGTTGTCCCTTTCGAACCATCTTCAGATAGGTATGGAGTTTAGGTTTCTTATGCTGGTCATTAATTACTCATGTCGAAATTCAAACACCACAGAAATGTTTTCGAGGGAGAAAAGTTGTTGCAGTAGCTCGTCCAGCCATACGATCGGAGTTTTGCAGTCAGTTTGGCGAATTTGGAGAGAAGGCAGACAGGTTTGCATCTTCAACCTTTTCTTCTTAGTTTGATTACTTTGTTTGTTGTATGACAAATCATCACAAGTTTTTATCGGTGTTAGTAAAGCCTTTCTTTCCTTTTTTTCGTACAAAGGATGTCAGGTCAAGAAATTTGTCCACCTCGTTTCTCGCTGCTGCTGTGTGGACGTTTTTTGTCTTTACACTTTCATTGCTCATGTGTTCCTCGTCATGACTAATCAATTTGGGTAGAGTAAGTATATGCAGGAGAAGCTCTTAAATGACATCCTCTCGATTCTTTCTTGCAGTACGGTGTTCAGGTCCTCTTCAAAATATTTTCCTCAATTATTTTTCTTTTTCAATGAGAAAGACGCTGGCGATTGTCAGCGCCTTGTTCAAGCATGTCGACTGCTCCAACAGTCGTTAAGGGAAACAGGTGAGTGTTTGTTGAGCTTCTTAGGGGCTGCACATTTTCATTTATAGAAGAAGCAGAACCTGGCTTTGTTTTTTCGCAGTATCTTCCTGCTGCTGACGATATCATATACGGAGCCTGGTTAGAGTCCGATTTCGCACTCTAATCAGGCTCCGGATGAATTTTTTTTTCCCATACCACGAACACAGTATTCATGAATATGAGCTATATTCTAGCATCAATGTCAGCAGCATAAAAACACAGATGTTGCTCTTTCAGAAAATTCGTATTTCGTGCTCATGATCGCCCAATTAATGTCCTTTGCTTGACAGGGGACGTTGTAGCTCTATTCACCGAAAATGATCAGATAGATGGGCCTTTGGTCATATACAGAGTAAAACGGCTTGCTAGGATCTGTTTACAAACTCTTCATGTTCACCGGTGAGTTCTACAAAGCAGTTTGATTAATTCAGATTCAGAAGCAATTAATGTGATGTATCAATAGGAGTGTACTAATGGTAAATGGTAAATGGTAAATGGTCAACAAGTCAGTCACCTTCGTCAGCTCTTTAGCTTTCTTCTGTAATTTTAGTGGCTAAAACCTGTCTCATATGTTCCAAAGTTAGTATAGGAAGAAAGCTGATGATAGTGGCAATGACAGATTCGCTACTTCTTCTAGAGATTTGATCAATGCAGCACAATCTGCTAACATACCGGACCACTTGTTACGTGAATGGTCCAAGAACACAAGAGTCTTACTTTGATGCGGACTTCATTTATCTTGAAATATCTCGTCTTGAATCACTTGAATCAGAAACTACCACTACCAGACGTTGTAATGGTGCCTCTTATACCTGTGCAGCAACTCTTTGAAGGCGGAACTTTTGCAACCAGTCCAGGCGTTCAATTCCTTGACCAACTCGGCCACTTTGCTGTTGGACACTGTCCTGACTTTGACAGGAGATAATTTTCCCTGGTCTGAAGTTGTTCTTAAGTACCTTCATGAGTACAAGCTGTTTTACCTTCTACGTAGTATTTTCCTTATGGTGGTAAGGTTTTCACCACGAATCATTCAAACTTCACAGTTTCAAAACTGCTTTGGAAAAATATGTGACAGTGACGCCCCAGCCTTCTGAATTCATAACTTCATGTTTTCCTTGTCGCAGGAACCAGAAGAAAAGCCAACTAAGATGACCTGTATAGAGAGTGCTGTTCTTGTATTTGCTTCTCGGCATGTTCGAAGTTTGCGAAGTGATACCAGCAAGCTCACCAAAGGAAGCTTTTCAACTGATATACTTTCGATTCCATTAGTTTGGAAGCGTTTTCCAATATTCAAGCAGGTAGCGTTTCTATCCTCATTTACTGGTGGATGCTGTTGTGCAGTTTCTCTTTCCTACGGAATAGAAGATATCCACGTGTATGAGCTTCCTTCTTTCTGGATAATAGATCTATATTGATGGATAACGTATATTTATTTCTTATGTATTCCAGGAATGCATCAAGGAGAAAGTCTGGGCTCACTCTGTTCACCAGATAGCTGCTTCTCTATCAGAGTTACTAAGCATCTTACCTCCAGACACTTGTCCAGGATTTCCATCCAGCGTTTGTTTGCTGGGTAACTTATTAGAGATTGCTGCAGCAGCTATGCGTGGCCCTGATTGCGAATTAAAATTGGTAAGCAGCAATTTGCAGTGAAGAAATTTTTACTTGTGATGTTGTGCCTCGGATTTCCTCTACGATTTAATTGCCAACTGAATTAAGACTCATGCTAATGATTTCAGTCTACTGTCATGTATTAAGTGTAGCATAAACATGTGCCTGTCCCAGACGGATGACAATAAACCCCCCTCCCTGGCTAAGCGGTGTTAGTATGAAGAAATCGAGTACCATAATTCGAGGAGGTAGACGTGAGAGGAAGAAGAGAGGGGTCTACGTGATTCTGACACACACTTTGTCCTTGCCCTCCTTTTGTTGATGAGTGCTCTGAGCTCCGGGGACTCACCATTTTACCCCGCTTCTCGGTCTACAAACATCGCAGCATCCCTCACATTTTTCAACTCGGGCAACTTCGCACCGATATTAAGTACCGTATGTAGATGGATTGAAGATTCCAGAGAAGAGAGTGTTGTCTTTAACTTGTGAACTTTACTTCACGCAGGCATCCGATTTCGCTCTAGTTACAAGGTATCTGATGGAACGGCTTCCTGCAAGTTTTTACAAATTCGTAAAAGCTCTCGATGAAGGTAACTTAGCAAAATGCTCATTGGACTGCTTAGGTTGTATGTTAAAGTTCCACGTATGGGAAATCTGAGACGAAAGTTGTCCTTAACAACTCTGGCTAATTGAAAATGGTAGATTAGGTAGAAAACATGTCGGCTACCTTACGTGCCTATGTCTGAATCGTCAAGTGGACCAGGTTATGAAGATGAGATGGACGTGGATGGCTTTGGTAAAGTCACAATGCCGGAGCCAGAATTGAAAGAGCAGCTGAAGTACGCCGAAGACTATGAGCTCCTAAAAACTTTGGTACCGCCTGCTCTTCCGTCATCTCTATTTAGAGTTTACCTTTTCTTTTTTGAGGATAAATAGTGCGTCAGTTGAGATGCAACCATGGATTTGCACATGATTAACATGTTCAAGTGTAGCTCCAGACGAATGTTTTTATTCGTTATTTGAAGTAGAAAGAGCTAAGCGTGACATCATCGTTATGCAGGTGAGAGTAACTTGCTCAAGTAGTGCTACTTCCACCACGGAAGCGCCATCTTCAACCGAAGCAGCCGCCGTTGGAGCTGTTTGTGCATTTTTGTACGCAACTTTCACAGTTTTGCCGTCCAATTTGGTCATGACAGGATTGGCCTACAGAGCAGAGTTGGTTCCGCAGCTCTGGCAGTATATAAAGCGTTGTCATCTTGCACATTCTTGGCCCTCTTTAGAACTCGTAGGAGATGCCAGCGATTCGCAGGTTCCTGCGGATCTACTTGGTTGGATGCTACCCCTGGCAGTATTTTGCCCAGTATTCAGGTGAGATTCATACCTGCCTTATTTGTTCGAATGAGAACTCTGTAATGGACCTGTACAAATCGCCTCTCCTAATTCTGAATTTGTCTGACTGAATTATAACCTTCGACGACCATCTCACTGTTTCGTAGATTCGTTTTACATATCTCTATTTGATGAGAAACGAAATATAGATCTTTGTCTTTGTTTTCTATAATTTGCGCCAAAAAAATGCTGGGTGGGCGACTGACTTCCACAACTCATTTTTCAGCTATCTATTGACGACTATTGATAATGAAGAATTTTACGAGCAGCAGAGACCTCTGTCTCTTGAAGATCTTGTACAGTTGGTCACCATTCTGAAAGAGGTACTGAAGATATCTTTGTTTCTGAAGTAACGAGTTCATTTCCACATTTTGTTCGAATGTATTACTGTACGTCGCTTCCACAAGTCCCACAATCAGCAGAAGTTTGATAAAGTTTTGTAATGTACAGGCGCTTTGGCAGCTTCTGTGGGTCATGAGTGCCAAGCCACCGTCAATCGTGTCTAATCAGAGGCTAGGTCAGACTCTACAAAACAGAATGTTCTCCTCCAAAGCTATCCGAGATCGTGTTGCTGATGTGTCTGCCAGTCTTTTGGCAGCGGTAAGTCGACCTCTTTATCTCTATTCTCCACACCACCAGCGGTGCTCTTACCTTCAACCCGGAATCTCCCTGTTCGTCTTTTGGTTGTACACATATTATTCTCTCTAAGTTGAGTCACCACGCTTCGGTTGGACCCCTTCAGTCGCGCTTGTTGCTCAAATCTATACTACGGCGGTTTTGTTCTTATTTCATAATAAGTATCTGCGAATAATCAGTATTCAGTTAGTTGGCACTTTGCTGCATATGTGAACAGTTACATGACCGCAACAGCAGGAGGCAATTTTCACCACCACAGCATTTTCATGCGCGGGAGGCTGTCGATGAGAATTTCTTTGCCCAAGTGAGTTGGAAACTTTAGCTTGTATGTCGTGATTGTCTTCTCTCGTATCTAATGAATCGATGTCTATCTCGGCTCATTTATACATGAGTTCTTGGTATAAACTCGTGGCCATTGTCTTAAGCACAATTTATACTCTAGTGCCTAAAAGCACAGTTCAGTCTTTTTAAGGGTTTTTTGTGGTAAGAGGACGCTGTGCTTGTTTTGAAAGCCGTAGTTTAAGCGTGTTTCAAGTTGTGTAGAAAGAGATTTGGAGATGTTAAGAGAGATATAAGTCTGGATTGGATCTGACTGGCAGGCAGAAGGGGAGAATACGCGGGCCCAGTACCTTTTGCGGAAAGCTCCATTTTTGGTACCTTTCACGGATAGAGTGCGCATATACACGGTACATCACAGAAGCCAACTTCTGCTCGAATACTTTTTGTCAGCATCGTCCTAGTCGTTCGAATCTTCAAGCCGTAAGCTTGAAATAGATTACTGGTGTTGTAAATCTTTCACAAGTATGTAGCTGTCGGAGACTTTGAACACTGGAGATAAGTAAATCCCTTTACTGCTTGTAATTTTGCAGTCCCAATTGACAGCTGCCCGGCAGCATAGCACCCATCAAACTCCTTTTCCAAGGTTGCGGGTGAGGATAAGAAGAGACCGGATTATAGAAGATGCTTTTGCTCAACTGAATCCCCTTGCGGAGGAGGCTCTGAGAGGCACGGTAAGACACTAGATGGTTCATTTTTTTCAGCACTTATTCAATAAGGGTGAGTTTGTCCGATCATCGGAATTCCGGGAGGACCTATACTTGAAACGGTGATCTTTCTACTAATGTTATTTATTGATCTTTATAGATCCGGGTGACATTTGTGAATGAGTTGGGAGTGGAGGAAGCTGGTGTTGATGGAGGTGGAATCTTTAAGGATTTCATGGAAAACATCACGAAGGCGGCCTTCGACATACAGTATGGTCTTTTTAAGGTTCGTTATTGAATTATCATGCCCGGAGTGTAAATCCACAAAGTCACTCGCTTCTTTTCCCACCCAAAGTTGGTTGCTCTTTGATATTCGACGTCGAAGAGATGTGGATCGTCTCTTCGAAGCAGCTTCTTTTTCGTTTTTGACGTTCACATGGTTGACTACATCAACTTCAGTGGACCACGTTAATTTTAGTGTCGAATTCTATTAACATGTTTATGGCGTTCTGCTTGAATATTACAAATCAGTTATTGTATGGAAACGTAGCCTTTTGCAAGCTGATTAGGTCGCTCGACGTGGTAATTTTTGAAACAGCTTGAAATCAACGAGAATTGACAGTTGAAGAGGAATCTAATGAAGTGCGTTTTATGTTTTTTCAGGAAACTTCAGATCATCTCCTGTACCCTAATCCTGCGTCAAATATGGTACACGACGACCACCTTCACTACTTCGAGTTTCTCGGCAAAATTCTGGGAAAGGTAGAGGACCTTCACTATATATGAGATTTCTCTATACTCTGTCATTGTGCAATTGTAGAGGAATATGCATGAGCTAGGGAATATTGACTGTAGGTGTTGTATTTTGTATAATGCAGGCCATGTTTGAAGGAATATTGGTGGACATACCGTTCGCGACATTTTTCTTGAGCAAGCTGCGGAATAAGTAAAGACTGAACTTAAATGCACGCCATATCCACATGATCACGATGATAGATTCTCTTACCGAATCCACAGAATGTAGTAATGTTGTTCTTATTTCTTCCAGGACCAGTGGCATATTTCTCACATGTTACTTCGTTTTAGGCTATCAAATTAATTGCAACTACTTTTGAAGGTCCCAGTCATTTTTCAGTGTGTTTATTCACCTACCATGGTTCCCTTGAGGTTTATGATTCTTGTAATGTGTCTACAGACACAATTTTCTTCACGATTTGCCGTCATTGGATCCGGAGCTCTATCGGAGCCTTCTATTTCTCAAGGTATGGTTTCGAGAATTTAAGTCTGAGGCTCTCGGTAACGTGGATAGAACGGTCGGGTGGTTTGGGAGTATTAAATGCCAGTCGCAAACCTTGTAGCTGGTTCGGATAGCAACTAGCAAAATTTGGGTGTAGAATGGGTAGAAAGGTGGAAACCGTCTTCGCGTTTAATCGATAGATACAATACTGTTGTATTCATCTTAGTTATGGGTGCCCAAGTTTCAACGTTTTCTGTCTTATTCTGTGTGCAGCATTATAGTGGAGATCTTTCTCAATTGGGGTTATTTTTTGTCATCGAGAATAATGAATACGGTGAACAAATGGAGATCGAGCTTCTGAAGGATGGCAAGGATATGCCTGTTACAAACAAGAACAAGATTAACTACATACATCTGGTGGCTAATCATCGTCTCAACACCCAAGTAAGACATCACTCTTGTATCTTTGATATCTGACAGAGAGTATGTCCTTTCTTTGCGTAGGTACTTATCATATAACAAATGATGTGAAGACGAGGAATATTAACAATGTCGACAATTTATAAAATCCTTTCAATATTCTTGAATTCTTTGACGAATTTCCGGCTTCTAATTTTTTGACAATGTTTTATCTCAGATACGGCAACAGAGTTCTTACTTTTTACGGGGGTTTCAGCAACTGATAAAGATGGAATGGATCAACATGTTCAATGAACAAGAACTACAGGTGGGTCAATACTTTTATGCTTTCCCTATTTAAGAATATTTCCTTGGTTTTTATGATTCTTAGCCCAATCACGATCAGATTCAGGGCATCTCTAAAGAAGGGACACCGCTTGACACGTCTCACAGACTGATCTATTTCCAAGCCTATATTACTCCACTGGTTGTGGTGCACATGCGTACGAGGCATTAGGTAACTGAATTTTTCTATTCGGAACTGCAGATTCTCATATCTGGCTCACAGGAGGGAATGGATGTGAATGACTTGCGTTCAAATGTGCACTATGCTGGTGGTTACTCTGAGGTAAAAATCTGAGATATTACTCAGGATTTATCCCTTTTAGAAGTTGAAAAAGGCTGTATGATGATGATCTCTCAGGTCAAGAAGCAGAAAATTACTAATATACTACAGGAAGGAAGAGCTCTTCACGATGCTATGCTTACATTCTCGTCATTCAGCTCGAAGTTGTATAATACAGCGGGATGGATTGCTAGACTTTAAAATAGAAATTACACGGAGTAAATAAATTCTTTCTAAGTGTTGGAAGGCTTGGTTATTCCTAGTGCTGGCTTGAAATTAAAACTTGCACGTGGTGATGTCTTGAAGATGATCTAAGCACTCAGATTAATCTTCCTTCAGTTGACTGCTTCTCATTCAATCATGACATTTGAAAGCTTCAATTTGGCTGTGAGTTCTAAGAAGCGTCTGTTGCCTGTTCATAGACCCATCCTGTGATTGAAATGTTCTGGGACGTCGTGAAGACTTTAGATATGGACCTGCAGCAGAAGTTTCTCAAGTAAGTTCCATCGAAAAATTCGTGGAGAAAGAGATCTTGCATTATGGTTTTAAACTATACCGTTGCTGGAACTGTAACACTGTTGCTGTGTGCAGGTTTGTTACAGGTTGTTCTCGGGGACCTTTGCTGGGTTTCAAGTATTTAGAGCCCCGATTTTGTATTCAAAGGTACGTGCTTAAATCTCTCAAGTATCCATTAGCTCTTTCAAATTTATGTAATCCTCTGTTATGTGGTTTTTGTCTTGATGTTATTGATCGCCTTTTTGGGTTCAAATTCAGAAGAAAGGGAGTTGGAACGATGTATCGTCATAACTCACGAAAATTGAATGACGACTACTGTAGGTTACACCGAGCTAGTTATGTGCACCAAGAATTCTGGTCTTTTGTTTCAAAATCGGAATAGTGATTTGCCTCAAAGGTGTCCTGACAATAATGAACGGGCCCAACTCACATCAGGTTCAAATTAGAGGGGTCTTTCTTGTATATTCCCCATGTATGGTTTGACCCAGAAACTGCATCTGCAACTAAGATTTTGTGCGAATGACGAGAATCAGCATCTGTAATGTTTGCTAGTCACAAGACTGCTTTAGACTTCTCGAAATGAAACATGTTAGCCTGTAGCCCTAGGCATAAGGATAATAGCATGTTGCGCTTCTCTGATCGAGGCAATCAAGGCAATCAGAGAAGGGGAACAGATTATTATCCTGATGCCCGGGGCTACAGGCATACATTTCGCTCTCGAAATTGGCCCGACTTGTGTTTAGACACATATCCATCCAAAGTCCCCAATGTACGAGTCCCTGTACAGTATGGTTTGTCGTGTACAAAGATTCGATCACTGGTTTCACACGTGCGTACATCACAGGGAAGTTCGAAAATTTAAGATGCCTTCTGGATCTTGTCGTCTGTAAAACGTTTCTGACGACAACGTTTCTCGGCTGCTTGTTTCCATTCGTTTTCTTTGCAGAGCTGCTCCTGAAGATGCATCCGAGGAGACGTTGGATCGGCTACCAACGTCAGCTACTTGCATGAACCTTCTAAAGCTTCCACCATACAGAAGGTAAACGGCTACTTAATTGATATGCTAACATTATCGGTCTGCATCATGTTCTCCACGTTGATTATTCGTTGATGATCTATATGATCTCGAAACTCACATTCCTACACTGCTTATGTTGCAACTTGGGTCTTATTACCAGCAAGGAAACCATCCAAGAGAAGCTGCTTTATGCCATCACAGCAGGGGCTGGTTTCGATTTAAGCTAAATTACGAGTATACCTTGATAATCAATGTCTCCGGCTACTGTTGCGGGAGCCATATGAATCTTTTGTCTGGGACAGTGCGGATTGTTGATGAGAGGGTGAAGGAGGCGCAGAGTGGTGTGGCAGTTTTTCCCACTAGTTTTCCAGCGGTGAAGAATTGTGAAGAGATCCAGTGGAGTTTCTTCTGAATTATCGGTTAGTAATGTGGATTCAAAGAGCAGTTGAAAGTTACCCTCATCAAAACTGCTCTTAAAAAACTACCTGTCGTGAATCTGGGAAGTCCTGAATTGTGATTGCAGCCACCCATCTATCACGCAGATCAGTAAGATGGCTCTGGTCAACTGCTCCTCCTAGAGAAAGCAAGTGGTATGTCGTACCAGAACTTATGGAGTACTTCCGAAGCTGAGAAAGCAGATCCCAGAATGGGTTCTGTTCCGGTGATGTGTAGCAATTAGAGCAGCTCCTGCTTTCACAAATACCGTCAATCGTGCAATCTATGCGGTCCACTGTAAATCTGATTTTGTCATACACAGCCATTGATCACCACAATATTGTACAATGGAGTGAGCAGTGCTCGAAATGTATAATCCATCCACGAATCCACTGTGCCTTAGTAGGCATTCGTGCTGTCATTTTTGCTACGAAATGTCCTCGAGTCTTTGTGGAGAAAGTTCGTAGTCGCCGTTTTCGTCTTGTATGAATTTCAATAAAGATATGAACATGGATACCTTCTGCTTGCTTACATTGTAATTAGGTAGAGCATTGGTTCGGTCTTCGGCCCCATTTCAAGCATATTTTCTTTCCAGGTTCGTATTCATGTCAATGTCCATCGGGAGGAGTTACGATATTCAAGAGCAGGTAGGAGGTGCTGTCAGTTGTAGTTTAAAGGAGTTTAAAGAATATGTTCAAATTAGTCAAGGACATAAACTTGACATTCACGGATCAATGCCATGATGTACCTTTTGCTAAGATCTCGTGATTAAAGAAGTGAATGAAGATTCTTGGTCAATCGATGGGATACTTACTTCTGAGTTTTCTGCAGTATGCACAATCGTGAAGAAGGCCGTAATAATCATGGGTCATTCATTCATTTCAGCACTCAGCTCAATCGATCAGTACATGCACTCTAGGGATGGCCTCTTTATAGAGCTTCTAGTAAAATCACTTTTGTGCAGTGATCGAGAGCATCAGCCGATCTCTACACGAACAATGCCGAGCGCGCAGTCGCATGTCAAAGGCTTGGTCTCACGCAAGAGCAGAGAAGCATAACTATCGTGAGCTACAAACCGTCGGTACAGACTGAACTCGTGTCACAAGGTCATCACTACAGGGGCAGTGCTCGAGAGATACCTGACAGGCATGCCATTTTCAGTACTACGGGAAGGATGTAAAAGCTTTGTTGCTGGAAAGTGGCACAGACGTTGGACTGCAAGACCCTTGGATGTAATATGGATTAAGGGCACACTCGTGTAAGGTTAAGATGGGATCAGGGCACGTAAATATCATCCAGCCTACGCCGACTTAATACAGAAAAAACCCCGCAAATGAGAAGATGCAATAGAGGACGGCCTGAAGAGCATAATATTTTTCCATAGAGTTGAAGAAGACCAGAAAATTGGAAAAAAGAAATGAAACCATACATAATTTCATCTTCGACTGGTACGGTTATAGTTTCATCCTAGACTATAAGCTTACCAGTCGAAGGTACAAGGTTAAGTTAAGAGCTCAAGCTCCCTCGCAGGGAAGCGAATACCGCCGTCATGATCATCAGTCAGCGGAATCACACCATAAGTCGCATGCGTGCAAGAGATGCAAGAGTTGAAAATCATGAGAAGCGCAGCAAGAGGAGTGCGAGCGGAACAACGGTGGGAATCCCGGGAAACGCAGAATGGGAGAGGATGAAGAATAATGAATGGCGTGCCAAGGCTAGAGGGCGAGCCGAAGAGAGCAGCTAAAAGAGCACCCAAGTGTCGACTGGTCTTTGGGAAGGAGTCCGAGACGGAGGGACGAGGGACTCGCGCTCCGGAGTCCACCAGATCAAGGCCCACGAGCTGAAGAGCAGAGCAGAGCAGAGTGTGCTGCTATCCCGTCCCGTCCCGTCCCCGCTCCTCTTCGCTTCGCTTCCCTTCCTTTCCCTTGCCTTGCCTTTCTTCGCGTCACGAGAAAGTTGTGCATCAGCAGCAGCAGCAGCAGCAGGCAGGGTCGGAAAAGGCAAAGCTGCTCTGCTCTTGTGTCGTTCGTCTGTCAGCAGCAGCTGCTTGCCTCCTCTCTCTCACTCGCTCACGCTGTTCGAGCTCGTCGAGGGAGGGGACGGGGAGCGAGAGAGAGAGAGAAACAGAGAGAGAGAGAGAAGGAGAGGGAGGGTGCGTTGCTGGAGCCAGCGGGGGCAGCACGGAGCAACGACTGAGGGGAGGGGAGGGGAGTGGGGTGGGTAATGGTGCGGTGGGGTCTGGGGTTCGGGGTCTGGACGAAGGGATGATAGATCGATGAAAGGAAGACCTTATCGATGATGCGAAACGCAAATCCGATCAGAGCTTCTGAGAATTAGCCAATTGCTCTTTGAAGACTGTAGTCACGTGGAGGAAGGCCGGATTGACAGCATCGATCGGAGCCCAAAGTTGGTTTTAGCGGACCGGGCAAAGAGCAGAACAGAGCGGAGTTGAGCAGGGCACGGCACTAGAGCCGATCTGCTGTGATGTCGGCTTTAGATCCGTTCTACCTTGTCAAGGAGGAAATCCAAGATTCGGTAGGTGGGGGAATTACTACAATTTGTTTTCACTACAGCATTCCTTGTCTTTGTACACGATAGTTCTCCGTTCGCGTGTCTGTCTGCTGGAGTCTTTACTCCGCTTCCAATCGCAGGCATTCGCTATGGCTGTGTCAGAGTGATTCCCGGTCTCAAAGTTGTTTGTTTCTCTCGATTTGCCTATTTTTCAAAATCGAGCTGCTGCTGATTGCTTCGTGTGCATGTATTTTGTCAGGTGAACAAGTTGCAAGCTGGCTTTTCTAGATGGGAGCAGCTCCCTTCGAATGCGATCCAAGAATATCTCGACTTGAGCAAAGAGCTCACCTCGGGATGTGAGAGTATAGAGTGGCAGGTGAGCCGAAAAATCATAGGAGGTGAAAATGATCCACCTTCGTTGGCCTCAGGAGAACTCTTTTAAGAAGAAAGGTTTTTTTATATGAAAACCTCATTTTTATTGCAGAAGCCCGTTAAGCCATTGAAGTTTATAGTAGTCAGTATTTTCGTCAGCCGTCGATTCTCTTCAATTAGCTATCCAATTGGAGGCGGTTTGTTTTCTTGTTCTATTATCATGGATATGGTGCATGAGCTTAAGCCTGAGCTGAGGCTTTCCGGTTACTATAGACTAAGACTATACCATTTGGACTGAAAGGTGGACGAGCTTGATCGAGCCATTGCTGTAGCAGAAAGAGACCCTGCCAGATTCAGCATCGATGTGGCAGAGATAGAAAGGAGGAAGAAATGGACGTCGTCCACCCACAGTCAGGTTTGTTATCTTGCCATCGATAGAGGATATAAAGTCGAAGAGTTCGCGTATGATAGGCTTGGTGGTAAAAAATCTTCGACATTGAAGGAGCTTGTTGTGAACCGGAAAACCTGACTTATTCCTTAGCCAAGGTTTCTGATGAAGTTTAGCCAGCTGACGACGGCGTTGTCTGCGCAGAGCAAAGTACCAAATGGTCATGTATACGCTACAGACATTAGCTTTCATTCTACGTCACCGCTTATAACATCACCTAGGCTTTAATGCTAGCTCAAGCGAAGTCGTTCATCATACAACTGATCACTTTCTCAATTTTTCCTTATGTCAGATTACTACAATAAGGAAAGCTCTTCAAAATGCTGCCGACAAGTCAACACCAACAAGGGGTGGACACGCAGGTAACAGTCGCAGGGAACTCTTGCGACTACCTGAGGACCATGCCGCGAAGTCTGGTCGAACTCCGGCTCGGGAAAATGATAGTTTCAGCTACGAGTCTGATCGACAAGCTTTGATTATAAAGTAAGGCCTACTATATATACTTCAATCCTTTTTTTTTGGTCCGGTGTATTATGAGCATACATCTAAGCTACTCATTAGAAAGTAGTCAAGCACTTATTCTTATCCTTCTTTTTAAACCCATAATTTTTTTCTCTCCAGGTTCTTCTCCTTCCATATCATTCCATTTGAAAATTGGGAAACGATAGCCAAGCACTATTTTAAAAGATTCACTATTTTAACGAATTGTGCTCCATTCAAACCGTCCCAATCATATATGATTAGCATGCCTTGAGTATAAATTACAGTGGATATCATGATTCTGTGTCTTATGTCGTCGAGAGGTTGACCGTTATGATTAGAGTGGAGAAATTTGCTTCATGTAGATGTTTTACGCATCGCTGCTTGCAAAGTGTCAGTGATTTACTGCTGACGTTCTTAGCTGGTGCAGTAATCTTAGAATTGATATTTGTTTCACAGAGAGCAAGATGATGATATCGAAGAAATGAGTGTGAGTATCGGCATAATTGGAGAAGTTGGACGCACTATTCATGATGAGTTGATTGGACAGGTACTTTTTCACCAACTGAACAGGTCAACTAGCACCTAGGTTAAATATGAAGCGAAAGCTAATGTTGTTCTTGCGTTTGTAGACTGTCCTTCAAATTCAATAAATATCGAGTTTCAAAAACCTGCTCAAATTCTTGCTCAAATGGTTTCAGGATAGGATTATTGAAGATCTAAATTCGGACATGGATCGCACTGCTACTAGACTTGACCTGGTCCAGGTAATAATTTTCATCTCCCACAATTGTGCTTACGTTCCTCTTTATCCAAGTCTTGGGAAGTTTATGCATCATGTTACATATCTACCCTTACATGCACTACATCCCCCAGATAAATGAATTTGTGGTCATGAACCATCTCGCTGGTAGAACAGTGGATCTAGGTGATGAGGTTGTCGCTTTCAGTGTTGTATTGTATGGTGGTTTGTGGATGTTGTGTTCACATTTTGCAAATATGTTTACTGGGATCGACATTCAAGTACTTTAACTTTATAATCATGCTCTGTTCTACTCCAGAATTTGTCACCAAGCATTTGCGCAAGTACGAATTAGTTTTGATGTATTTTTGCATGACATGAACAATCTCATACTGAAAGTTATCATTGGACAGAAAGTTCACCTCCAAACAGTTTCATGTCACATTGATGTCAGGGACTTTCTGCCTCTACAGATTATTTGTTGTACTGATGATGGTTTCAACTCTATCGTACTTGTCTGTAGAAAAAATTATCAGCAGTTATGAAGAAAGCCGGATGGAAGGGCCAAGTATGTACTATCTTGGCATTGATTGGCTTATTAGTTATTTTGACCTATCTTGTTTTCAATGCCTAGAATGGCTCTGTGTTCCACATTGGACGTCAGCCTTTGTTTCCATACGAATAGGGAAGAGACAAGCGAAATAGTGTGACAAGTTTACGCGTCACTGTTGTTGCCATTGATGACATGAGTTTGCCACCTTTTCCCTCTCAATAGAACTGTTGTCTGAGACCTTGTTTCATAGGTTCAACAATTTTCATCCGACAGACTCATTTCGTCATTGTCTGCTTGCAACTAGTAACTGATCAGAGGTGGGTTCAGCTGGATAGCATCGTGATTTTAAAGTTTCTGCCCTGATCTAGAGGAATCTGTGGATGCCTATCACTTGCAAAGATCGATGAAACTGTTGTGAAGTACATTTTGAATTTTCTCCAACTTCATCGCGTTGTGAGAAGATAAGCTGGTCGCATTATCGTCCAGAGGCGCTGTTTGACAGTACTTCATCTTCATAAGAATTCTCGATGCCATAAATTTTGCACTGGGGAGTGTCCTGTATTTTATTTAAAATTGTATTTCCACCTTCGCTGAGTTATTGAAAGTCAAGTCTTGGTTTTGTCCACCTCTTCTATGTATAAAGAAGACAGTAGTTATAACATGCATTGAATTGAAATTTCTTAAGAAACAGCACCAGGTCTCCATACGACATCATATCAATTACTTTATGGATGCAAAATACATGTAATAAGGTTCACTGTATTTCTATTCCTCTGCGCATGTATAAGGTTTCCGAGTCGGAAGATCTCACATCTCATTATCGGTCGAGATGAGGCTCAGCGGTAAGAGAACCATTTGACAAGAAAACACTACATCGTCAAGAGATTAAGACTCACATAGGTTCCTTATATAAGATGTATTTTTTTGATTGCAGTGTAATTGTAGACGGTTCTTTACTTATTGATCTGTGCTGGTGCTCGTCATTCCACGGGAAGCATTTTACACTGAAAAGTGGGATCTCAACCGATATATCCCATCCACCAATTAATGGACTGGTCGTTTGACTCGACGAGAACTAACTGGATCTCGCACGGCACACATATTTAACTTCTCCTTGTTTACATGATTAATTTATTTAAATTGAATTGAGATAGTGTGTAATCATTGCTTATACGCCAAGGCACATAGTCTTTACTAAAGAAAACTATGTGGAGAGGATAATTGAACCGGTATGGCATGATTACTTCATTCTCTTGCTTATTCTTGGGAAAAAAGATGTCACGGATTGTGCTCTGCACTGTAATTTCAGCAAGACTGCCAAAATTACTGTATGCTGTCTTTTGACTCTAACTGATTTCTGCTTTCTAGCAATAAAATGAAGAAACTCACCATTGCACCAGGACCATTTTGATAGTTTCGTTTGTAATCGTGCATAGCAATATATCGTCCCGGCTTCCGCTTGCCCTTTCGCACCTGGAATTATCTATCTTCAACATGTTTCATGTCTAATGTTTGATATCGTACTCAGTTACTTACTCAAATATCTGCGATTCAGTGAGTCTTGGAGAATAGTATACAATACAGGAGAATAGTATACAATACAGTGTTTTCAGGAGAATCTCTCAATGATTGAGACATCTTGTAGATAATGTCGTTTTCCAATTTGCATGTTGTCACAATTTAATCACCATGTCGTCATCCAAAGTTACCTTCCAAGTCGTAAAGTCTACACTCAGGTTTGTCCCAGTAAGTTCTCTTCCGATATGAGTGTTCGAATCCATTGGTGCGGTTCATAATTACAAGTATGGAGTTGTTAGTTGGAATTGTTAGTGTGCTAATTTGACACAGAAAGACCAGACGTCCATTTCCAGTCTGCCGATGTTCACCCCTGTCGAGATATTACATATCATGTTCCGAATAAAACCCGCGAGACCAACCAGATAGGGAAGGAACATGTTTTATAATCATCGCGATGTATAAATATGCTTGTAACTTTGGACTCGGCAGATTAGTATCAACTAACCCTCCATTCTTTAGCCTTCTCGATCTGAAACAAGGTTTTAGACATCCTTTATACCAGCAGGGTCAAGCTAGGCCACTATCTTGAACAAGCTTTTAATTTCTTTCTAAAATTCGGGAGCATTCTTATCATCCATATTACAGAAATTTCTTAAAATGGTTGACCAATGAGGCTAGTGTCAGATCATCATTTGCATGTGCCGGTGGGTTCTTCGCCGCCCCATGCCACGTGGAAAGTATCCCACCCTAATGATGGAACGTGGAATAAGGCGCGTGGTTAGCATATGAGATCCATGTCTTTTTTAATCGCTGGACGGATGGGTTTTGGAGGGAATAGAGTCCTTACATTCACTATTCCAGGTACTTGAAACCTACCCACCTCGGGGAAAGTTCTAGCCAAATGCGAAGCTCGTTGCAGCATAGGACAAACTATGCAAATCAATCATTTGTAACACATTTTATCTTATCAATTAACCCAAACAGCCAAGGAATAATATTTCACTGGTTTATGAACTTCTATTGGTTGGATGTAAAATTATTGTAAAATTATGTAAAATTGTTCTATGGTTGGATGTAAAATTTTGGCCAAACTTGAAGCAGTAGTATCCATCTTCAACGTAATCCCAAGTCACGAAACCTGCATCTGCACTACAATGTAACACTTGGAATGGAGCCTTAGCAACTCTCTCATGTCCTTGAACAAGAGAAGAAAATCTTTTACATGACGTGACGCAGTTGTAGATCGGAGGTGTACTTTTTCAGATACGTAAGATTTCCGCAAAAGGTCACGTGTTTACGGCATTAGGAAAATCCGGTTTCACACACACAGGGGACGGCGATCGTGTCAAGCAACAGAGAGAGCCGGTTGACGTGTTGGAAAGAAGCTCTAACGGTCTCCGCAGCGCTAGCGGTGAAAGGGTCTTCAGAGCGCACTCTCGGTACCGCTCCCTCTCCCACGTGCTGGCTGCACTGCAGCCGCGCGTGTCGTCTCCTGCGGGAAAGTGTAGGAGGAAAAAAAGAATTTCAGGACTATTATGCCCTGCCCTGCCCGTCAAGAAATGTTGGAGCGCCCGCCCGCCTGCCCGCCCGCACTCCCGCCCTCCAGCCCGCCCGCCAGCCAACCAGCCAGCGAGCCCGCCTAGAGAAGAAATGTGCCGGCGTGTCGGAAATGGAGAGAGTGCCGCCAAGAGCGTGACCGGGGGAGGGGGAGGGGGAGGGAGGGAAGAGAAGCCCTAAAGGGAGAGCGAGTTAGAGGAAGCTGTGCTCCACGTTTGAGGTCGGAGAGGGGAGAGGGGAGAGGGGCGGGGAATGGCTTGCCCATCGACAGACACCAAATCTAGATGTTCAGCGTGAGCCAGTCAGCGACCGAGCAGCAATGAGTGTGCTCATTCCGCCGCGCGTGGATTTTGTGGAGCTGAGGGCTTGTTTTGGATTAGCCTCTTCTTCTCTATAACCTCGCAGCGCTGCAGGAATCGCCCTCGCCAGGCCATCTGGCCTGAACATGACCTGAGGTAACAAGCGTCAGATTTGGATCACCTTCTGTCGACACTGCAGCGCACCTCAGCGCAGGAGAGGAGAGGAGTGGAGACGACGGTGGTGGGCAGGGTGGGGTGCGGAGGCCGAGTGTGCTAGCGCTAGTGCATGTGGAGATTATAACATCACAGCAGTGGAGCACGGCGTGTGGAGCTGAGTTGTAGAGTTGTGGCTTCAGGGTTCTCTTCGAGGTTCGCCTCTGTGTCTCCCGTGGCTGGGTTGGGTGGGTGGGGTGCCCAAAGCAGAGCGAGAGAGAGCTCGAGGGTTGAAGCAGCATCGAAGGAAGAAGAGCGAAGGAGACGGAGGGACTGTGGGAGCAGCGGCCGGTTGTGGTCTGATCGATGGGCAAGATGTTGGTTTGTGTGATTACTCCGTCTGGGGCTCAGACATGATGTGCGATGTTTTCAAGCTTCGGATCTCTTTGTTAATTTTTAGTGTGCGACGACGGGGCTTCTAGAGGAGGGAGTTCGTGGCAGCAGGTGTAGCTCAGACGCATACAGATGGCGGTACGCATGGTTTTCCACGGGACTCTGTGTCAACGATTGCCGCTTGCTTCCGTCGGGTCGCCGCTTCAAGTCTCTGATGATGTTCAAAGTGTGGGGCGGTCTTCGGTGTGCCTAACAGGGGCTATTAAGAATACTCGTCGACACGCTGGGTCGGTCAGGTCCCCCTCCGTCCTGCTTAGAAGATCTAAGGGCGTCCAACAGCTCTCATGGCTTAAGTCGGAATTCAATGGTCCTCTTCCTGTACGAGGGTTGCAGTCGAAGGCCAATGTCCGAGGGTTTTCTAGAAACTCTGAGACAATTGCCTCCAGCAGCGGAGCAGTGAACGAATCTAGCTCCCCTGAAAGCTCGCATGCGTCTGGGGGCGACGATGGTGACAGAAAGTTCGCCTGGCTGGAAACTCTGGTATGTCTCTCTCACTTGAATGAACGTGTTTTAAATACACAGGTTTTTGTCTCTATCAGACGAGGTCGGTCTTTTCCTAAACACCAGGCGTCTCAATTTTACTGCATGTTTGAACCATCCTCCGACTCCCCCTATACGAGACCCGAGTGTTTGCATTCGATGCCACAAGATATTATGGCTTGCAATCATCTGGAAGTTGTTCCGAAGATGAGGGTTCGAACCTGTTCTCGTGGGTTCTGCAGAGCTATGTGCTTCTGCCCTTCGAAAAAACTAACTATGTCTCGTTTATGTGGATTCGTTCAGAAAGATTAAGGAATATGGTCTGCAACTTAGCAATCTGGATACAAATTACGGTCGAGGATTGAGGATGTGGTCATTTCTGTACCACTTTTACAACTCAAGTGATAGTCCTTGTCTCAGTGAATGTTGCCAAACTTCGTGGGCGATGTTTTAGAGTTTGTGGGCTTAAGTTTGGAAAGATCTTCTGAATCCTTTGGGCGTGAGCTTCAAAAATCACCCCATAATGCCCCTTGCCTCCCCTCTCGATCAACTCTCACCCACGATTTTACTCACAAAGCCTCATGAATTCCCACGAGATTGCCTGAAAAGCCTTAGCTCGTCAATTTGTTCTGCAAAGTACTCTTGGCCAAGGATTCATTATTACGGGGTTTGGGGTCGAAGCTCTGTAGTTCAGATTGTCTCTTCCATCACGAACAAATGCTGGCATGTTGATCTCAGCGTACATCTGTGGAGAGCATGGTGACATGTCCTCGTCTGCTGAAGTGTTGGCTTAACCCATTTTTGTGATACCGTGCTAATGTGGCGACTGTGTTGACCTTGTTGTCTTTGGTTTCACAGGGCAAGACCGCGCTGCCAGTAGCTATCTTGGCCGTGGGAATACTGTTGCGCACACGACCAAGTCTTGCCCTTGCGAGCAATGCGTTGCAGGAAGCAGCCGTCGGCCCTGCCCGGAAGCAGCTTCTTGCCAGTGCCTGGACTGGGCTGGCAGCAGGGTGCCTCCACACTCTGACCGGGCCTGACCATCTTGCAGCTCTGGCCCCCTTGAGCATTGGACGCTCGAAATTGGAGAGCGCTGCCGTGGGAGCGTTGTGGGGTTGTGGCCATGATGCCGGCCAAGTGTTGTTTGGTATCGTGTTTTTGCTGTTGAAGGACAAGTTGCACCTCGACCTCATTCGCACATGGGCTTCTCGTGTGGTCGGTTTGACATTGATAACCATCGGAGGAATCGGGATCATGGAGTCTCAAGAAATGCACGTAGCTTTGGTGGACGGAGGAGGTGATGACAACATTGCGCAGAGTGAGACCAGGGTCAAACCACGTCGAAACGTAGCGACCTTTGCCACCGGCGTTGTCCATGGCCTGCAACCTGATGCTTTACTGATGGTTCTGCCTGCATTGGCTCTCCCCTCCCGTGTCCTCGGAGCTGCATACCTGGGTATGTTTTTGGTGGGAACCGTGATTGCCATGGGCAGCTACACATTCTTCATTGCCTCCTGCAGTCAGGCATTACAAAAGAAGGTACCAGGAATAACCAAAAACCTCACCTTCGGCTCTTCCTGTATCGCCATACTTTTGGGGTCAGTGTTCATTCTCGGAGAGTTTTTGGGCATGAGCCTCTTCGGCGGCTGATCACCGAGCACGCTGCAAACTGTCAAATGAGCCAACTTCTGTGCCTGAAGCACTCTCTGGAGCTTGTCACCACGCCAGCCCTCCGGTACATTATTACTCGACAACCTGAACAATGTCGGAAGAAACAGAGGAGGGACGGCTGACTGAAAACGCCCCATCAGGTTCATCGAAACTGCCCGATTGGTATGCTGTTGAACCTTAAAAGTCTCAGAGTTGCACTCACCGTAGATGAAGGCCGTGAGGAGTCGTGAACCCCGAATGCAAAACCTGATTAAATTCACTTCCAGATTGGAGGGTGCTTCCTTGAATTTGAGACCCAAGAGCGATACTTGCCAGGCTGATAGAAGAGTATTGGTGTCTGTATGGTGGTTCGATGTTGCCAGGGATTGTAGGGAAGCTCTAGCCTGGGTTACCACGTTTCAGATACTGTAAAATTTTGCTAGATAAAAGCCGCCGACTATAGAGAGCGGAGAATGATTGGTGCTGCGCCTGCTCTGACCCGAGAAAACTGGAAAGATTCCGTTCACTTATCTATGATTATTATCTTTATGCCACATTGACGGCGGCCGAGGTTTACATCTTGAGTGGAAAGAAGATTTTCTCATTGTAGAGGTTGTTATGTGGTCATTCAGGCAGATCTTTTGTTGCCGAAGGTGTATAATGTCACATTAATACATGTCTTTGAATTGCCAGCACATTCTTGAGGTTGGAGCCATTGATCTTGTTGTGGATGCTGCCATTTATGGTTACACAGCGGTGGTAAATAAGATAGTTGCGCAAAATTCTCACCAATTCTACTGTGGTCTTCACGACCAAGCTCTTTGCTGCTGTCATTACATTACATGTAGGATTTAGGAAACTCAAAGACTCACATCAATGCGGGTCATTCTTAGCACACGTTATCTTTGAGTAACTCTTGCACATTCACTTTACTGAAGAATCGAATACTGACAAAACTGACACTTTTCGTAGTGGAGTAGGAAAGTTCTCCATCTGGGCTTTTTGCACTTTGTAGACAACCTCTCGTTCTCGATTTCGAGGTGGTGAGGTAATTGGTCTGTTCTTCTACACCTCCAGGGAGGTTAAAGAGAAGTACGCATGCCCATATTATGTTTCTGTCGTTCATGTTGCCTAGAGTCGACGACATGCTAGGCCATGTTTTGACAGTATTGTTCACACTACCGAAGGAGAAAATATACTTGGTCGTTTCCAATAATTGTCATCCCTATTCTTAAGCCTGTAAGGATGAAGAGTAGATTAAATTAATCCGATATCTTTGTCTCTGACGAGACCTGGAACACGTTCTAGGCATAATTAAGCTCGATGATAGTCACATCATAAGAACATACCTACATCAACTGGGAAGAAAGAAGTCATCTATACACTCCTATCCACCCAGAGACCCTTGCCTCCATGTACTGTAGACAGCTAGATCGTACAGGAATGGTCTCGGACTAATGTACCCCTAAGAATAGTGAAGGTGATGAAAGGTGTGAACATACGAGATATACACCTCAGCTCATAATTGAGTTGGCGGTGTGTGAAAGAGGGAGAGATTTAGAGCGGCAGCTCTGCTCGTAATAATTTGTACACCCTCCATAGTTTGACTTGACACGTTGCCAAAGTCGTGTTACGTGAACAAATAAATCTACGACAAATTCTTCTTGTCATTAACCTTCACACTTCGTGGCAACTCCTTGTCCCTGTAAGGCAGATGACGGCACGCAAAGTGTTTGAGACCACTATTCTGACTTCACGTGAGAAGACTTACTAAGAACATAAATAAAAGATTATTTCCTTAGAAGAAGAAAAATCAGATGATTCACAACCATGACACTTGATTGGCTGTATTATATAACCAGAGGTTTTGGAATATCATTTGGATAAAAGTAGTTTGTTTCACTCTTCCTAGACCTTGCATTGGCCTTGGTCGTCTAGTGAACACCAGATGTCATATGGTATACACTTTTTGAATATCGATCTTCAAACGAATCACATATCACGTTTGAATCACTTGTTATGCGAATTGAAAGTCATTCTGTGACATCATTGGACCAATAACTTTTACGTGAAGACATACATCTAGAGATCATATATATTTCGTATAGAGATCTAGCTTATTATCGATAGAAGATATGACTTCTTAAGGATTCTTGACCGGTTTGTCATTCTTTATTTCTTATTTGTAGATAAATATGTCCTAGAGATGCTTGAGAGAGACATAGTTATGAGTATATATAGTCTTTCGATTTCATTACTTCATACGAGAGACATTTTAGCTCCTCCTATATAAAAAATGAGCTCTTGCGTTTTTGTCTACTTATGTAATAAAGAAGAGATCGTTCCAACGTGCTCTTAGTTAGTGTCTTAGGGAGTCTAGCCAAATGATATTAAAATATGATAGCACATAGAAAATTTTCCCTAGCATATAGGAACTGAGGGTTAATATCTACGTTAATTGGATTGATTATGAATAAGACTTCCCAACTCAACCATGAGATTTCTTGTTAGCAAAATACATTGATGTGCATGTTATTGCTCATGAGTACGATTGTGTAACTACTTTGTATGCAGCAGAAATTTACATGGCTAGATTTTCATTTAGTAGGAAGGAGTATAGTGTGATGGAATATTCCGCGGTATGATGACTCATCTTTTTATATCATTAAAAATTGAAGCAGTTCTAACAATATCCTAAAAAATATTGTAAATCAAGGTGAAATGATCTACAAACTGTAATGATATCCAAAATTACATTAACTAACTAATTCACTACATTATATTCTAAAGCATTACCTGCTGTTTGTTGTAGAGCAATAAAAACATGTATAAATTAAACTCTAAAAAGTAAGATGATGGCCTCTCCTGCACATTTCTATTTAACAAGTCAGATTAATTATTTTTTTTTATCTTCAACTAGAATAAATCTATATCAATCTACAATAGCTAAGTTTTAATTTTTTGCGTGAAGCTAACATTTTAGAAATGTATTAAATTGATTGAAGGTGATAAACTCATTCCAATTCACTTTATTTATATTTTTTACACAAGAAATTTATTATGCTTTGTATATAAAGAAAGCTAAAATTTTGAAAATTTAAAAAAGTAAAAAATGTACATTGTAATAAATAGAATTTACATAAAAAATTAACTTAAAATTTATGAACATTATGATCGTCAATTAATCATCATGATAATCAATAAAATTTCAAATAACATGTTTATGATATTTTGGTTATAAATATGAAATTTCAAAAGCCTAAATTTCTTAAATATTCTTTAATTAATTTTGAAACGACTAATATTATCCAGTTCTCTCATTCAAGTTTTAAATATAATTTTTTTTAAAAAATGGACTTAGTATGATGATGACGCAATATGTTATTCTATATATATATATAGAACCTATAGTGCCATAAAACCACCTCGGGTAATACATTGGGCACATGATGTGAATATCAGCTTGTCATAGAGCTTTCTGAGAACTCATGTCTGTGATAATCAGAAAATAATTTGGGTATATGGAAAGCGTATGTGCTTGAAAAGCAGGCTCCACTTCAAAGATAAGGGGAATTTTGCAGAGAGATCTTAGCCTTGGAATTTATTTCCGACTCATCATCACAATCTGATCAGAACCCTCTACGTTATAATGAAAACGTCTGAGAACAGGGGCAGACAGGACTTTCGGTGCCAGATCAAGGAGAAGTGAACTCCTTGGTCAGTGTTTGAAGATGCAGATCATCGTGAAACCTGTTGTTATGGCAGCTCGAGGGACTCTGATTGACTTGTGGCAGAATCATGAGTGAGTGAATCACACATAACGAACAAAACTGTAGTAGTCCATCCTTGCAGGCTCTCTCTGCATTAATGATTGCTGAGAGCCAACAGTCAACCTTGCAGTGGGATATACAACTTTGCCTGCCAAAGCAGCCAAACACGTGCCCTTCCGTCAGGAATTTCGAACACATGAGTAGCAAAGTTTCGTTCAGGAATAGTCAGCTTCGAGACTTTTGGATGATCTCTAGTTCTCAACAATCATCCTTTCAGAAAGAAGCTGAAGCGCGACATTTCTTGGACCTTTACATCTCGCATAGAATGGCACGCGTGACATAGCAGTCAGAGTGACAAAAAGTTCCTAGTTTTCTACTCAAGTGCACCAGCAAACATGTCACTGAAATTCTGACGGCAGAAAGAACACGCATTGTACGGTGATAATCGAGAGTCCAGTTGATCACTGGCACTTTGGTCATTGTCCACCTCCCTGCCGAATTCAAAGATTTGAAGATGTACATTCGCATGAGAAACTTGCGATGACTTGTGATGTCCGTCACGCGTCCAGCATACAACGACGAACCTATAATGGCGATCTGTAACTTGTCGAAGCGTTGTTCACGTGATTTGAACCTGATTGTACTTCGACTCTGAGCATCGTGTTCCTCTAGTATCCATGTTTATTAATCCAAAGAGAATCCGTGGTGTGTTTCCTGAACGTGTTGCACATTCTAACTGCAGTGTGAATTCGATCAAAGTCTCGGCCACTGCGTCTATCCTCGCAGCCTTATTTACGTCGTTGGTTTCAGCCAGGTCTATCTATTCTCATTTCCAATTACACGGTTTTAATGGATCCTCTAACCTTTGAATCGGCTCCGCAGAAACAGTCCATGTCTGCAGCTCTGGATCACAGCTTCACATTCGTCCTCTCCTGAAATCCGTGTATCGCGTCCGAGAGCTCCCTCGGTGCGCCAGGTCCGAATGATGTCCGGACTTCAAGCTCCTCCTGCGTCTCTTCTGTGCACCTCAGTAGCACTGCTCGCAGTGAAGCATGGCTGCAGCTGGTCGCTCGAGAATCAGGTGGTCGAGGCAATGTCGGAATTGGGGTGCCGATCATCGGGATCTCTAGCAGGATGGCTGCGGTAATATCTGTTTGCGCATCCCCCACAGAGTTGGTTGGTGGGCCATGAAGCGACACGACGCTTCAGGGCGCAAGCCACAGCAAGCAGCAATTGAGCAATCCACGCACTCAGAGGTCAATTCCTCGAGGCAAGGATGCGGAGTCGCTCATCCTCCCAAGCGGAGGATGACCTCTCGTCACCCAAATTCATCCGAGGCGTAATGTTGACTGCTTCGCTTACTTCGCGCTCAAGGCATCGCGATGACTTGTGATGCTTTGCCTTGTCCCCCACTGACATTCCGCGTCTCGGGGGTGACGTAGAGAGCAAGTCTGCATGCATCAGCCCCGGAATTCGGAGGCCTATTTGAGCCTCGCCGCCATTCGCCGCCTTTCCCCTACGCATTCGTCACTGCGCTCTCGTTCTCTCTTTGAGTGATCATTGCCATCGTCTGTCGCCAGATTTCCTCTCGGATTTGCTTCCTCTCCTCCTCCCGATCGACGGCCCTGACGTGCAAATCTGATTCCAACATCGTCCGTCCTCGTGCTCCAGTCCTTCAATCTGAGCGAGTCTGAGTGATTGTGCTATTCATCGATCGACTGTGAACGAGCAATCCTACTTATCAAGCTCAGATGGAACGAAGGGAATCAGACATGACGGCGGACTTGTCAGGCACAGCGATGGCGCTCGGCGAGCCTTGCACTGGTGGTGGTTGCGGTTATCCGAGAAGATGCTGCAATTCCATCGTTAGTAGGAACCGCGGTGACAACGAATGCGAAGAACGACACAGGCTTCCATCCGGTCTCGGAGTACCGTGGTGCTCGTGGAATTCTCCCTCGTTCTGGCAACCCGATACCTTCTTCAGCGTCTCGAAATGGTAGACAGAGCGATCGTCGTGTGAACCCCAGCGATGTCAACGAGTACAATCATGGAGGTCCACATGTATCGAAGACGGGAAGAGGCAGAGGGAGAGGGAGATGGAGAAGCGGAACATCGCCTAGTGGTTGTCGTCGTAGCGTTTTTTGGTTTCGTGTGATTCCCGAGTCGAGCTCTGGTGATCGAGAGGATCGAGTTAGTTATGGAAGCTGCCCGATCACGAGGAGTTCAGATGTTGTACATGAGTCTCGGACGTTGTGCGATGAGCATTGGCCCCCTCTGCGGACATCGAATCGTGCCACAGATGCTGTTGGCAAGTCCCGGCACCTTTTTAAAAACGCTTGTAATGCAAGGAAAGTTTCAGCCATGGGTGCCTCATGCAGCTCATCGTTTGACGACGAGCCCAGCCGTGGAAGGAGACAGATCCCATGGGCAGCTGCTGCATTGCCCCTCAGGGGGCCGGGACGAAATCAAGGGCATCGGATAAAACCTTCTTCGTATCCAAGCCAGTGGCTTCGTCATGCCGTCGCCTCAACCAAAGGGGCTTCTCTCGCTTTCTTTTCTCTTTCTTCTTCATCTTCTTATCCGTCTTCACCTTCTTCACCTTCTTCGCCAGCTGCAAGCGATGTCGAGGTTGCAGTGCAGGAATTATGGGGAGCACAGCTCGGTGCTCATGACCATGGCGAAGGTCCTAAGTTGTCCATGTTCGACCAGGATTTCATTGTTACGTCTTCACTTCGTGAGCATCTGCTTCTCATGATCGCGTTGAGTAGGAAGGTGGCAAATGCAGACACCGCCTTTGGAGAAGCTGCTTCTGGGTCCGCTAGACCCAAAAGGCGAGCACAAGTGTTCAAAGGAAACTTCAAGGCAGTATCAACATTTGTTGCATTCAAATTGGGAAGAGATGCTCAGCGAGTTCTGCATGAGCCCAATGCTGGGGGTAGCTCCTCCATATCCGAGGTATGTTTACTTCATCTATTTAGTATTGCTTACATCTTTGTCATCCAGTCTACAAGTAATGAGGCTGTAATAACGCCCTTGCTTAAGAATCTGCTTGCCCACTCACTGGGTTCCCAATACGATCAGCTTCTGGATGCTACTCGAAACGGCTCCACTATTCCACTAGACTCACTATTGCGACAGGCAGAAGTAATTATCGATCTATTGTTCTCCATAGCTAGATTCAGAAGTTGCACCTTGACAACGATGATTATAGTGCAAATATAGTGCAAGTAGGAATGTCAATTTACAGTTTTTTCAGAATATTTTGTCACAGAACGTTTAATACTGTCTCTATCACTTCAAACAATCAAATGCTCCTCAGATTGAAGGACGCTCCAGATAAGAGTGGAGAGTGTTCACGTTATTCTATAATTTGCATAGCTCTATCTGAGAACGATGGTCAAGGGCGATCGTTCTTGATGTCCTGGCTACTAACTCAAAGTGAGTCGATGGTGGTTGCAGTCCCTTTCTGTGGAGTACTTTGCTAGGCGTTTTCAGGCGAGAGACATCGTGACTGAAATGGAGGTGGGTAGATTTTGCCTGGCCTCACGTGATATTTGGAGTATTCGTTTCAGGTTTCAAGTTCCGGCTTGTACATGGGTAGCGGTAGCTTGAACTCATTGCTATTGCCTGCAGGTGGAATATTCCATGAAGAACTGGAAGAAAGTGGATTATATATGCACTTTGTACGGAGAGCGTGTGGGTGTGTCAGTGACTCGAGCAATGTCTTATCCCGATCCAGAACAGTTCTCCACAGATACAGCGTATAGACTTTTGTACAAAAAGCTCTTTGGTCTGGTGAGTCATGCCTTCAAGTTCGTGTGCATCGATATCACGGTGGTCGTGAGAGAATGCAGGGTCTTAGTCTCATTTATCCGTTTGTCTCTTCTGTACCACTCGGCATTGTGCATCGTGGTCATGACAGAATCGACTCCTTTCACGAGGAAGAAACACATCCCATGCATCACGGACTTGTATAGAAGTACCAAGTAGTCCTCTGTGATGGCCAAGTTTCACTGACACATCATGATCTAAGGTCTGGCATGCGCCAATCACGACAAAGAGCGCAAATTTTGCAAACCGGACTGGCAGATATAGATAATGATCGAAACCATTAATCGAATCCATATGACTCTTTCAGGTGGTAGCGAGGCACGGGGTCAAACAGAAACACAACTTCTCTCGGTGCATTCTGCATATTTGGTGCGAGACCCACAGCGCTGCCAAACTCTTGGAGCTCCTTTACCCACGTAAGAATCAACACCTGACTCTCTTAGTTCCTTTCTTGACGTACCATCGTCGTCCGTGCTTTTCTCGAGCTGAAATAGTGCAAATAGTGCAACACATTTTGTATAATCTGTCGCACTCCCCACAAAAGTTGAGTGAATGAAAATTTTCGCATTTCTCACTGCATGCAGGTGTATCAGAGGAGCTGGAACTGATTGACGATGTAATCATGTTGCTTACTGTGGCTGAAGGTCTACATGGACGTCCAATATTCTACGAACATCGTCTTAAAGTGGCATAAGTGAAAGTCGTGTGTTCTAGCTCTACTAGTGAAACAATTCTTCTTGCAAGACGTAGCATACCCAAAGTTAGTAATTTTGACTGTGGTTTCAAATTTGTAATATGTTCTATGTTCTTTCTCAATGGCAGATCTATTCAATATTAGAGATTTGTTCATGTTTGAATGAAGTTGGATACATCCCGGTTTCATGTTTCCAGCGCTCACATGCAAAACACCTCTTCTAAATCTTTGGACACAACTCATGCCTCTTAATGTCGCTGATAGTCACGGACTCGTTCAAAGTGCACCACACATAGAATGGTGAACCCAATGGGGCAGATCAGATACAATCTTCAAACTCGGAGGCTTTTATGGCACATAGAAAGAAGGCTTCAAAATTCGCAGGATAACTTACAACACCTACCCCTCACTGAAGCACATGCTGTTCCTTTGAGTCAGATTGCTGTCTTTCGAAGATACTAGAAAAGATAGAATCCTTTACACACTCATGCATCAGACAAATTGTTTTTCTCATTTCCTCTTGACTGTTGTATTTCAAAACGAATATATCCTCACGCTCTTCAATACTTTTATTTTTTTCTTTCGTTTCCTTCGCTCCAAGATTCATCATGTCTCTACAGTAAAACTGCTTCCTACTCAGACCATTTAGTGATATATGAAGGATTAATTGCAGTCTTTTTGCAATATGGTCTGAAGACTTATATCAAATCCGACCTAATTGCAATGCTGTCACTAAGACATATGGAACCCAGAATTTACATAATTACATATGAAAAATTATTATTTTCTACTTCACATGTTTGAACCAAGTCTGGAATCGGCAGTGACGTTCTCAAAGGATGAGACAAATGGTGAGAATTCAAATGAATCTGCATTCGTTGGCGTTAACATTGTCCCAACAACAGCTCCACCTATTTTTTTTTTAACATGTCTATCAATTTGATGTAATAATTGAAATAACTTGAAACATAATAATTAAAAATAAATGTGATAAAATTTTTGAAAGCATCATCATGTCATTTCCTGCAAGCCAGTCTACTAGGAACGGCATACAGCTTTCACTCTGACTTTGAGATTCCTTCACGTAAAAACTTTCAACCGTGGGAAGAATAGTTTGTTCTCTGTGAGAGTTGTCTTCCACCAAGTATCACTAGGAGCTGATTAAGAATCGTCCATGCTTACTGTGGATGAGTAGCCATCAACACTTCCACAAGCATTATAACATATTGAAATGTCGGGCTCGTTCTCGATCCATGATCGGGCCACAGGTTTACATTAACCATGCTGATGGCCGTAAACGGCATCTTCTCACTGCAGGCCAGGGAACAGCTTCCTACGCTGGGTCGTGGCTTCCGAATTTGTTCCTGAACATCGCATCCGAGAGCGCTACAGCTTTGGTCGTTTGATTCCTGCAGTTCACTATATCGCAGTAGTACTCATCCATTCGCAGTACTAGTAGTAGTAGTATTCGTCCTCGCACATATGTCGAGGCTGTTACGTTTTAGCAATTAAGCCAAATAAACACACATTTGCCCCGATGCAGAGATGGGGCATCTAATCACCTGATTATGGAATCAGGTGCCAGGCCCAAACTTAAAGTGATGAAGGTTGATATCAGATCATCGAGACTTGATATGAACACAGTCAGCACCTGCAATTGAGATGTTGGAAGATGAGCTGCGTTAGAAAGTGCTCATACATCATAGCTGAGCCTATACAACAACCTTGCTGTTCCTAAATTTATTTGCTCAAGAATATAAAAATACTCAAAGCTCGATACCCAGAGAAGTGATCAAGATGCCTTAACACGAAATATTTCTCCTCGACTTTAAATTGCGCAAAGCTGCATAAAAAAAAAGTGGGGGGTGCAAACTATGCAACAAAGAAAACCTCAAGACGTACCTGTCGCTACTTCCGAAAACTCAAAAGAGAACTCGAAGGTATCAGCAAAGCTTTTATCGTCTGCGTCAGGCTTATTGCCTGGAGCTATCAACGAAACTTCAAAGTCCAATGGTGATTTCGCAGCATTGTGGCTGGTCACCACCTTGGAGACAAAGTTGGTGCCCTGGCTATAATTTACTGCAGTCGTCGGTCTCCATCTTCTGGGTCCAAGATCCGTCTGTTCGGCAATGCAAAACGTAGTAAGTATCAAAATTAAGCTGTTCGAAATCCTAATCCGATCGTGGCTACCTGTACTAAGTAAGCTCTGAAGACCTGGTTTTAATTTAGAACACTATCTATTTAGATTCTTAGGCTTCCAATGGCTGGCGTCAATTTAGAACATTCCATGGTTACATAGTCAATGCAGCTTTTCGGCGGTGCAAATAATACGCAAAGGTAATTACCTTTGCGTAGTATTTGCACCACCAAAGTTTGTTGTTCTAGACAAACTCACGAACTTCAACCACCAATATTTTATCAACTTCCCAAGCCACTCAGTTGAATTTGAGGGCATGCTCAAAGTGGTTCTAACTTCCTTCATCACAAGATCTGTAAGTTAGCACAAATTATTATTTGTATCCAAGAGTGCAGCAACTGGAGTTGAACAAGACTCCATAAACCTCTCATATTACTCCGGATTTTGGCTAGTGAACACACCCGGACAGTAGAACCTTGCACATCCATTATCTGAACAACGATGTCGCTTGCGAAGGTTAGATTATCACTCTCCATGAATCTTTCTGGGTTCATGGTGTACCCAGAAGGATTCAGACGGATGCAATGTTCAGACGGATGTGCTGGTTTGCACCAGACCCGTTTACTTGCCAAACCTGCCTCCATTTTTATTGATGTATCTGCAGCAGTCAATTGAAAATCAACGGTCTCAGAGTCCATGTAGCAGTCCATGAAGTGGAAATGGTCATCAGGAGAGCAGACTGTAACTGTAACTGCATCTTAATCACATATATTCCCTCGGGGAATGCTTACAGCTGGGTGCAGCGGGATGACGAAGGTGAGGAGCACGAGGAGATCCGTCAGTGCTCAAATCGAACGCCGGAGACCTGCGTCGCACAAGTTTGATTGAGAAAGAAAATAAAGAATAAAGTTGAAAAAGTTCAGCGAAGAAAATATTTACATGTAGATATCATGGCTGATCGAACGTACGCTTGCAATTTTTCACGGACAGGCTCGGCCCGCGAAGTCTGGAAATCAGGCTCCGGGGGATCAAAACAGAACTCTGAAATGTATCGAAGAACAGATTCGAGTTCTTCCACAAGGAGGGCAGGGAAATCTAACTGCAATCAGAAGCAAAGCGTCAAAATCAAACCAACTGTCTGTCCACAAACAAACGCAGATGAGGGACCTGCTACTGGCATTTACCATGAATCGATACATTATGTTTTTTGTCGCTATTCGCCCCTTCTTGTTCGCGGATCGAGCTTGCAAGCGGCGGATGAGGCGATAGAGAAAGCCCATTGTATGGATAATTCGTGGAATATAATTTCCACGGAGACGGAGATCCTCCAGAGTCAGGTGATCCTCATCTGTCAGAAGACTCGAAATGTACCGGTGGAATTGGCAATGGACGTAGCGCAGGATATCCACCATCTTCGGTGGATAATTCATATGCGCTAGAATATGAAGGGCGATTCTATAGCGTCTTGCGAGGAAGAGGCTCAGAATGGCCTTTTCCAAATCCCAGAGAAATTCTTCGGGGCCTTGGAGATCCTGCACAAAGTATCGATCAAATGCAATTTAGCCCAAACTTGTGAAAACAAAGTCTGTTCAGATCGATTCGACTCTTTACGAAATGGATCTTACCGTCACAAGTTCAGGACTTGATTTGACAGATTTATCCACACATCGGAGCAGTTTTCTTGACATTCCACAAGGTCCATTAACTTTCTCGGACCCGGGACTTGGGTCTATTTCTCTCATTCCGAGCTGACAGGCAATGGCTGTCAGCAACGAAAGGAACAGCAAACGGTTTACGAGGCTTGAGCTAGGGAGCATCATGTCGAGAGTGACAGTAGAATATCTTTCACGAATGAAAAAGGTGGGAAAGTAAGAGAGCAGAGGGTTAATAGAGATCTGAGACTCCACATCAATCACATCAGTTCAAATGATCAACGCTGATAATCACCGACGTGAGGAAAATCCAATCACGTGAAGGCTTGCAAAATGAATCACATAATCGTTGTGAACGTCCATGTGCCCCCTACGTTCGTTTTGCAAATTTGCAACAGCTTTATTATTTTCCGATCGCAAGGGAAAGCTCCCAAAGGAACGTTTGGCTCTGGAGATTTCACAGACCTTTAAACGGTAATAGTTGCCAATGAGAGATATGAACATATTCTAAATCCTGTTGTTCTCTTCATCCGAGACTATACTAGAGTTTCTAGCGACTTCTTCCGAAGTGAATGTTCTTCGTCTACTTTTTGGAAGAAAGTACCATCGAAGTTTGATATTCATAGTTGATTGTGAATGAGATGGGTTAAGTATTTGGATGATGATGTTATGAGATATGACTTGTTTGGAATTAGTACTTCCGTGGTTAGAAATTAATGAATATGTTGGAAAGTAATGGATTGATGGTCAAGTTTCGGTGATCATCTCTATCAAAACACACATACATCATATATCTATTGTTTTCACTTGTAGTGTTATAAAGTATAAGTTGTTATCATTATATTGAATTCGATTCTTCATCCACTGATCATTTAATAAATTCAATAATTTTGTTTTTTAATATCTGTAATAACTCACTAAAGGCTAAAACTGCAATATAGTGGTAGAAAGGTCGAACCCACAGGGACACAGGAACACACAGGGTACAAAGTGTCACGTTTAACAGACTATTGAGGAGTTTGAATTCTCAGGCGACTGTCACTCCCAGAAATACTGCAAGTGTCCACTCGGAGCGCACTCGGAGGTCGCAAATTGCAGCGTAACACACACACACACACACCTGAAACTATAGAAACACAACCCGGAGATCCGTTAGGACCTCTACTCAAGATTTCAGGGGGGAAGTCTCTCGCGAGCACACTCAGCGAAGCTGCGGGTAGTGACTCCCAACTCCGGCTTTTACAACCCTTCCACTAGTTGTCTGCTAGCGTAGGGAATCCGGTTTGGACTGCCTACTTCGGATCGAAGTCACTCATAGGCGGTGAACAACACTCTCAACTCACTAAACGCGCAGAGAACACAGGTCCTTTGGTACCCCACTTTTGGTAATTTTGAGGAAATTAAAACATTTTTGGAAAACTGTACCACGGCAGCAGTGTAAATAGCCTTCGGTGCATCAAAACAGAGTGAATTCGGAAGATCGCAGAGATTCTCACGAGAACTCGTAGGATCTAG